ATTCCTCTTACGGGCGACGAACTCGTCCCGTTGCTATAGCGAGGCTACGAGACTTCTAAAGGGTTGCCCTACGTCGCCGCTTGTAGTCTAGCTCGCGAGTAGGACCTTTACTATTAAGCGTAGTACGTAGTATATATATTTACTAGTACTAGCGACCGGAGTTGTATCGCGTAACGGCGCCGGGGGTTCGCTAGGCGTATCCGAAATTTCGGTCGTAGACTCCTCGCTACTTGCTATACTAACCTTACTGTTACGGATTTATATAGCTATTACTACGATACTTAGGTCGGCTAATTTGAGCTTGTACTAGAGGGTTAGCAGCAATTAATTAACTACGTCGTTCTCGGTCTAATAGTCCGCTCGTCTCGAGGGGCTATCTACTAGGTTAGTCTTCTCCGGCTAGTAGTATATCTCGAAGTCGAATTAGCCTAGATATACTACCTATCGGGCTTGTTGCCCGTTTAGCTTCTATACTATCTAGATACCCCTTAGGTTATTGTAATCGGTATATACCTAAAGCGGGGTATATACGTCCGCAAAGAAGTATCTCTAGACCTTAAAGCTATAGACGACCGCGAGGAGCTCTTAGTCGTATGTTTCGTAGTTTCGCTCCGCCGGCGACATCTTTCTTAACATAAAGGCGATAGGATGCTACCGGTCGTTATAGAGCTACGTTAGGATCCCGTACAGGCCGTAGTCGGACGCGTCGGTTTCTAGTCGTAGGGGCTTCGCTAGGTCGTAGTAGCGGAGTATAGGGGCGGAAGTAAATATCTGTTTTAACGCCTAAAACGCCGCCTCCCCGGCCTCTGTCTACTGAAATTCGCCTTTCTTTAGGAGGTTAGTTATCGGGGCTATTACCTTCGCGTACCCGGCTATAAAGCGGCGGTAGAAGTTAGCGAACCTAAGGAATAACTACAGTTCCCTTAGGTTAGTCGGCGAGGGCTACTCGGTAATAGTAGCGACCTTCTCGGGGTCGGTATATACGCCCTTATAGTTTACTCGGAATCTAAGGAACGATACCTCGCTTTGTACAAAGGTACACTTCTTTAGGTTAACGAACAATTCCGCCTGTTCTAGCCTAGCGAGTACCCGGCGAACCGCCTCCTAGTACTTTTCGATGTTATCGTAGTAGGTATAGATAAGGATATTATCTAGATATACTACTAGGATGTTATCGAGCAGCCTAGCGAGGGTCCGGTTAATATACGCCTAAAATATAGCCGGGGCGTTAGTTAGCCCGAAGGGTATTACCTTATACTCGAAGTGCCTATATCGCGTTCTAAAAGCGGTCTTCTATTCGTCGCCTTCGCGGATACGGATTCGGTAGTACGCGTCCTTAAGATCTAGAGAGGTAAAGTACTTAGCGCTAGTAAGGCGCGTAAGGCTTTCGTTAATAAGGGGAAGCGGGTATCGGTCCTTAATAGTAATCGAATTTAAGGCGCGGTAGTCGACGTATAATCGCAAGGTCCCGTCCTTCTTTAGTACGAATAGTAGCGGAGCCCCGGCGGAGCTAGTACTATATACAATCTGTCCCTACTCTAACTCCTTATAGAGGTATTCCTAGAGGACTTCTAGCTCCTACTAGGAGAGATAGTAGAGGGATCCGAAGGGCGGTTCCTTACTATCTATCAGTTCGATAGTATAGTCGGTTACCTTATAGGCCGGAAGGATCGCCGTAGAGTCGTTGTCGAACATATAGCGATATCCTTCTAATATAGCGGGCAGGGAGACTTGTTTTGCCTCGCCTTAGTTAATCGCGTAAATCTAGAAGGTCGAGCCCTAACCTCCCTAGGGGTTCGCTAGGCGTAACTACCCTACTATATAGATAGGGGAGGAGTCTTCCTTCGATTCGCGCTTCAACCTCTTTAGGGAGACCCTCTCGAAGCTAGAGATTATAAGTCCCTATCGCTATATACCGGGACCGTTCTAGATATCGATACCTAGAGTCTTTAAGGAATACCGGCCTAGGAGGATAGAAGGTCCGTCCTAGTCGATACCGTAGGCGAGAATCTTCGTAGTTCGGGTGTCTATACTAGAGTCGCTAAGTTTCAACTAGAACTCGTAGGCGCTATAGTAGTAGGTTTCGTAGGTTAATAGCTATCTAAGTAACGGGAGTTAGGCCTCGATTCGGGGTAGGCCTATTTCTACTACTACCTTCTAGCTGATCGTAGTTACCTAGGCGTACGTATCGAGGGCGACCTGTATAGGTTTTATACCTTCGCTAGTAATAATAGTTCCTACTGTTTCGACAATGTCCCTAGATTTAATAGGTTAGGGCCCTATCGCGTCCTAAGTGTTCGTAACGAGCCTAATTAGTTTTTTAGCTAGACAGGGGTCCGATTAGGATTACCGCGCTTTAATAGGCAGTCTAGGCGAATGTAACCTATCTTGCCGTACTCGTAGCACTTTAGTCCCGAGTAATCCCCTTTGTCTAGAGCGGCTTTCGCGGCTGCGCCCGATTTCGGGGCTTTAGCCGCGTTAGTACGCAGCTCCCTAGCGTCCCTCCGGCGATCTCGATCTTTGGATTTTAGCTTGTTACTACTAGTCCGCCCTTTACCGCCTTAGGTCCTCGGGTAGTTCTTCTTGATCTAGGTCGCTAGGTTAACTAACTCGTCCCGTGTTTTAGAAATAGAATTGTAATCGACGATCCGTCGGTAGGTCTCCGGGTATAACCGGGCGAAGAACTAGTATAGCTACTACTCTAGAGTATACCGTTCTAGCTATACCTCGAGAGTCTCTAGGTATATTAGGAACTCCCTTAGAGACTAGTTAGTACGTTATTTGGCAGACGTATAGTCTAGGTAAGCCTAAAGCAGTCGAGCGTTAGGATCGTCTAGAAGGTTAAGTAGGAACTGCTTAAAGTTATCCTAAGTCGTATCCTTACGCTTAGCCTCGGTTATCCGCTACTAGTATATATACTAGCGGTCCTTCGGAGTATACCCCTTAGAGAGGTACTATATTACCTAGGTATACTTCTCGGCTTCCCGTTAGAAGGATCGTAGATTCTAGAGGAATACGACTTCGTACGATATTACGAAGTCGCTATATTCTTTTAAGGACCTCCCCTTATATTCGCTAGGGGCTTTTACCGAGCGTTTAGGAGGAGGGGCAATATCGGTTTCTATAGTATACCGCTTATAACCGCGGCTACTCTAGAGGTCGGCTACTTCTTAGATTAGTAGTAGACGTTCCTTTTCCGCCCGTAGGCAGGCGATGTCTTTCTAAAGGTCGCTTAGCTCCTCGCGTTTAACGATAATTTCCGGCTCGGAATCGTTCGCGTCTTCTAGCTAGATACTAGCGAGAGCTTCTATAGATTCCTCCTAGTCGAGTAGTTCCTAAACTCGTCCTACTTCGATATCCGTAGAGGAAGATTGTTTAGTAGAGGCCTGTTCTAGTATAGAGGGGTTCTCCGGCGAGTCGCTAGGATTCTGTCTAGTAGAACGTCCTCCTACTATTGTTCGGACCTTTCCTTTATAGTTAAGGTACAAGAGTTATTATATAATAGTTCTATAAGCGTAAGGGTATACATAATAGAGGTCCGAGGTATAAAAGGTATAAACAATATATAGCTTACTATCTAAGGTATAATAACTCTGCCCTTCCTTCCTAGAGGAGGGCCCTCGCTATATATACAAGCTATTCTATTGTCTACTCCTCGCTACCGGCACCGCCTCCTCTTAGGTAGCAGCCGATAACCGGTTCCCTTAGGAACCCTCTTGATTTAGAACGTCTCCGATCGGTAGGGTATCCCTTCTATACCGGATCGCCGGGGGTCTACGAGGGCTTCCCGTCCCGCGCGGTACGCCCCGCCCGCCTCGCCGGGGGTTCGCTAGGGCTTCTCTACCCTAGCGTGTTATAGGTGCCGGCAATTCTATATAGAAGACGGATAGTAACTAAATTTTGACCTTCTTACCGGAGCGTCCTTTACCGACGGTTACTACTACGGCAGCCGGCTACTACTACTATAAGGTAGGGTATTCAGGCAACAAGGACTCGTTACCGGCGTTGTCGTCGACCGCGTCGTCGACTATAGAATAGACCGTAGAATCGTCGATTATAATAGTATTAGAGGTACGCTTGCCTTAGTACGGCTATATCCGTAGACTAATCGGATCGTCCGGCGTAGGTAACTCGTTAAGCATACTAGTGTTATTCTACGCTAGATTGTAACTGTCTACCTCCTCTTGATTAGTTAATAGCTCTCGATTAGGGAATAGCTCTTCTAATGTCTTAATATAGCGGAAGCCGCTCGGCAGTATAGTAAACAGTAAAGATAGGTCTAGTAGGCTTGATTTCTCGGTAATATCGGTTATATCGGTATCGTCGATACCGTTCGGATCGTTCGTTGCCGTCGTTTCGTAGTTCGTTATAGTGCTTAATTGAACTAAGAGCCGTATCTTACGCATTTGTCGTCCGAATTTGGTAATATCGCGGTATAGTGTTAGTGTAAGTATATAGAAGCAATTGGAGAGGTATATATATACGTATCGTTACGTCGAAGTAAAGATATCCGGTATCGTAGATATCGTAGGTATTGTAGGAAAAGTCTGTATAGGAAGTAAGGTCAACCGGAACTATGTTAATCCGCGCCGAGCTATAACTCACACGCCGGACTATGACTCATACGTGCTTAGTCATTCCGAGTGTCCTTTGAAAGTGTCCTGCTCCTTGACTCTTGCTTCGGGTTGCGAGAGAGTATTTCAGGTACATGTACATTCCAAGCCTTTGGATCGAACCAATAACTCTATCTACTTGGAGCTCGGTTGCAAGTGCCGGTAACAGCCGGCGTTATGGTTCTACGGCTCGAGGAAAGCGGAACTTAGGGTGTCGTCGCTGTCGCAAATTGTCGGGCCTTTTAGATACTCTAGAGTCTGGGCTAACTATAGTTGCAAATGTTGCAAGCGACTAGTTTGGAAATGGCCCACTGTCATGAAGCCTCTACATCTTCAATGCCGCATGAGAATTTTGTTACTATTGTCCTCGTCTAGAGTAGCCTCTCCTTACAACGGCTCACGTTCAAAGTCAGTTCGCTGCTTGTGCAACAGGGTCTCAATATCGTCAGTCGCCTGTCAGGATATAAGAAGTGTAGATCAGCTTGGGTTGCATCGGGCTCTCCAGAGAGCTGCCAGTCGTGAAGTACCATCGATCACGGTCAGTTGCTCGTGTGAGTAGCTGATATGTGGAGTGTATGAAACTTTGACACCCAGAAAGGCAAGATGTCTCGTGGTCCGGTGTGCCTGGTATTCGCTTTCCGTGCTACCCAAGATCCAGATGCGCAGTCCAATTTCTTGGCCCATATAGTCTTCTTCCCACCCATCTCGACATACCGGATTCCAAGCTTCCACACGCCGACACTGTCATCGAAGAGACCCTCAAGATCATCAGAGTTCCTTGTCGATATTTCATATCATGAAGTGTCAGTCGACACTCATTGCCATCGTGATGGTGGCAACAGTCCATGCCCAGCGTGCATTCCGAGTGTCGTTGCCGGGCTTGACTTTGAAAGTAGAGTCCTCTTTCCGGCGGGATCCCGTCATCAAATTCCACCCGGATAATATGATAGAGTGTTGACATACAAGAAGGAGAAGAAGCCGAGTTAGTATCACCGCTCACCTCCTAGTATTTCCACTCGAGTGCTTGCTAAACATGATACTTAGGAACTTGCAAGGGTAGCCTCTTGGCTGAACAGGACCATGAAGTACTGCAAGTGGCTATATTGTCTATGGTGAGTTCTTCACAAACTTCTTTCCCGGTCACATCTCTCTTCTCGTCGCGCCATGCTGATCCAGGGTTTCGTAGCAGAATACCTAGGGCATTCTTCACCTGTGCCATAGAGTTTTCTGCTCTTGAGTATTTTTGCAGTAGACTGGCAAGAAATCTGGCATTTCCGTGGTCCAGCATAGGCACGCATAGGAGAAGATGGCAGAAGCCCTCTTCCTTGTGGGTGTGCTTGGGAGAACGGCTGGCTAGATGATCATTCATCCTCTACTGCGACTGAATGCGAGTGTGGTTGATGGTCGAGGTCATCAGAATGGTAGGATGAGGAGGTATATGTAGGAGGTACATGTAGGATGTAGGAGGTAGCGGATGTGGGAGGTGAGGACAGCTGGGAAACATGCGTCCACGGGCCGCGCCGACCCAGGGATCTCCATCCTTGGATGAGGACAGCTCTACTTAGCAGGACAGCTTCGACATTGCAGTGGTTGATGAATTAAATGTTGGACTGCTGTCTCCATGGACTCCGTCTGACCACCTCCACCCCCACCGACCTGACCTGACCCTCCACCGCCACCACCACCACCATCACCACCGCCCGCCGCGACGACCTCCATCATGGCAGTGGTGGACAATGGCCCCGTCGCTGGCACTGACTTCTTTTTGAAGGGGGAAAGTGGACGCAACACTCGAGGCTTGCTGCGATTCCTCATCCTGCTCACCATCGCCGCCGCCGCCGTCGCCGCCCGACTCTTCTCCGTCATTCGCTTCGAGAGCATCATCCACGAGTGTTAGTTCCATGGGAAGAGAAGCAGACAGGCTCCAGAAATATCGCTGACAACGTGTACAAAAGTCGACCCGTGGTTCAACTTCCGCGCAACAAAGTATCTTGTCTCCAATGGCTTCTACAAGTTCTGGGACTGGTTCGATGACAGTAAGATGATACCCACTCTATACATGTGTGTACACCCTGGAGACATCGGACATTGACGACTGCTGCGTGCACAGGAACATGGCATCCACTCGGGCGTGTCACTGGTGGCACCCTCTACCCCGGTCTCATGGTAACCTCCGGTGCCATATACCACGTCCTACGCACCCTTACTCTTCCCGTCGATATTCGGAACATTTGTGTGTTGCTCGCGCCTGCTTTCTCAGGCCTGACAGCGTTCGCAACCTACCTCCTCACTTCCGAGATGAGCGACAGTCCCTCAGCTGGTCTGCTGGCTGCCATCTTCATGGGCATTGCCCCTGGCTACATCAGTAGAAGTGTAGCAGGATCATACGATAACGAGGCCATTGCCATTTTCCTCCTCGTCTTCACCTTCTACCTGTGGATCAAGGCAGTAAAAGTGGGCAGCATCATGTGGGCGGCACTCTGTGCGCTCTTCTATGGATACATGGTCAGCGCCTGGGGAGGCTACGTTTTCATCACGAACCTGCTGCCTCTCCATGCCTTTGTGCTGATGCTCATGGGACGTTTCAGCCCACGGCTGTACGTGAGCTATACAACCTGGTACGCTCTAGGCACGTTGGCTAGCATGCAGATTCCTTTTGTTGGTTTCCTGCCAGTCAAGAGCAGCGACCACATGGCGGCACTCGGCATCTTCGGCCTCATTCAGCTCGTGGGATTCGCTGAGTATATTCGCTACCAGCTGCCCTCCAAGCAGTTCCAGACCTTGCTTTGGGCATCGGTGTTTATTGTGTTCGGTCTTGCATTCGGCGGACTGGTTTTGCTCACTGTATCCGGCACAATCGCACCATGGAGCGGACGATTCTACTCGCTGTGGGACACTGGCTACGCAAAGATCCACATCCCAATCATTGCATCCGTCTCCGAGCATCAGCCCACTGCATGGCCAGCTTTCTTCTTCGATCTCAACATGCTCATCTGGTTGTTCCCCGCTGGTGTCTACATGGCCTTCAGCGAACTCAAGGATGAGCAGGTCTTCATTGTCATTTACGCTGTGTTGGCCAGCTACTTCGCTGGAGTCATGGTGCGTCTCATGCTCACCTTGACTCCCATTGTCTGCGTGGCGGCAGCTATTGTGTTGAGCAAGATTTTGGATACGTTTCTGGTCTCGGCACAACCAAGTGTGCCATCGGACGCTCAAGCCAACGGTAGCGCCAAGGGATCTGCCGGCACGAAGGACAAGTCGGCTTCCATCGTTCCCGAGGCTCTGCGTTCAACGAAAGCTCCCCTGGTTGGCATCTACAGCTACCTGTCCAAGTCATTGATCACTGGTACCGTCACCACATACTTGCTCCTCTTCGTGCTTCACTGCACATGGGTGACGTCGAATGCATACTCTTCGCCCTCCGTCGTGCTGGCCTCCAGACTGCCAGACGGCAGCCAACACATCATCGACGACTACCGCGAGGCTTACCAATGGCTGCGCCAGAACACGAAGCAAGACGCCAAGATCATGAGCTGGTGGGACTATGGCTACCAGATTGGTGGCATGGCAGATCGTCCTACTCTTGTCGACAACAACACGTGGAACAACACGCACATTGCCACTGTCGGTAAAGCCATGTCCAGTAGGGAGGAAGTATCGTATCCGATCATGAAGCAGCACGAAGTCGACTATGTTCTCGTGGTCTTTGGTGGACTTCTCGGATACTCCGGAGACGACATCAACAAGTTCTTGTGGATGGTCAGAATCGCAGAAGGTAAGAGGATTGTTCTTCGATTCTGTTCTTCGGCTGCTAATGATAATGAATAGGTATTTGGCCGGATGAGGTCAAGGAGCGAGACTTCTTCACCGCTAGAGGCGAGTACCGCGTGGACGATGAGGCCACTCCAACCATGAGAAACTCGCTCATGTACAAGATGAGCTACTACAACTACCACTCGTTATTCCCCGCCGGTCAGGCGACTGATCGCGTGCGCGGGTCCAAACTTCCCGCAGTTGGCCCAGAACTCTCCACGGTCGAGGAGGCATTTACCAGCGAGAACTGGATTATCAGAATTTACAAGGTCAAAGACCTCGACAACCTGGGTAGAAGTCACCAGGAAGCGGTTGCATTCGACAAGGGCAACAAGAGAAAGAAGGCAGGCAAGCGCAAGGGTGCACGCGTGCTTCGAGTAGACTAAAGCAGACGACTCCCAAAAGCGCTTCTGTAATATAGCCGTCACTTCTAGAGAGTACATGTACTTTACCTACAAAAATGCCAAGCACTATCATCTGATGATCCTCTCTGCCCGCACGACCCCTCCATAGAAACGTTCTGACTTACCCCACCACACACCTACCTCTCCTACAGGTACCTCCCACTCCACTCCACTCTCTTCCTCGCAATTCACTTGCACATGCGTCTGTCCCTACAGCCACAACATTGACACACACAACACCACCACCACCACCACCAATTCACACTCGTTCGTGCCTGTCATGGCAGAAACGGCCTCCGCGACCGATCTGCAGCCTCCGCGCAACATCCTCTACTGTGGAGTCTGCACTCTGCCTCCGGAAGTAGGTATGGCGTCTAGCATCACCGTTTCTTTCACTTTCCCCTTCTTCCTGTTTCCCATGGAGCCCCCTTCCGTATATAGACGCTCAGCTCACCTTTTCCCCCACCAGTACTGTGAATTCGGCGGCACCACCAAAAAGTGCGAGGAATGGCTGTCTACCAATGCCCCCACACTCCACTCCCAACTCTACTCCGAGGCTGCCCTCTCGGCCAATCTCAGCACCCTCTCCGTCGACGCACAAAAACGCGCCGAAAAAGACGCTCAGAAGAAGGCTGCCAAAGCTGAAGCAGCCGAAGCGCGCGATGCAGAAAAACGAGCGACTTCAAAGATCATCATCAAGAGAGTTGAACGTAACAAGAGGAAATATGTAACCGAGATTCAGGGCTTGGAGGCCTTTGGACTGGAGCTGAAGAAGGTAGCGAAGGAGTTTGGAAAGAAATTCGCAACAGGAAGTTCAGTCACGAAGACGGCGAGTGGTGGGGAGGAAATCACAGTGCAGGGGGACGTTGCTGAGGATGTGGCGGAGTGGTTGGCGGATACGGGTAAGGTGCCCGAGGATAACGTGGAGATTGTGGAGGATAAGAAGAAGAAGAGTGCGCCGCAGGTTTGATTGAGCATGATGGGGCGATGATGTGAATCGCGTGGTTGAGAAGAAATGGAGATGTGAATGTTTTGGCACCAAGATGCATGGCGGGTTGCAGGACATTTGCTTGCTGACTTGTCAGCAAATACATGCTACTGGCCTTGGGGATACGGCAGAAGAAGCACGAAGCAGAAGACGACCAGACACGCGGCGATGGGATGTAGTTCCATCAGAGAGAAAGATGGGATTCGCACGCAAAATCCAAGATGAAGCTACCTACGCATATGCTTCTGCCTCTTACCAATCGATCACGCCAGCCCCTAAGGACTTGAAATAGTCTACCTACATTTGCAATCTGATCACTCAATAGTCATGGCGTACCTGATACTCCTCTCAAACCCCGCCGCACAAGATCTCCGACAAACATAGACTAGGGCGCCGCAGAATACCGGCCACTTGAATAGGCAGCTCACTCACTCACATACATGCACCTACAAGTATGTCGTATCGGTTCGTATCTGGCACTACAGCTTGTTCTCATCTTGAATTGAACCTTCGGCTCTATGAGTCTTCGGTTACAAATACGACCATATCCGTCAAATTCATAAACAAAGTTCTTTGTTGGCTAGAGTACTGGAATGCATCACTCGAAGTGCTCTTTGTTGTAGCATCGCAACAGGCATCGGTCTACAATGCTCGCCGGATACTCTCTAACAAAGGAGCCTGGGGGAGCCGAGTTCAAGCATTATTTCCTAGGGCCTGAAACTATTTCAAGAGAAAACATCTAACCCCTGAACGAAACGCGTTCTATACAGCCTTCTACGTCAATGAGTCACAACGATCCGTTAATTGCGTCTCTGCCGCTACCGATGGAGACTGCGAGAAATACCCAGGTGCGACGTCAGACTTTGTTGGAGTTTATCGCCTCCGGTGTCGTGAGCTGTAAGCATACACTGGAAAGGAGATGGCAGCGACCATGTACATATACGACCTTTTGCTGACATAAAGCTTGGTGGCATACAGGGCTTTCGAGCAAAGAGATCAGTCGTAATGCCGGACGTTGGCAATCACTCTATCGCAATTGGTGGCTAGCGCAAAATACGAAGGTCGAGAGGCTAGATGCTGATGGAGCTGGAACCAAACCACTCGGGACTCGGAAATACACCGCCAGTGAAATCACAGATATACTTCCCTTTTCCCCAAAGACTTGGACCTCCACGATCACGAAGACTGTGTTGATGCAAGAACCTCAGATCACTACACAGCAAAGCATCATTACCGTATTCCAGACATCAACGGGAGCTCCTTATCTCACTCCCCGTATCGAGACGCTTCACAATTTATCATGTCTTGGTCCGGGATCTTTCCCGCTTTTGCTCCTGATTCTGGCGTTTCTAGGCTGGCTTCTCTGGAAATCCGCATGTTTCTGTCTACGCCGTCAGCGCAGCGTCAGAGTGCAGCGAGGAGATCATGCACTGTCTCATTCTGGTGGGCTCCATGAGACAATCTTACATCCAGCAAACATCAATGCATCACTTTTAGATCGGTTTGCTCTTGTTATCAAGAGTCTCCTGCCTGGACTTCGGAGTGGTCAGCTACTCACAGGCCATACTGGAACAGCAACGACCGATCATCTGAAGCCAGAAAAGGGGACTATTATGCAAAGCTGGATCAATCTCTCGCTGTCAGAAGATGGTATCTCATCCTCTGAAGTACAAGACAACACCTCTCCTCTCTTCTCCGCACCGACCAACTACACCATCGCAGGAGACCTGACCGTAGTACACGACTCCCCGCCAGGCACAAAGGCAATAATCAAAGGGAACCTCGTACTGAACGCTTCGATTCCCAATGCCCAACCAACAACAGGTCTGAAGGCATGGCTACCGTGGAACAGAGATTCTACACCAAAGCAAGTTCTCATCGATGTTACTCAATCAAATTTGCAACCCTCTCAAGCAGAGAAGGAGGAGAAACCCCCCAAAACCTGCCAGACCGAGGAAGTGATGCCGAAATCTCCTCTTTCCTTCTCTACTACTACTGGAGCCAACAACTCTTCTTCTTCTTCCCCTTCTTCTTCTAAGAACAACCCCACCAGCAACCCCGAAAAAGTGATTTCTCCCAAAGCATCTCGAACAATGATACTTTCCCTCGCACACCTCCGCAATGAGAACGCTGCCCAAGCGAGGGAACTTATACACCTCCGCAACGAGAACGCTGCCCAAGCGAGGGAACTTGTTTCTTTGAAGAAAAAACTCGCCCACTATCACCACTACGAGGAGCAGCAAGAACGCAAAGAAGAAATACAGCAACAACAACAGTTCGAAATTTCCGAGTTGGAAAAAGGTATTACGTTCCGGGATTCGAAACTGGACGAACAGAATGAAATGTTCCAAACATGGAAGGATTTGGTGCATACCCTGACAGGGGGGTTGCGAGAGATTAGGAGGGAAAATGAGGAGTTGAAAGAGAGTAAGTTTTATTTTGTTTCTTTTTCCTTTTCTTGGAGGGTGCGTATGATATGGTGTGTTGGTATGGTCTTGCTAACTTGGATTCTTTTTGATATCTATAGAACTCAAGCAGCAACAGCAACAGAAAGAGCAGCAGCAGCAGGATCTACCACAGAAAGCAGCTGAATCTAACGCTTCTGGTCTACCCGACTCCGTGCGATTCCACTCGGAGAATCCTGTCGGAAATTCCGCATTGAAGCATCATACTGGAGAAGACCAAGAAATAGAAGATGCATCCGACGATGCATCTGACGATCAACCCAACATCAATACCCCAGAAGAAGTAGAAACAGAAGCATTCAATCACAATGACCGCGGAAAAGATGATGACGCCAAAAACACTCTCGAAAACGAAATTCAAAATCTACTCCAAGCGGCGGCAAGTTTGCCCGGGTTGAAGCTGTCCCCCAGTAGGAGAGGGAGAGACGGTGTTGGAGAAGATGAAGGAGGAAGAGGAAGAGGAAGAGGAAGAGGAAGAGGAGACGACACTCTCAAAGTAGAGAAGAAAGAAAACAAAAAATCAGAAGAGGATGATGATGATGGAGAAAAAGACATCTTTCAGAAACAGAGAGATCTCATGAGGGCAAAGTATCCTTCGTCGGACGAAGAATAAGAAGAAGGAGAAGGTGAAGATGATAATAATAATAATAAAGATGATGATAGGGAAGGGGGAGGGGGCAAATAGGGGTAAAACAAGCAAAGGGATCTGAGAGTGAAGGGATCGCGTACAGAAGAGGGACATGATTGATCCAAAACCCTGTACTGCTACCTTGTTCATCATTGAAAGCACAATAGTATAGATATGAAGAATGTTGATGTTTTTATTGTTAATGGTTGTTGTATGTTGTCATTGATACTTGCATGATTGATGTTTCATGCAAAGCCTATTCTATTCCTATTCTTACATCAAAAAAGGAAACTGGGGGGTATCTCTGTTCATCATTGCACTGACACACACACATAAAAAAAAGTAGTGGTGGTAGTGGCGGTGGTGGTGGTAGTGGTAGTGGTAGTGGTACCTCCTAGTGGTAGTAGGGAGGGGCATGAGCAAAAATGGCCGGCCACTTTGTTTTTTTGCTTCTTCGCGCCCATCCCATCGCTGCGTGATACAATCCATCATTTTTCGTCAATAAAAGCCAAGCATTTCGGTATGTTGGCATGTATATATATGCATGCATGCACCTGGGTTTTTTTCTTTTTCTTTGTCGATCCTCCTATTTCACATCTCCAGCTATTCGTCACGTGCTTGGCAGGCAGATCACGAATAGAACCTTCCCGGAGGAGGTCCCGCAGTGTGTGATCGTTGCTGCTGTACGGGATTCATCGCCTGTTGTGGCCGTCTGATGCCCCCATCACCGGATGATGGATGGCCATAGTCGTTGAAGGTATTGTGGACAGATGATGGCAGAGGCCGTGTATGATGTGGCTCGATCGGTGCAGTGGCGCTTCGCTGTGGTACTTGACGCACGTTGCCAAAGTAGTTGTTGTCGGCGCCTGGTCCACCTGCCACGGTAATATTTCGACGTGGACCTCCCTGCATGATCGGTTCTGATGGCGCAGAATTCATGGATGTGCTCGTGGCGGGGTTGAAAGCAACGTAAGCGCCGCCGGTGGTGAGCGCGGGTGTTCGTGTGACAGGCATGCGGTGAGACGGTTGTGTGGTCATCTCATAGCTGTGCTGCTGTTGCCGCTGCTGTGGAGGCGGAGCTTGGACCGGCGCCGGCGAGTATGGCCTGTGGAAGCTCGTGTTGGAGGGCTGGCGCACCGCATTCCGATTGACGGGCTGTTGTTGCTGGATGCTGTTCCAGTATGCCTCGTCTACTTGGGGACCAGCGTGGAAGCCTCCCGCAGTATTCGATCGTGGAGGAGGCGCATAAGGTCCTTCATTCGTCTCCTGACTCGGAAACGTGGTGGCGACTTGCGGTTCCGGATCATATGTTTGTGGTGTCATGGTCCGCATGGGAGTCGGGCCTCGGGCCACAGGGGGCGCTCGAGGATAGCCTGGACCCACGCCAGGTGAGTATGGTGGTCTGGCTGACGAGAACGAACGAGCCGAGTGTTGCGAACTCTGCGAGCCATTTCGCTCGTGCCATGGCTGCTGCAGAGATGCATACGAGCCCTGACGTGGAATCGGGCCATGTGGGAGTGGTGGCAGAGGCGGCTCACTCTGCGCAGGCATGCTCGCATTGTGTAAGAGGGGCGCTTCGGTGGTATAGCTGGGCGCATTGGACCATGCGGATGCCGAGGTGTCTGTCCTCGTCATATCCGGACGGCGCTCTACCTGGCCCAGATCAGGCAGTGTGGGTTGCCGCGTCATTCGATGAGAGCCATCTCGGGTGGGAGGCTGGCTGGAATATGGCGGCAGCGTGGACATGGTGCTGTCCGTGGCTTGCCTGCGAAGGGTCACATCGGGCAGTTTGCCGTCGTTGGCGACATCTGGGGAGCCCAAATTGGGCAAGGTCGGCTGCTTCTTGATTCCAATCTGGGATGTGGCAGGTGGCAGCTCGCCCGTCCTCTGTCTCTTGAGCTCTGCCTTTTCCTCCTCTTTCCGCTTCTTGCGTTCTTCGTCCTCAATGGCCTTTTGCACCTTGGTGGAAACGATGCGTTCCAGCCGTTTGTCGATTTTGCGTCTGCAGTAGATCTTCAAGGTGCCGTCTCTCTGCGGGATGTAATGCCAGAGGAAGGTGAGGTAGAGGATAGCAGATGCAATCAGACTCAAGGCGCTGAAGACCCAGATGACCAGGGTGAACAACATGCTGAAGTAGATGATGGCCTGTCGCTGATCTTTGTCCCACAGGGCGCCAATATTGACGAAGAATTGCTCAAAGGGCGAGTGATCGGCATCCGCAGCGGGCACAATGTCGGCTCGAAGCACAGCGTACAGTGTCATGGCATTGACACCAATACGAGGCCCCTCGGCGAGAATGACGCGGATGGTGGTCTGAAAGGAAAAGTAGACGAAGAGGGCGACGTAGTCGGCGCCCTTTCTGCTCTTGGTCAAGGCATTGAAGACGAGGAAGCGCTTGAAGCCGCGTCGGCGCATGCTCTGCACATTGACAGCCAGAGGGTCCAGAAAGCTCTCTGCCACGCCTCCTCTTCGCAGGACGCGTATGGCTCGGATCCATTCATAGAAGCACAAGGCCCACGACAGGCAGATACAGATGGCGAAGATCCACTTGCTGTATTTCAAGTCCAGAGCCGGCTGGACCTGACTGCTCCAGCGATCAAAGGCAAGCAGATTGACAGCAGTGAAGGTGTCGACAGCGTAGACGGCAATGCCGATCAGAGCCATGAACCAGAGCCAGATGTATGCTAACACGGTCCAGACGGAGTTGCAGCGGAAGTCGGTCAAGGTGAGGTAGTCCCATTTTGCAGTGTGTTCGGGCTCGCCTTTCTCGCGCTCGCTGAGGCAGCCCATGGCGAGTGGGGGGAAGGCGGTATTATCGTTGTGGTAAGGTTATGCTCGGGCCGGCTGAGCAGTAGTAGATGTTGTACATGCGCATGCATTCGTTGGCGCACATGCAGTACTGGAGAGATTGCTCGCAGCGGGTGCGGTATGGGCGGTAGGTAGGCAGTCTGACCGGCAGACGGGATGCGAATTCGAAGAGTTGGGGTCGTCGTCGTAAGGAGCGTGAGTCAGGTAAGGTAAGGTAGCGATCGTGTGTAAGTGGTGTTCTAGCGACGGAAAGAGTCGCTGGAGGGTGGAATGTGGTGTCGCATGCTGGTGCCGTGTGGCGGGCAGTCTTTGTTCGAGTGACAGACAATGAATGTGCTGCTGATGATAAAGGCCGTCTTCTCCCGCTGCTGGCGACAAAGGATACGGCGGTGGTATTCGTAGAGTGTCGGCGCTGCGGTTGCGGCTGAGGAGGAGGAGGAGGAGGATGCGGGAGAAGGTGGTGGTGGTGGAGGAGGAGGAGGAAGTCGAGTGGTGGTGGTGTAGGTCGAGTGGTGGTGGTTGTCGCAAGGGAGAGTATTCGCGCTGGAGGAGCAGCGCTCTAGCCGGTGTGGCACGACAATGCGAGGAGAAGAGGGAGACAATGCAGAGGAGAGAGAATCGATGCGGCTATTGTCGTCGCTTCACTGGCTTCCTCACTTCTTCCATTGATTCGTCTGGCGCGGCAAACGGGAAGTGATTACTCCACCACGAAGCGCCTGTGCGACGAGGAGTGATGTCTTTCTCGTTTCACTTCGCTTTCATCAGATCAGGTACATAGGAGGTACATGTATGATGTATATACATGTACCTTGAAACATTGCCTTAACACATTGATTATATATTGATTGTACATTGATTACACATTGATAAGAAACTTGGAAGCTTGAACTGGAACTGGTCTCGGCAGTCGGCCCAGCATTCAGGTACCCGTGAAACTAGTCGTCTAGCGCTGACGCCCGGAGCAATTCACTTCTCGACCAATCATCACGCAGGAATATTCTTTCCATGTGAGTCTTTACCATTCATCACCAAGAATAGTAGTTCTCAACCACACGAACGGGAAGAAAAACAAAAAAAACAGAAACATGGCCCACAGTGCTCCCATCCTGTCGACCCCCGCAGAACACATTCTCCAAGAACCCACTCCACAGGTCGTGCAGTCCCGCGAACAAGGCGTATTATCCGAAGAACAACTATATCTGCAGTATGAAATCAAGCGCACCATCAGCGAAATCCGTGCAGGCCAATGGAAACGCATCGCTCTCCAATTTCCCGATGACATGTTGGTAGATGCCCCGCGAGTGTTTGAACGATTGCGAGATGGGTTGAAGCACGAGAGAGCCGCGCGAGCAGCAGCAGCAGCATCAGAAAACGAAGACGAAAAAAATGAAGAAAAAGAGGAAAAAGTGTGCATCCTCGGCGACACGTCGTACGGGTCCTGTTGCGTCGACGAGGTAGCCGCCGAGCACACCGACGCCGATGTGGTTGTGCATTATGGTCGAGCATGCCTCTCCCCAACCGCTCGTTTACCCGTCATTTACGTTTTCACGGCCAAATCGCTGCATCTGGATGCCGTGGTGGCGAGTTTCAAGGAGACATACCCCCCCTCATCGCAAGCAGAGGAGAAAGTGTGTTTGATGGCCGATATTCCCTATTCGCATCACTTGGACGAATTACATCGCAGACTCACGGAAGAAGAAGGCTATGGGCACATTTTCAAAACTTCCATTATTCACGATCCTGCATCTTTGATTCCGAATCGGACCACACCAGTCACTACCACTGGAGAAGGAGGGGAAGGGGGAGGAAGCGATGAAGCTGCTGCCAGTGCTGCTCTAAAAGAATACTCCATTTTCCACATTTCCGAACCCCCGACTTCCCTCCTCCTCATCCTCTCCTCCCGCATCAAATCCCTCCACATCTTCCCCACCACCACCCCTGCCTCTTCCTCTTCCTCTCCCTCTTCTTCCTCTGACTCCCCTCCACCACCAACCCACCTCGCCTCCACAACCACCACCCCCCTCCTCCGACGACGCTACGCCCTCATAACCCGCCTCTCCACAATCCCCATTTTCGGGATCCTCATCAACACCCTCTCCGTCTCCCACTACCTCCTGGCCCTCCAACACTGCCAACACCTAATCCGCGCCTCCGGCAAAAAAAGTTATACCTTTGTCGTAGGAAAAATTAATGCGGCCAAACTGGCCAATTTTTCCGAAATTGGGGGTTGGGTCGTGATTGGGTGTTGGGAAAGTTCGCTCCTGGAGAATGGGAGCAAAGAGTTTTTTCGTCCGGTTATTACGCCGTGGGAATTGGAGGTCGCGTTGATGAGGGATGGGGAGAGGGTTTGGGGGGGAGAGTGGGTGGGGGATTTTGGGGAGGTTTTGGAGAGGGGGAGGGGGAAGAAGAAGAAATTTGAAGATGGGGAGGGGGATGGGGATGTTGATCATGAAGGTCTCACGGAAGAAGACGAAGAAGAAGAATCCTCCTCCGACTCGGAATCCTCCCCACCAGACTTTGATCTCCGAACAGGACAATACGTCTCTCATTCTCGACCCATGGGTCATCCTCGTCGTCGTCAACAACATTCCCAACCCAACCCCCAACTTCCATCCACATCCACAACAACAACAACCCAACTAACCCACCACCCCAAAACCTCTTCAGCTCTAACAACCACACCCTTCCACATCAACGGCCACCTCTCCCCCGCAGCAGAATATCTCTCTTCACAACGGACGTGGACAGGGTTAGGAAGTGATTTTTCTCATTCTTCTCATTCTCATCATGCAGATGCAGATGCAGATGGAGCATCAATTGCATATGAACGGGATGAAAATGGAAAAATTCGAGGGGCGGAAATGGAGGAGGGGAGAAAGGGGGTGGCCAAGGGGTATCGAGTTGGAGATGGAGATGATGGGAGGGAGGGGTGATGGGAGAAGAAGATGAAGATGACGAGAGAAAAGAATAAGAGGGAAGAATCTAGATTTTCTTCATTGGGGAAACTTTTTGTTCTAAAAAAAAAGGAAAGAAAAAAAAGGTTTCCCCTGCTGATTGGGTTCTTTTCCAGCCCCAAGTAGACAAGCACACCAACCAACCGATTTCATCAACCAAGTGAGCAGTTGTTTCACTTCTCCCCCATTCCCATTCCCATCGCCATCCCCATCCACATAGTGTAGCAAGAAAAAAAAACCAGGTCGTTACAAAAAAAAAGAGAAACTGGTCGTGATCCCGTCCATGGTCATGCCGTCACTCCCACCTTCATACTCCCCGCGAGCAGAGGGCGCAGCCGCCAACTTGCTGGGAACATGGGTGCATTCGACGTCAACGGAGGTTTTCTCCCTCTCGTCACTGCACGGTGATTGATCCACTACCTCAGAGAGCTGCTACACACAAGCTACACATTGTTGCTGCCGTTTTGCAACTTCTTCAGCGCACTGTCCCTGCACGCACGTCCATGTCAGTCCTGTACTGTACATCTACACACCTGTTCCAGGCGGATGAGGACGCCAAACCTACCAGCTGTCCTGCTCAAACATCAAGGCTGGCGGATCGTACGCTTTACCCTTGTCATCTTTCTGTCCTAGCTTCTTGAGTGCCGCCTGGACATGGTCTTGGTCGACCAGGACGCCTTTCTCGCTACACTTGGCCTTGGCTCGAAGTTCGGAGCAGAGACCATCGAGGTCGAATTTACCGTCTCGGAAATCCGGGTTCGATTGTAGTTGCGTCCTGTGCACACCCGTGTTAGTGAAGGAAGTAGATACATAGTGCCAGAAGAACAGCACATACCAGATGTTGTTGCAGCTGATAAACTTTCCACTATCCGTCTTGGACTTCTTGGCAACACCGGGAAGACCGTAGTCATCATCGCCACCATCACACGTCTTTTCGACTTCTGCCATGAGATTGCGACTGGGCGTGGAGCGATCCGCGGACTTGTCAGCCGATGCAGGCAGTGTCCCGGGTGTCTGTAGCGGTGACTGCAGGATGCCAAAGAGATTCGTCGGAGATTGGTAGTCAAAAGGCATCGAGTTGACAGCATCGTCGAAGAAACCGCCGGTGAAATCTCCACCGCCCACAATGGCCTCATTGGTATCCCGATACTCACCAAACAGAACGGGATCAAAGGTGCCCAAAGACGATGCATCGGTAAAGTTGGTGTTGCCGAAGCCGAATATCGAGTTCATGTCCGACTGTGAAGTGGCTGCTGCCTTGTTGACCTTGTCGCAAAAGGAGCCATCCTTGAGCGCCGGGCTTTCGTGAGAGGGCTCGGGAGATGTGCCACACGAGCTGTTGCCATTTCCATTCATGTTCCATTGACTATTGGAGCTTGCACTGGGGGATGTGCTGTCGCTTGCATTGCTCCCGCTGTTGAACTGAAAGGCGCGACTGATGCCAGCAGTGCTGTCACCTCCCGCATCTGCGTTGCTGTCGCCGGTGGAGCGAGAAGCCGGTGCACTATTCTTGGTGTCTTGGTGGTTGTTGTTGTTGTTGTTAAAGTAACTGTTCATGTTGGCACTCTTGAGCAGATTCGGGCTGAACAGGTCATCAAAGGCACCATTGCCGCTATTCATTTGAGGGAGAGTGCTCGCAAAGCCATGCATGTTATCATTCGTGCTATAGGGAGCAAAAGTGGCATTGAGTCCTGCAACGTGGGTCGAGTTTCCCGTGCTCGCTGAGCTGGAACCCGTGTGCTGCACACTCTGCGGGCTCGTACTGCGACCTGTGCTGTTGTGCCGGCTGTTCTGGCTCTGTGACTGTGGCTGATTACTGAATCCATTGATGTTGAGGGGGGACTGCACCAGGGGAGTGTCCCGCTGACTGACGGGACTTTTCATGGGGGCTCCGCCGAGGTCTCCAAAGGTCTGGCTGTTCGGAAGGGCACCAAATTTGGGAAAGTCGAAGTGAAAGTTGGCGCCATACGATGTCCCGCTACCGCTGCGCTGTGTGTTGCCGGTGGGATGCAGTGGTGGTGAGGCGCGCACGCTGGCACCGGTCATGGACAGACGCTTGCGATATTCTCGCAGCTCCTTCTGCAAGCGCTCGACTTGGGCTTTAAGCATGCCATTTTCCTGCTTGTCTGCTTCGGTCGTCTTTTCGAGAGTCGTGACTTTCTCCTCCAGGTCTTTGAGGTGTTTCTCTTTGCGTTCTCGGAACGCGCGCTGGGCCGCTCGATTCTGGGCTTTTCGCTTCTGCAGCCGAGGTCAGTAGACGTCGTCGTCGTCGCAGCATGGCGTGTGTGTCAGATGCCCACATACGGTTGTCGGTTCGTTGACGAGAGGCTTTCTGCCCGGCTTCTTTGCCGTCTTCTCGCCGTTGTTATTCGTCTCCTGTCGTTTGGAATCGTGTTCCGGCGTTCCGGCGCCTTCGTCCGGGCTCTTGCGCTTCTCGTGCACCTCACCGTTACTTCCCGGCAACGCGCCAATCATGTCTCCACCCAGATCGGCATCCTCAAAGTCGAAGCTCTCGTCGTTGTCGAGATAGTCGAAACCCGGAGTGTAGTCGGTGGCAAACGTGTCCATGTTGGTGGTGTGAGGGCTCATAAAGAGTGCAGCACTGTTTGCGGCGGACACAGCGTTCATCTGACCTGCAGGATTCGAGTCGTCTGTTTTGATGAATGTGCTGTTGGTGGTGGGGGTGGTGCCAGTCGTGGGCATGGAGGGGTGCTGTGGCCTCGACTGAGAGTCCAGTGCAGCGCGGAGGAGGGTCGTCTGATCGTCGGTGAGGTATGGCGGGTCGGGCTGCGGAATCGGCTTTGTTAGCTGGTCGGCCATTGAGAGGCGACGATGCGAGCGAGGCGATACAAGGTGAGGCGAGACAACACGTTTTGGGATGGGCAATGTGTGTCCGGTAGGAGGTAGGTCAGGTCGGGTCGGGTGAGAAGGCAGCAAGGCAGAGGCAGAGGCGGAGGCAGAGACAGAGGCAGAGAGGCAGAAGCACAGGTGTTAGGCGTGTGTATGGCGGGTGTAGGGCGCAGATCACCCCGCTAGAACTACGGGCGTCGAACGCAGGGCTTTTGCTTCTGTCGCTGCTCTCACGACGTACCTGTGTTCCACGCGGATTCCTGTTGTTCACGGATTGACGGCTCTGTTTCCCCGTGCGTCTGTGTCTGGCAGAGGCAGAGGAGAAGAGGGAGAGGAAGAGGAAAAGAAGAGAGCGGAGTGAGAAGGCAGAATCTGAGCTTCTCACAAGAATGACGATTCCGAGGAAGAAGGGCCGGAATTCAGGCGTGTCGTTCAATGGACAAGCCCGTCTCTCCTTCTACCTTCTTAGCGGCTTCGCGGAGCAGACTCCAGCGTGGAAGAGTGTCTGGTGAAGAGAGGCAGAAGAAGTTTAATGAGAGTATACAGACCAGACTATCGCAGAATACCTATTTCAGAGTACAGTACGAGACGGGAGGGAAGCGGAGGAGGGAAGAATTTGGGAGGCGGTTTGCTTTGAAATCAACACTCAGTACTGTGAGTCGACTGGTAGATCCGTCCCGCCCGTCCGCCCGCAGTCCTCTTCACTTGACCTAGAAGGTACCTCCTAAGGTACGGAGGTAAGTCTACCACGGATAAGTAGAAGCGGGAATAGCATATCTGATGCAGTAGCTCTCCCGTCAGCCATGCAATGTGCTGACCACCTCCCGCCCCTCGCTGCACTGCACTGCACTGCGCACTCTGCACCACACTCGAGATGCTGTGTACCTCCTAGTGTGTTCACTGTAGGAGGTACCTAAGGTCAGGTAGTTTCGTCGGGACTCGGGAGAAAGATAATGACGTCGCCCCTCGTGCCGATAAGAATCAAGACTTGCGGCTCTAACCTTATTGATGCTGCCGAACACTACCCTTTCCTTGGCATTCTGACCGGCTACCGGGACCCTGTCCTGCGTGGCTTCGCAGACCAGACGGCAACGACAACAACAACAACAGCAACACCACCCACCACTCACCACTCCACCTCACTTCTCTTCCCACGCGCACTTCGCCAGAACATCACACATCCTCACTTCCACACCCCGCTGTTCCGAGCAAAGTACCGCCCGCCGCCTCACTTCGCACGCTCAGAAAGTACCAAGTGAACATGAGCGACCTCGCAGCCCTCGAAGATGAGCTGGCTCAGGCGCTCGAGTTTGTCGCCACCTGCAAGGAGGCACTTGAGATTGACCCGGATGACCAAGATGTCAAGACCGACATGCTCTCCTTTGAGCAGCAGATTCCCCTTCTGAAGTCCCAGATTGCTGCTCTCAAGGCGAAATCTGCACCTGCCCTCGATGCCGTTGCCGGATCCCCCAAGTACGATATGAGCAAACACCCCAAGTACCACACACCAGGAGGAGACACGCGCGACGTGGCGGGGGACCTTGCGGGAAAATCGGAAGAACATCGCGTATCATTCAACGTGGGAGATGTCGTGCAGGCGAAATACTCGGCCGACAAGTCCTGGTATCCCGCCACCATCGTCAGCAAGACTGGTAGTTCCTCCGATCCCGTCTACACTGTCAACTTCAAGGGCTACGATGAGAAAGAGCAGAAGCGAAAGCATGAGGTGCGCCCGGCGGAGAACAAGAAGCGCAAGGCTGAAGGCGACGCGGGAGCCTCCAATGGTGCGAAGAAGGCGGCTGCTGCTGCTGCTGCTGCTGTCCCACCACCACCGCCACCTCCCGCTCCTGTCCACGATGGAACAGTCATCAGCGGTGCCCCATCAATCGACGCCTCGCTCGTCAAGAAGTACGAACCGAGCAAGGTCAGCGATGGCCCCACCCGCATGGCACCCGCCCCGAAGAAGCTGAAGGGCAACAAGACGTTGGAGAAGTCGAAGAATAGCTGGAATGACTGGCAAAAGTCGGGTCCCAAGAAGCCTGCCATTGGAGGCGCCTCCAAGCTGAAGAAGGACAGTCAGTTCCGCACACCAGATCTGCCCAACGCAAAAGGTAAGTGCATTCTGTTGCGCCGCGCCCTTGTGCAATTGTGTATACTGACTTCTCCATAGTCGGCTTCACGGGTTCCGGCAAGCCCATGTCCAAGGACCAAGTCCGTGCAAAGTGGAATTTCGCGCGCGACGACGCCCCGGACGAGTGAAGAAGCACCCATCACATTCCGAATCAGTAAGTTGTCTTGCGCGCTCAACCGAGCCATGTCTAGCAAGTGGCAGCAAGCGCAACCGATGCGGCACATAGATGAGTTGAAGTCCGAGGTCTGCGATGCATTACCGAAGTATGAGCCAAGGGCGTGACGGGCATGAGGCCGTCACAAGTTGAGCACGCCAAGGAACATTGGGGCCATGGCGTGGGCCTTGTGGTAGTCATGTGGAATGGGTGTGGGCGCTGTGCTGTTCATCATGGATGGAGAAGGCTCTCCGAAAGGGCCACGAGAAGTATCCCTCCCACTGCAGAATGGCATACTTGCTAAGATGATCACCAGTCAGACCCAAAATGATAGGCTCAAAATGGCGCGATATGATGAGCCATTCGTTTTTCCATGACAAACATGTACCCCCTTCACGCCCTGCTGTCTCGGTCATGTCACTGATTGTGGTCCTTTTCTAGTCTCGATGGATGCCGATAGCACCAATCCCCGAGAGGTACTCCTACTCGAACTGTGCACCTAAAGACTGCTTCAGATTAGCGTGACTGCTTGGTGCCTATTTTTCTCTCGTGGTCGGCAAGTATAGATGATGTTAGTCGTGACCTATCGCCACTACTACTACTCCTACTACCATCTACACTTTTCTCAACCTCGGATTCGCAATCTCCCCTTGGATCAACCCCACTATGGACGCATGCACAAACGGTTTCTCCATGCTCTGATAGCTGATTTCCACCTCGGTCGTCACCGTAATTACCCCATCCACCTCCCTGACATCACCATCACACCAACCTTCCACGCAGCTCAATTCCGTATCCTCCCCCTGATTCGTATTGGACGTCACGGCGGTCAGATTTGTCCCCGAGCCATTTTTACTCGTGAATCCCGAACTCAATGGGATATGCTTCGTCCTCCACGGTGGGAGTTGATGCAGACTCGGCAAGCCTGAGAGACTTCTTCTCCCTCCTCCTCCTCCTCCTCTTCTGCCGGGTCGAGTGATGGAGGCTGGAGTCGCGCTGCGGGATGGGTTGCTGCTGCTGCTGTGGCGCTTGCGGAGAAGTTTCTTCCACAGACTTTTGCGAAAGAGTGGTCGCAGACAGGGAATGGACGCGGTGATGATGACAATGTTGAGTTCGACAGCCATGGCGATGACATAGGTCGAGAGGGTGTAAGTGTAATCCGTCACTTTGCTGAGATTACCAGCCTATACTTTCCGTATCAGTATACTATATACTCTGGAAATGTTTCCGAAGGGGGGAAGAAAAAGAAAACAACTCACCTCCACCGTCTTCACTCCACTCGCCACACTCGCCCATAGTCCCAAACACAACAATCCCGCCACTCCAATTTTCCTTCTCAATCGCATTTTCGTCCGATGTACCAATACCGCCGGTAAAATCGCCAACCATACATCCGTCAAGGTATTCAGTATACCCATAAAGTAGCCATAATTGGTCTGTATAACAGGGTCCCTATAAAATACCCAATCAAAAAGAAGAAGATGAGTAAGTAAGCTTCTCTTCGGTAAAAAAGAAAAGAAAAAAAAAAGAAAAAACTCACCAACAAAACTCATCATACCGAATCTGTTTCGCCAACGTCCAAAATACATCCAAATCTTTCCCACATTGGCAATAAAAGAGGATGATTCCCACGCCATTCACGACGACTTGCATGATGATTGCTGTCCAGATGATTCGGGGCCAGATTTTGCGGAGGGTCGCCGAGGGGGAGGTGGCTGTGAGGTAGAGGAGTGTGCAGGCGAATGAGATGCGGCTGGAAGGAAGGAGGGAGGGTTAGTGACTGGTGGTTTTTTCGTTGGTTTTTGGTTTTGGGGGTTTTGGGGGTGCCCCTTTTTCTTTTTCTTTTTTTTTTGAGGGGGAAAGGGGGTTTTGGGGGGGAGGGGGGATTCTTCTTTCTTCAAGTTCCTTCAACTACTCGAATCCCGAACTCATCATCTCATCGTCCATTCTCTTTTTTATTCAAGACCCTCTCAACAGATGATCCCCCATCTAAGAAGACATCTCCAAGAACCGAAAACCGGCGAAAAAAAAAATAAAAAAAAATAAAAACTCACCCAAACATCGGCCCCCCCGTCCCAAAAAACAAACTCAAACTCCCCACCTTCATACACATCGGTAATTTCTCCCACCCAACATAAATAATATGTTTCCCAAAACCATTCTGCACAGCGACATGAATCAAACTGGCATGCACGAGCGCAAATAGCACAGCACAAATCATCAAAATGTCGTCGAGAAAGAGTTTGTGCGTGAGAAATAACTTGATCAGGCAGCGGAGGAGGACGGTGAGGGTTGAGAGGGAGAGGAGGAGCCAGATGATGAGGAGGAGAGTTGGGCCTTGAGTTGTGTTGGGGGCGGAGGAGAGGGTGGAGAGGATTTGGGTGATGTTGAGGGCCATTTTTTTTGGTTTTTTCTTTTTTTTTCCGTCCTTCCTTGGGTTGTTGTCTTCGAGGGTCCTTTCTGGGAGGAGGCAGAGAGGTTTTTTGTCAGGTTTCCGGAGTGTGGTGTTGCGTCACTTTTGTTTTACTTCTTCTTCTTCTTCTTGGGCTGGCTGGTTGTCTTTCGCTCGCTCGCTTGCTTGCTACTACAATACTATCGCTACCGCGATAGATGCAGTCCAAAAAGGATATGTAGTTTCTTCATTGGCTACATCTGTCAAAGTTGCAACCAAGATCAAATCTTCGTAGCCTCACTTCTTTCCAGCTTGGTCGGATCGCTGGTGTATGGAAGTTTCCGAATTCGTATCTGTCTCATATACCTGTCGGAGGGCTCGTACTGCTGCTGCTGTTTGTTGGGTTCTGTCGTTTTTGAGATGGCGAATAATAAATAGTTATAATAATACACCTTCTACGACCTCCTGATGAGAAGAAGACAAAAACGAAGAAGAAATCGAAGCAGAAGAAGGAGAAGTAACTTTGCAGCTCACAAGTCTAGCGTGACATGGCAGCCGCCAGAGAAAGAAAAAAAAATCCGGTATGGTTATGGTATGGTACATAGACACCATGTACACATGATCAACGTCTAGGGAGGTGCGGAGGTAGGGAAGGGGGGAATTTGAGTTGCTTTTTGCTTGGAATCCTAGGATCAACATCTGGGTTTGCGCAAAGTGAATTACATTTAGGCTGATTTAGCGTGGACGATGAAACCTCGTGGAAAGGGGATGAATGCTCATGAGTGGACTCGCTTGTGATGACGGGACCCCTCCATGAGAGTCTCGCGTGCGTGGGAGGGCCAGGGTGTAGATTGGTCAGACTCGGACTATCTGCGGCTCGACTGGGGCGTGATTTCGATCAGAACATGCCTTTCATCACTTCGTCGACCGTGCGACCAACCAGGCGTGTCCAGTGTGTCCAATGCGACATGGAGAACGGAAGATAAGCGACTCGCTAGCATCGGAGCTCGAACGACAGGCGGAGCCGGTGAAGATCAATGTTTTACCCCTCAATGAAGCTACCACCCACAAGATTAGGGGCAACAAAAATGTGTATCATCGGTATACTGTACTGCACTTCTAACCCTACTGCAAACTTGCCTGCGTGGACTGTTACGTGGGACCAAGACTTTCCGCAGACTCAATGAGAGTAGTCTTTCTCGGCTGACCTGCCAGCCTCTGACTCGGGCTCAGAACTTCCTGACAGGCTTGGATATCTGTCACGGACTCATTGAACACTTCGGCCACCGAAGCCAGGACTTGATCGCGGTTCCAATTGCCACGTTCCCTCCAAATCTTATCCATAATGCGAGCTTTACATTGCTCCATCTGCTCGAGCGACAGCCCACTCGTCGTATCCACCATACTCGTCAGGAAATGCTGTATGCTGTCTTCATTCACAATCAGCTGAGGACGCGAATTGGGAGGGTCTGCAGCATCCTCGTCATTCAGGAGCGCGGACACAGACGACACTCGAGCGGGCGCTTTTGTGGGAGCCGCGGGGTTGTGCTGCGAGCCTGCTGATCCTTGGGAGCCAAATGGGTCGAATGTTGATGCAATTTGCTGCGATTCGTTGGACGGGGGTTGCGTGTCTGGCAGATTCTGACTGCCAGAGCCAGAACCAGAACCAGGCCCCATCCGGCCAAAGTCGGGGTAATCACCAGGTCGCATTATGGCCGTGGAGAACTGCGAGAACGGACCACTGCTGCCATTGCTATTTCTCGTGCCAGAGTTGGTTGACGTGCTGTTTCGTTGCTTTTGCAGAGATTGTGCAGATGCTGGCGGGAGCATCGCTGTTTGTGTGCCCATTAGGCTCTGTTGCGACACAGGCCGCTGCTGCGAGCCATGCTGTCCGTCTGGTACATCCAGCTGTGCGTCAAGCATCTCCGCATCTTCTTGTCCGTGCTGCGATTGCTGAAAGCCATTGACATGTCGCGGAACCCCGTTGCCCATGGTGCCGATGAATGCATCCTTGTCAGGATTCACGCCAGGGACTCTGCTCGGGGTGGAGAAGTGTTCGCCAAGAACGATAGGCCCAGAGTCGTCGTACCCCGTCTTGGAACCATTGGCAGGGTACATGTGCGGTGCACCTATCGTCGGCACTTTCTCCCCAATACCCTGCCCAGGCTTCAACTTGGCCAGGCAGGCACGTTCGCGGGCTTGCTCTCGCTCGTACACGCCTTCACATTCTGCACACATTGCAGCGTGCTGTGTTTCAACGGCGGCTATGTCGACTTCAACATTAGTAAGCATCTCCTTGGCTTTAAGCAGTCTGTCTTCTTCACCAAGGGTTTTGGCGTCCTTTGACAATCGCTTGATGTCTGCAAGAAAGTCTTTCGGGCGCTTGTAATACCCGTTGGACAACCTCTTTTCGATAGTCACAATATCGAGGTTGTAGAAAAACTTGTCCGTCATGACCTCCTTCAACCCAGGCACCCCTTTGCTGTCCTTGGCGACCTCATAGGGTCTGAACAAAGATTGTTGTTGTCGTTGTTCCTCGGTGAGATCTGTCGTAAGGACCTTTGGGTCTGTATCGTCGAACAGATGTGCAATCTGAGCGTCCTCGATGGGCGGATTTCTGAACTTCTTGTACTTCAGCTTGATTTGCTCCATGATTGGTTGGATGTGAAGCTTCAAGATGTTCAGCGTTTGATGGTCCTTCTTTTTCTGCGCTTTGAGCTCGGCTTTGCTCAGCTCTGCATTGGCTGGCGCCACAGCAACGGGTGCTTCAGGGAGCACTGCTAGCTTTCGTTTCTTCCGTTGATCAGGGTCGGGAAGCTGATCTGGCGATTGGCGAATGAAGTCCACGACGGTCTGCCAGTATTCGTATCGCGCCGAATCATCAGGCCGGTTGAGTTCATACTGGTCTCTGCTTGAGAATCCAAACAACTCGCGTAGCATGTCGGGGTTGGGCTTCTCGTCGTGACTTTGATATTCCAGTATTCCCAGTAGCAGGATGGGGTCAGTCGGTGGCAAGCTACGAAGCAGACCAACAAAAGTCCGCTTGACGGAGTCTGCAAGGATCTCCCACCATACACCAACATTAGGAATAAAAATGACGCTTGGCTTGTGCCTTTTCACCTCCTCAAAGAGTTGAACGACAGCAGCTTCGGGAGACTAGTGGAAGAAGTCAATGCGTTGGCTGTTCAGGAAAGGCAGATCATGACTTACCCTCGTCGAGTCTTTCATTAACGTCGCAAGATCAAAGTTCTGGACGTGCAAACCTTCGAACTTGCTCAACAGTGCCGCTCCAAGATACTGTTGTCCCATACCTGCCTTGCCCTTGATCAACAGTCGAGGTCTGAAGACTCGCGACGATTCAAATTCTCGCTGCATGACTTCCTTCTGAAAACCGAACTCATCTTCTCGATCATCGTACATCGCCTCCTCCAGAGCAGTGGCTTTGCGCTTGCGAGGAATGGTCTGGTCCAACAAGTTCGAGATCTCGAGAAGTGGACGACGTAAGAGTGGCTCGATGTCTTTCTTCAACGGGGCAGCACCAGAGGCAGCGGAGCGTTCAGAAGAAGGCACAATCTTATTGACGGAAATCATGAAATCCTTGGCTAAAACCTTGATCGTGCTGGGGTCGATGATCAGCTTGCGGTCGCTCGAGTAGATTTGCGGGTAGGTGCCCTGGACGGCATTCAGTGCTGCTTCAGTACAGAGCGCGCGCAGATCAGCACCCCCATAACCGCGCGTCTGCTCAGCAAGCTGGTCTTTAAACTCCGGCTTGAGCGGAGGATCCCATCCCTTGGTGTGGATGTCTATGATCTTACGTCGTCCCATTGCATCGGGCAGTGGAAAGTAAAACTCGCGATCAAATCGACCAGGACGTCGCAGAGCAGGATCAACAGAATCCGGTCGGTTGGTGGCACCAATGACAATTACCTGCCCTCTGCCATCCATTCCGTCCATGAGCGCCAGTAGAGTGGCGACAATGGAAGCGTGAATCTGCTCCTGCTTGCTAGAGCGCACTGGTGCAAGGCCGTCGATTTCATCGAAGAAGATGATACTAGGCTGGTTCTTCCGTGCCTCTTCGAACAGCAAGCGTAGTTGCTTCTCAGCTTCACCAACCCATTTGCTCAGTGCGTCTGCGCCCTTTCGCATATAAAAAGTAACCTTCTGCCCATGTGAACTAACGCTGGATGCCAACGCACGAGCAAGCAGTGTTTTACCAGTGCCGGGAGGGCCATGGAAGAGCACTCCTCGTGGTGGCGTGACATGAAAGCGCTGGAACACCTCAGGATACAGCAACGGCAAGGCAATCATTTCCTTGAGCTGATTGATGTGGTTGTCCAGCCCGCCCACACCGTCGAACGTAACGTTAGTGTCGACGCCAAGAGGGTCCGCATCTGCCAAAGCCTTCTTGTCCTTAACCTTGCCTAAGCCTGGCGGCCCGCCACCAGTGCCAGTCAGAGGATCGTTGTTCAGAGCCTGTGGCGCCGCTCCAAAATGCCTGGGGAATGCAGAGGTAGGTGTCATGCCCACTGCACCGCCAATTCCCTGCTGCCCACCCCCCACCTCGTCATCACTGCTATCAGAGTCGACACCACCTGCAGCACCAAATCCTTCCGGGCCTCCGAGCACAGGAGGGGGGCCAATGCCTCCACCGAAGGGTCCATACGTAGAAAATAAGCTGCGGTAGGCATTTCCGCCGCCTCCCCGACGAGTCCGTTGCGGCGTCACGGTAGGCATCGCGGGTGCATCGTCTTCTTCGATGGGCAGTAATAATTCGGGCCGGATAATGCGGTAGTCTGGTCTGTTTCCACGACTGCGCAAGGTCGGCTCGAAATTGATCTGGTTGTCGCGCTGTGATGTGCGCTCCCGTTTGCCTCTCGATCGGCGATTACGCCTTCTGTCCTCGTCCAGTTCTGCCGCCTCATCCGCAATCTCCTCAGCATCCAGCTCATCGTCCACAGAGGGTGCGCGTCCGGAGCGACTTCGTTGAGAAGCAGATTTGCGCGTCAGTCTACCTGACCGCCGCCCTTGGGAGCTGCCGTCATTACTACTGTCATTTCTCCCACGGCCAGGCTTGAGCAAATCTTCATCTGATTCAGACACGTCTTGATCCGCTTCGGCTTCTCCTTCGGCATCAGGCTCAAAGTCACTGCTTTGCTCAGCGCCGGCCTTCCGATTGCGAAGTGATCTTCGAGTGCTGGGCTCGGGTTGAGAAGGAGGCGGTGTCGATGCTTTTCGGCGAGCGCGTAAAGTGCGACCCTTAATCACCGGTCCTTCATCTTCGTCATTGTCCTCGGTTTCCGCTGCTGGCTCAGCCGCGGCCCCAGAATCCACCTGTGACGTTTGCGACTCTTGCACGACGTGCTCGTCGTCCTCGTCGCCATAATCCATTGCGATTTCCTCGTCTTTGGCTGTGGGAGTGGGTGATGTGCGTGGTATTTGGCGATCCACTCCCTGCACCGTGCTTCGCGCAGCTTCCTCCAGCTGGGAAACGAACTCTTGCTGGCCCTCGGTCGTCTGCCGTAGATCACCTATTGAATCTTCGTGGGATTCTTCGTAGATGGCGCTAGGTGGCTTCTTCGAGGCGAGGCCCTTTCCGCCTCTTGTTGGCCGACGTGTAGTCGAAGGGTCAGGCGTGTTGCTGCCAGCTCTCGTCACAACTTGATGCCGGCCAGAATCTGTGAGAGCCACGAGCGGAGTCTCGACATCGTGCGATAGTCGACTGCTGCGACGCCCTCCTGAGCCCTGCGCGTGCATTGTAGGTGTTGTCCCGCGACGCAACGTTCTACTGTTGCTGCGCGAGCGCGTTTCCAGATTGGTCTCGATGCTTGGCTCCGGTACTCGTACCTTCAGTATGACAATTTTATGCCGTTCGGAAGATGCAGCTGCACGCGCCTGTTTCGTTCGTGCAGGCGTGGGCTGTGTCGGGTTGTGCTCGCTTTCGGTGGCTGCTATCTCTTCGTCGCTCTCCTCCTCCTCATACTTGACCACCTTTTTCGCTGCCGAGCGCACGCTTCTGCCAGTTCGTGGATTGCGCTCTAGCGGCTTATCGTCATCAGATTCTGTGAATGACGCCTCCTCTTCGCTGTTCGCGACACTGTCGTTTTCGATGTCGTCGGAAGAGTCGCCGTAGTGCTGACGTCGTGGCTTATCGCGTTTGCGCGGAGATGCCTTTTGCTGTTTCCTGGACCTTTTCTGAGGGCGTGCGTGAGTTGCCGCGTCGTCAAAGTCGCTGTCGTTGGAGTCGCTCTTCGTGGGATCCCAGACAGCCGCCTTGCGTTTTCCAGCCATCGAGCGTGACTGTGACGACGCTTCTCTTTTACTCCCAGGCCGTCACTGCTTCACTCCCTAGCTGCCGATCTACGTGCGCTCAAATGGAAAGTTGTGCTCTCGAGGCATCTAGTCGGCTGATACGCGCGATCTTGTGACGGCTGTGCACAACTTGATGAGTAAGGTATCAACCATTAAGAACGAACTGTGGAAAGAGAAGAAGAAGATGCGTTATGGATATTGGAGCGTGATGGGAACTGATGAGTCCGGGGAGTATGGGCGACTGTAGGCAACAAGAGGGCGGAAACGGGGTGGAAAGCAGCAGGTGTGCTGGGAGGTGACCGGACGAAGCGAACCTGATACGGTACCACCTCAGGCAGTCCAACTTAGTTCCATGCAGATCCACTTCCCGACCCTTGGACGTCCTCACTCTGAACTTGTCAATCAAAACACCAACATCAACGACAACAACAGACAACACTGCGAACGGGATTCTCTCAATGCGTGCACGGGGCCATGTCGTGGTCGCGTTGATCTTCTGAACACTTCCATACCCATTTTGGCTCCCCTTTCTTCCCACAAACCATGCTATATGCCTCTGCATTTCCTGAACATTTCATCTATTGATCTCAAGATCGCTGGCGCGCCTGTGCCTGACAGGCGGAGCTGCAACCTTGAGTACTCTATTCTAACGACACCTCTTCGTCGCTAGATCACAACTGCACGTGATCCCAAGTGAAAAGCTTCCCTTGGCTTAGCATCATTTGAATTTTCTTATCTTTCCTCTAACACTTATATTGCAATCGTCTGTCCCCCGCTGAGCTACAGACAACTGTGATGGCGTCCATGCACCCAGTCACAATGTGTATGCGCATATAGATACATGTTTCCAGTCCAAGACGAAGCTCCTATGGAGTCAGCATGATGAGGGACTCCGTCCCGTAAGCACGCGTTGCGCCATGAATGCCGCCTTACAGCAGACGCAATCTGCGGCAACCAGTCTGCAACATTCAGCGGTTGTGTAGGGTCACTAGCTTTCCAGGAGGTACCTGTGTAAGGTAGTGAGGCGTTGACAGTCTCAGCCCTCATCTGCCTTGGCACTGATGAGCAGAAACGTGAATGCTTGGCAATAATTGACATCAACTCCTAGGAGGTACCATGTGTAAGGTAGGTACCTTGGGTACATGTACATTACCTAGAGCCATCACTTCGACGGCTGCATCATCTCCTTGTTGCGAATCGAGTCCTGTAATAAGGACAGCAGACAATACCGCACAATTGGTTCAATTTCTCAGTGCATAGGCTCTGCCCACGACCGCAAACACGAATGCAGTCCTTCTATTCATCACATTTAGATACCGTGTATTTGAGTCCGTAGCCACTCACAGCCAGATGACTATCAGGGTGGCAGTGCGATTGTGGCCTCCGCCATTCGTATACCTACCTGCGTCAGGCCCATATGGATCTGAAGGAGATCACTATCAACTGTAAGGCACCGCACCTTAGTGTCCATCTATCAGTAGAAGCATCTACAGCACCAACTTGTCTTCCAGCCTCACAGCACGGATCCAGGCGTCGTGTCCTCTCTGGCATTTTTTGGCGGCTCCAAGTCTGTGCCTGGAGATACAACAGCATAGAGTCGAGCTAGAAGAAAAATGTGTACTCCGCACCTCAGCACACATGTCCCGACATAAGCGTACCCTATGCCGCTCGTGCACTGGCTCTGTACCAGGTAGGCTTCACATACGTGCCATCAACCTTCCAGCACACCTACAGCATTCATATCCTCAATAGCCCTATGGCTAACAGCCTTCCACTCCCCATGTACATCCCTCCACTCAGTAAGCCCTAACCCCTGCTTGACTGCACCTATCGGCGTATCTGCAAGCTTGACCGTCTCATAACACTCAACAACGCACTTTCCATCTTCACCTACCTACACTCGTGTAACGATCTACCACTTCAATTTACGCGTGCGGATGCGCTTCGTATATCAATCGCCAGTGTTCAAGCATATCTTGTATTGCAAGCAAAGTTGTGCACGGAAGTTCTCAGACACTCTCATCCAAGGCGGTTGTGACGCGAAGAAATTGTGGGCGTTGATCGCGGTTGGGAAGGCCGAATTATTGGGTTCCATCTGTTGGGAGAGTAAGAGGTATGCGCGTTTCGTCGGCGGTGGGTGCCATGGTCCGACTGCTGCGACGGCGTTATACTCGTGCACGCTTCCACCACTTACAACAGGTAGCAGGTACCTACCGCATACTGTTAGTTCTGGGCGGCGTCCCAAGGAGGATTCGGACTCGATAACAAGTGTGCACGATGCCGACGAGGCTTCTTGGTTGTGAGCCGCTTGTTGAGAACGCAGGCTATGCGGATTGTCCCTGTCGGATTAGCTACTGTCGGGTACAGCTTGCGAGCTGACGCCTTGCTAACACGATGGAGTGGTGGACATTCTTTCGAGTATCGTGAGCAGGCGACGACTCACGGATCAGTACATGTAGGTACCGAAGGCTTAAGGTTCGAGCACGTGAGGATTCTAGGAACGCGCGCTATGGTACTCTTTGGTACTTGTACCTAGCCATAAGTTTTTGGTCGTGGTACGCTCTCTGACTCTCACTACCACCTACTTGTTGTCGCCGTACACTGCTCCAGGAGAATCATCGTCCCATACCCGAAACCGCAGCATTCGCTTGTGTCGCCGGCTTCCTCGTTGCACTCCAGTCGTTACCCGCCTCCGCCTCCACCTCCACACCTTGTCGGAAGGCATATCGTACCGCGGCGTGGCTCCCGTTAGCGGCGTATAGCGGTTTCCTAGCTCAACCGTCTCATCACCGAGCACGCGCGACAACTACACGCTTCCACACATCGCACTTTACCCGCCGTCGCTCGAACCACTCGCGTCGCACCTACCTCAGCTGCAGGCCGACAAGCTGCAGTGTCACCGCCGGCGCATCATGGAAGACCTCAAGGAGAATTTCAAAGAGAAGGCGGAGAAAGTGAAGGAGGGCGTCAAGGAGACATTACTCGGAGTGGAAGATGAGCTCCAGACATCGGACCAGACGCGCGCGGAGTTCATGAAATATGCGAAAAAGGACGAGGGGAGCGAAGAGTGGTACATGGGCGAAAGCGAGTTCATCGATGCTGTCGCACCGGCCGGCGAGGATTATGTGAGTAGCTTCATCACTACTGCGCTGGAATCAGTTCAATGTTGCCCATGGTTGGCGCATGCACTCTGGTGTCGTGGCGCAGCGGAACGATGACAGTGGCACTGACGATTTCTTCTAGCATAAAATCAAGCGCGAACAGTATGGGCTTCTCTTTCAAATTGCCGATCGCCAGGGCAAGTCCAGAGTTGCACTGGGGGACTGGAACGTCTTCAATAACCTCCTGAAGAAGCCGGATGCGGAGTACGAGATCGCGTTCCGCCTCTTCGCAGATCCAAGTTCGGGACTGGTCGATTTCAACTCCTTCAAGGAGGTCTACGCCAAGAATAAGACATCCAGCACTATACCTTTCAACTGGGACAGTGACTGGGCAAAGCTCTACTTGGGCGGTAAGCGTCACCGCCACTCCATGACATATCCCCAGTTTGCCCAAATGCTGCGAGGCCTACAAGGAGAGCGCGTGCGCCAGGCGTTCCTGTACCTTGACAAGAATGGCGAGGGATACATCGAGCCCGAGGATTTCCAGCGCATCATTGTGGAAACGGCATCACACAAGCTTTCCGACCACCTGTTGGTCAATCTGCCCACACTCTGCAATATCTCACCCGGCTCGCGGATATCATACGCAAATGTTCGCGCTTTCCAAAATATCCTTCGTGAGATGGACGTGGTTGAGATGGTCATCAGACATGCTGTCCTCAAGTCGAGCGATGGAAAGATCACTCGCGTTGATTTCCTGAATGAGGCGACCCGCATCACGCGCTTCTCACAGTTCACGCCAATGGAGGCTGATATCCTGTTCCACTTCGCCTCCCTCGATCAGCCTTCTGGACGACTCGGACTCAATGACTTTGCTCGAGTGCTTGACGCCAGCTGGCACGCTAAGGTCAACGACCCCACAGCGAACGTCTCGGACATTGCTCAAAAGGCTGTAGTCAAGTCTCAAAGTTTTCTCCACGATGTTCTGGTCTCTGTGCATCACTTCGGCCTCGGTAGTATCGCGGGTGCTTTTGGTGCATTTATGGTCTATCCTATCGATTTGGTCAAAACTCGCATGCAGAACCAGCGTGGCTCTGGTGTCGGACAATTGCTGTATAAGAACAGCATTGACTGCTTCTCCAAAGTCATACGCAATGAGGGTGCTCGTGGTCTCTACTCTGGTGTTCTACCCCAGCTCATTGGTGTGGCTCCCGAGAAAGCTATCAAGCTCACTGTCAACGACATTGTACGTGGCAAGTTCACAGATGCGAAGAGCGGTGACATCAAATTCTGGCAAGAAATGATTGCTGGAGGCTCCGCTGGTGGTTGCCAAGTGATCTTCACCAACCCGTTAGAGATTGTCAAGATTCGTCTCCAGGTGCAAGGAGAGGCTATTCGTGCGGCGGCTCGAGAAGGCGAACAGCTTAAGAAGCGCACCGCCATCTGGATCATTCGAAATCTTGGTCTCAGAGGCCTGTACAAGGGTGCATCGGCATGCTTGCTGCGCGATATCCCCTTCTCCTCGATTTACTTCCCAGCATACGCACATCTCAAGAAGGACTTCTTTGGAGAATCCCCGACAAAGAAGCTAGGCGTCGTACAACTACTCACTGCTGGTGCCATTGCTGGAATGCCAGCTGCCTACCTCACTACACCAGCTGATGTCATCAAAACACGTCTGCAAGTCGAAGCTCGCAAGGGAGACGCGACATACGCCAACATCCGCGATTGTGCTCGCAAAGTCTTCAGAGATGAGGGATTCAAGGCCTTCTTCAAAGGCGGGCCAGCACGTATTCTGCGTTCATCGCCACAATTCGGCTTCACACTTGCCGCATACGAGGTTCTGCAGAACGCTTTACCATTCCCTGGGGACCACGACGACAAGCCCACTCCACGTGGCAGCATCGAGCCGATCACTGACGCGCAGGAGCGACAGTCGTCTCTGCCGCATTTGCGATGCCGCAACGCTCTCAAGATCATAAACGATCTTGATCTTGGATTTGGCAAGGTGAAGCCGCCTCAACAAGGTGGTGGTGTTGGTGGTATCACCAGCTGGCTTCCCGGCCGTTCGCAGGACAAGTCTGATCAGCAATAGCTTGTCTCGGGGATGCCACCCCTCTATGACCTGCACATCTTAATGATACCCTGAACATGGCGGTCGCAGCGGTAGCGGTAGCGTTACACTAGTCGTACGTAGCAAAGGGAACCTTTCAAAAAGAGTGCCAAAGTTGCATGCGTTGGAAACGCAACAGTGTTGGGAAGAGTCGAAATTGGTTACAGCATAGCGTTCACGGCGGGTGTCCAAGGCGTTTTCTTTTCTTTCCTTCCCCTTTGGAGGATCACGTCTGAGACTGTATCATGTTCACATGAAGGGCAAGGAAAACATGCTTTTGGACCAGAAGAGAAAAAGAGAGCGAGAAAAGGGAGTGGAGCTAGAGCTATACAGCTATACAGCTAGATAGGTAGGTAGATACCTTAGGTACCTAGGTAATGTCGTCTTCTACGCATGAAGAAAACGACGAAGATGATAGACGACGGGAGTCCCGATCAGAGACACTTGCACGGGAACGAAAAGTGAAAGAAGCAGAGTGTCGCAAGCAAGCATAGGACGTTGCAATGTATCAAGGAACGATTTTATTACCATGTACCTGGTACTGTTGTTTTGTGAGTGCGACTCGGATTTGAGACTCTGAACACCGTTATTAGGTACATGTAGTGATAGGTACGTGTAAGTAAGGTAGTGATTGGATGTCCTTGACGATCGAGAATACACTGGGCACGCTTCTCTATTCTAGATACTACAGTAAGTTCCACATACATGCTTCATCAGTATCTTACCTTACCTCACGCAGAAGATGAGGGGGGAGTTGGCGCGGGTACCTACTTGTTGAGGAGGTTGTTCTTCCTAGGTACCTACTTGTAGGTTGTGCTGGGCAGTCAATCCATACCACGAGAGGGTTTTGGAAGGCATAATGGCAATAGCAGACGTGAGAATGGACGGATAGACGGCTGGAACTGGAAGATGCGAAAAGTGAAGTCGATATGTGATCGTACAGAACTAGGTACTTATGATTGTTCAATTTCGACCGCTAATCCCTTGTTCTTCTTATTCTTCTCCTCCGCGTTCTCCACCCCTTGATCAACACCACCACCACCACCATTACCATCAGGACCATCGGCACTCAAAGTCACTTGTACATTTGTCACAGAAGGCGCGCCCGCGCTTCTGCTCGCAGCGGCAGCGTTGAGTCTTTGGTCTAGAGCTTTGAGCGCAATCGCTCTTCTCCGTTCGGCTTCGGCGCGTCTGCCACCGCTACCACCACTATTGAAGCTCGGCAAACCACCTTCGGCGGCTCTCGATGCAGCATTCTCGTTTCCGGCTTCGATGTCTTGATCGGAAAATGGGGTACACACACGTAGTTGTACGAGAAGATTGTATACTCCATCGCATATGGGTGACAGGATGGGATGTAGAAAGTCGGGAAAAAACGCAGTGAAAGAGAATGTCTCGGATGCATCGCCCTTGATGATCGTATCTTGTCCTCCGGTAGTTGCGTTGGAGATGTCTGAGATACGGAAAAAGCGGAGATAGAGCCAGGAGGTGAGGAATCCAAGGAGACTTAACCAGAAGGCTGTATCCGTTCCGAGTAAGGGCCCAGAGATCATGTTTGCGAGAACGAAGACTGCTGGGAAATGCTTGATGCGCATTCGGATGGTGCCTTTGAAGATAGATACTGTGTGTTCAGGCACGAGTTGCTTGAGGGATACTAAAAAGCCCGCTTCGAGAGCTACGAGACCATTAAGAGGCGTGGGACTTTTGAGAAGCTTGTCAGTACAGGTTCATGCTACCTCTCAATCATGCTGAGTGAGATGACATACTGTTCAGGCGCAGCGACCACTAGCCCGTGCCACACCGCGTATATGAAGAACGTGATAATGTTGGGTATCATTGTTACCTTGGCCGAAGGTCAGCGGATTGCGAGTCGATAGGAGCGAGAGTGAACTCACAAACAGCACAAATTTGCCGAACTCCTTGGTGCCCCATGCTCTTTCGAGATATCTGCCTCCGAAGAACAACACACTACCACTGATCACCAGCGACACCACGTTGTTCTCGATCAGAGCTCCACTGAGAACAGTCCATGGGAAGCGAATGCTCTGTGTGGGCACGCACACCAGGTATGGAACCGACCATCGCGGGCTCGAGAGGTAGTCGGTGGCTGTAGTTGCAGCGGGATTGGAGTCGAGGGACATGCGCCATTTGGTGGTTCGCAAGACGGCATTGAGCGACGATAAGGTAATGAGGACTAGCAGAAGGGTGCGCGTGATGGGCGGCAGGTTGATGCGCGGCATTATGGCGGCGGCGGCGGCGGCGGCGGTGGTGGTGGTGGTGGTGGTGGTGGTGGTGGTGTAGCTCGTCGTCGTCGTCGTCGTCGTCTTCTTCTTCTATGGATCCGCGAATGTATGCATCCCCGACTCCCTCTCACGCTCACGCGACCCTCCTCTTCTGTACCGTTGTCCTGTAGTGAGACGTCGTAGTACCTAACAAGGTATGGAGAATGTTTGTCCTGTACCTTACCTGGCGATCCACTAGCGCGGGATGTTTCACCTGATCATTTACGCTAATAATATCAATGTGGAGTCGGTTCGTCTTCCGAACGAATGCTTGTTGGGTTGGTGCAGTGCGATCGCGTGAATCGAGTAGCAGGTAGTGGAGACGGGCCAGACGGGAGTTAAACACTTCAACTTACAGTAGATCCTTCATTCTTACCGCCTTGTATGCCATCTTGCACGCTGCCACGCTGCCACGTCGACTACGTCGACATATCGCTAACACAATACCCACAGATTCTTAGAGCTACCTGTACTACTGGCCTCCCGCCCTTCGCATGGTCTCTCACACTGGAAGAATCCGAGCACGTCGCGCATTTCCGCCATGTCGGCTGCGGCAGCGCTCCATTCGAACCACGTGAACTATGTAAGTAGTGACAACGCCACTGATACGAACGAAGTACTGACTCTTCCTTCTTCACAGCTGGTATGGAGATATTTACAGGAGCAAGGCTTTGAGCATGCCGCCATTGCCTTCACGCGCGACTGGCGCCGCACGGGGGACATTGCTTCGGACCCGGATGCGCTATCGTTTGCGCCAGAGGTGCGGCGCAACGACCTGGTCTCGGTGGTGCAGTATGGAGTGCATTATGACCAGGCGCGGGCCAAGGCTGGCTTGAACAATGGAGAGCGCAAATTTGCATGGAGCAAGATTGAGGGTCGCGGCAGCCTGGAGAGACAGCGCGACCCGGCAGAGAACGGCGCCAGCACGAGACCAGCCACGGGCAGGCGGAAGGAGAAACCACCAGCTGTGCGGACAGTAGATGGTGCTCGTGGCCAACCACCCCGAGCTTCGCGAAAGAGTGAGGCAGGCGATGCACATCTCAATGGCGACGCCCGTGATGCAATGGATGTTGAGCCTGGCTCTGTGGATGGCGAACCTGAGCAAGAAGCCACATCACCGACTGTGGCATCCGAGTCGGACCAGGCTGGCCCGGTCGAACGATACGATAGCATGGATGTTCTTATCCAGACTGACATCAAGGCCGGGCTGAATTCAAGTACGATATCTTGGCTTTTGGACAAGCCTGGCGCCACGATACACCGCGCCATATGGAATCCAAAACCGGACGTAGACGACAGTAAAACGCTTCTGGTTGTAGGTAACGACCTCTGCCGATTCTACCAGATACCGAGTTCAGCGAACAATGCTCAGCATCTGGAGAACATCGACGAGCCAAATCTATCGACGAGTTGCTGTGTCACCGCTGCAACCTGGCGGCACGATGGTACAGCAGCATGCTGCGCGATCGATAAGTTACGACAACTACCTAGCGGAACCCAGTTGTCCCAGCAAGAGCTAATCGAACGTCATAGCAATGGCACGAGCACTTCTCTTCAGCTCGGACCAGCAATGCTAGAGCCACCAGGTATAGTACTTGGCATTCATTACAGCCCCGACTCGAAATATGTACTGGCCCTGCGCACGAACATGAAGCGCTCCACGATCCAGGTCTGGCCGTCATTCCGGCCTGACGTTGACACATTACCGCTAAGTGAACCCATTGCGTGGAGATTGTTCGATATCCAAGTCTGCGATGTGACCTGGATCTCGAATGACACCTTTGCGGTCTGTGGCGAGAACGGACTTGCAGCATTGTATCAGATTGACGAAAGCCAGAGTCGTGGTCTCGGCGTTTTACCCGTAGGCAATGTGCTCATGCGCGGCCTCATGTCACGGAATTCGAACATTGTCGAAGGTACTTCTCACTGGGATTACGTTCGCTACGATCCACGCTACTGTATAGCTGCATTCGTGTCCAGAGCAGACAAAAGGCTGCTTTTCACGTCCAAACTGCGAAGCGGCGAAATCAGCTCTAGCACTGATGTGGAGTTCGCCCTGCCAGAGGACAAGCTGCTTGAACCTGTGGCATTCTCTACCGAACAACTAGTGAACCAAGGCGAGCAAATCGGGAATACGGATGTCGAGAGCCTATTCGCTGCAGGCTTCAGCGATGGCACTATCGGCCTCTTCAGCGCTCGACATTCTCTGGAGACTGGTTTAGAGTGTAAGACTCTTGGAGACCTCACTCTGCTGGAGTCGCCCACAACAGCACTCGCCTGGTCGCCGGATAACGAACATCTCGCAGCATCGAGCTCGAATCTCGTTCAGATTTGGTCACGCGACAGTTTCAATAAGAGGAACGGGATCGTACAAAGCCCTCGCACGATCTTCACGTGGCGGCCTCAGGACCTCGCTGGGCATGAAAACGGAATTGAAAACGAAGAAGGCAATAGACTTGTGACATGTCAGCCAAGTCTCACGTGGAGTGCGGATGGCCGTAGCTTGGCATTCGCCACTGAGGAACAGGTACGATACCCTACCTTGTGTATTGGCTAGATCAGCCTACCACAAACACATTGTTCTCAGGCTAACACGTAGCAGATCTCCATCATCGCTCTCGACGCGCCTGTCCAGGACGAAAAGCTCAATACCACCATGAACGGCCATCACGCTCCTTGAGAGATACCACAGCACCAGCGGCCACAGTTGAGATCTGTCCTCATGCAGCGCTCTTCCTGCACGGAACTTGTTGCAAAATTCGAGTTTCGTAGCCGTCTCGTGCTCCGCCAAGCACATGTCTAGTCTAGCATCGCAGGCTTCCATGCCTCCAGCGTCCGTCCATCGATCGAGTCAGGATACCTCAACTATGCCCATGGATACTCCTCGACCACGACCTGTCTTTGAAACACTCCACGCTGCATTTCCGCCCAGCATGGCATACTATATAAGAGAGTTAGCACAAGACTGCTATTGCATCTTGTCTTCCTCGATCGGTATGCACTCACCAAAGCCAAGTAAAAAGCTCATCTAGATCTTCTGCAAGCGCAGGATTCTGGTAATCCCTGCATATGAATTTCTGAAGTTTGATTGTAGGACCGCTGTTACCACTTGTTGATTGCCGCAGTATCGAGGGTGACCGGAATGGGTTGGATATCACTCGATACGAGGAGAAGAATTCTTGCCAGCAATCTGGATAATACACCTGAGTCAGTCGATCGATGTTCGAAATTATCTGGCTGGTGGGAAAACTAGAATGGCTGATAGGAAGAGACGACACCATACCCTCGAGCTGTGCCTTTCCCACCCTGTTCTTATCGTTCAGGATACCAGAATCGCAGTCCGGAGCTAGTTTTACATCGAGTTCTTCTACATGAGGCAGTAAACCGCGGAAGAGATCCGTGTGTGTTGCGAAAGGCAGGATTGCTGTGTAGACAAATTTCTTCACGGAAGACGACCGCCGGGGTTGATGTGAATGGTCTGATGAGGAGGAGGATGATGACGGTGGTGGTGGCAATGATAGGAGGCAACTTTTGATGCTAGCGATGAGAGATGGTGGCCCTCGTTCGACTAGATGGATAATGGAAGTTGTCAGACGTTTTCTTCCTCTTGATTTCCTAGTGTCTCCTGTTGTGGTCTGTGACTCTCTTGGCTTTCAATGAATTGATGGAACTTACAAAATTCATAGGTCGCATAAGCTCGTAGGAATGATCCTTCATTGAGATGAATCTCATCCCATGGTTTGAGGTACAACAGACTGGATGGTGGCGACGATGAAGATGATGCGATTCCTGGATAGGTGGTTGGGATATAATCCTCCTCGCGCATTGATGTATCATGATGCATATCTAGCCCCGATGGCGATGATGCCGAGGCACCCGTGACCGCGTCGCTCACGCCCAGCTCGAGAATATGATATTCCATATCACTAAATGCCCAGTCGCCGAACAAGTCGATGGCGCAATTGGTCAGACAGGCGAGATGCAAGGGACTGGCTGTCACGATTACTCGGATCGGGTTGATGGAGTGGAAGATACGTCGCCAGAAGAGGGCGGAGGTGACATAGGCGCTTGCGAAGGATCGGGAGAGGTGGGGATAGCGGCCGCGGCTGCTATCGCCGCCAGGGGCAATGTTGTCAGTAGGGCGGGTGTTGCTAGAGTGTATGAGGAGAGCGAAGGTTTGAATGGAAGAGGTGAGATTGTGGGTATGGAGGAAGGTGAGGTAGGCCTCGACGGCGGTAGAAACTCCATCGTTTGCATGGATGGTTCGATCCTCTTGCTCAATGGACGGGTATTGGCCATGGAGAGGAGTCTCGTCGACTTCCGAGGATGTCTCTTCTGCTCCTCCCGAGGAGGGTTGTTGTGAGGAATTGGCCTCAGTACTGCTTGATTTCAAGATCATGTTACTGATTATGAGACGAGAATGCTTGAAGAGGAGCGGCAAAGTGACTCTTCGCCATCGTTTGGATACTTTGGATATGTTCTTGTAGTCTTGATGTGTAGACGAGGTTATCTGCAAGCTTGGCTCTTTTCTCGAGTTGAGCTGCGAGGGTGCTGGGCTGTCGAGGAGCTCCAGGATGTTCAGAAGGATTTCCTCGGGCAGCGAGTTGATGTGAAGGCCAGCCATTGAGACAGGTCGTTGATTGTATGTTGATCTGAACTCGTTGTTGCTCCATTCGAGGAACATTGATGTTCCCTCTTCGGCAGGTGCTGCTTACTAATCCTTGGCGTTCCCACCTCGATCCTGCTTGCCAAAATCGTCCAGTGAGAAACACCTCAAGGCACGACGCCCAGACACCCAACGAACATTAACGCCCACGTCCAGTCGACAAAATGAGGACCTACGACGATACCTTCTCCGGCGCGAAGATCTACCCTGGAAAGGTACGGTGCAACCCTCCTGCGCGCAAACCGCGCACTCATCGGGAGAATGTTTGAAAAGAGGAGGAGCAAGACATTACAAGTTCTCATCGCAGAACAATGCACGCATACACATATGAATTGGCTAGACAGAGAGGTGGCAGCTCGATAGAGCGCTACTAATGCCTGTGGCCTGAGATGCAGCGAATGTTTGGCGCTCTGCCTGCACATGTCGCTTCCTCAAAGAATTGCCTGAGTGGTGTACGCACCTTGTATGGAAGCCAGGCTGACAGGACAAAAAACAGGGCAAGCTCTTCATCCGCTCGGACAGCAAGATCTTCCGTTTCCAGAACGGCAAGAGCGAGTCGCTTTTCCTGCAGCGCAAGAACCCTCGTCGCATTGCGTGGACTGTTCTCTGCCGCAGACAGCGCCGCAAGGGTATTTCTGAGGTACGTGATCGATGTCCCGAGGGGCTTCTCCCACGAGACAAGATTTTGACCGTATTACAGGAGCAAGCCAAGACCCGTCGTCGCAAGCAAGTCAAGGCACAGCGTGCCGTCGTTGGTGCTTCGCTCGATGTCATCAAGGAGCGCCGCTCTCAGCGTCCAGAGGCCCGCTCTGCTGCCCGCAAGCAGGCTATCGAGGACGGCAAGAAGAAGCGCGCTGCCACCGAGAGCGCGAAGAAGGCAGAGAAGGCAAAGACTGCTGCCAAGTCTGCTGCAGGTCAAACCACTGGCCGGTATGTGCATCTCCATACATTGTCAGCTGTCAAATAACATCCTTCCTCGTACTGATTGCTGCATAGTGTCGTCGGCAAGCAAGCCGCCAAGGGCTCCGCACCAAAAGTCAAGGCCACCACCCGTTAAGGAGGGTTTGAAGCGAACCGTGTGATGGGAATCATGAGGGGCGTTTTTGGGCCACGAGTCTCTTTCACAGCTAGCTAGAGCAGCGCAGCGCTGAGGGCCCTGGTCATGATAACTGAGATATCCTGGTCTACACCACACTTTTTCGGGCCTGTAGTTTTTGCGTGCCCACGTTTCTTCATCTCCCAGGGTTGTCGCATCTTAAGCATTTCATGCATTGTGAAGACGTTGCCGCATCTAGTCGTGAATAGACCGAATCTTGGCGAGGGGTGGTGAAAACCCGTATTGCCCGAGGCCGGGTACCTTTCTAAGCCATTATGATAAAACCTTATCTGTACGTATGTAGCGGCTCCACCTTTTGATTTGCGAGCCAGTGAGGCGTGGCAGTAAGCAACAGCGAGAATATCCTTGCCCAAAATTTCCAGCTGCTCTCTCTTTTTCCCTCTTCCCTCTCCTTTCTCTTCCCTCAACAACAACTCTCCACTCTCCACTCTGCGAGGCATGCCTCATATTGACTCGCCTCCCATGATTCCAGTCATGGTCAGCAGCAAGTCTGCAGCTCCGTCGCCAGACGACGTGCAGCAAATTACGAAGACGATTTACAGCGCGAAGCAATCGCAGGAGTCGCTCGACGCAGCCTACACACTCACCGATGTCCTTCTCAACAGTGTCGGCTTCCGCGGTCTCACTGCATACAGCATTCTACCCGAAATCGTCAAGTCGGCCACCAACAAGAAAGATGCGGCGAGACGAGAGGGGTCCATGTTTGCGCTCGGCGCAATTTTTGAGCGATTTCCGCCCAAGGCTAGGCTGAGCGAGGTGGTCTTTTTACTACAGGAGCCAGGCCTCATTTCATGTGCGCTGGACCTATATGCAGATCGACAGTCCTCTGTGAGAGAGGGTGCGAAATATGCACTCGATGCACTGTATGGACACTTGTCAGCCGAAGCGAAAGTGTTCGGACTTATGCCGCTCGTCATGGAATACCTTCGCAAAGTCTCTGGCAAGTGGCAGGGCGCCATCGGAGGCCTCGAGTTCTTAGGTCGCATGGCAGATGATGCGAAGATGGGCATGGAGAGCCGCGAAGTCGAGGAGAACAAAGATGTGCTGCGTGAGGCCATGGGTAGGCAGCTGGCAGGTCTCATCCCTATCGTCGAGGCTGGTATGCACGATCTCAAGGCAGAGGTCACGAAACAGGCCTTGAAGACCATGAACAGCTTGACCGAGCTGCTCCAGAACGACGATGTGGCTCCTCGGATACCTTTGTTGGTCAAGAGCATTGAAGACCCGAGCATGGAGTCCTTGAAGAAGGCTGTCCACGCTTTGAGCCAGACTACATTCGTCACAGTCGTCACATCCCCAGTGCTCGCACTAGTCACGCCAACTCTGGAGCGTGTTCTGAACAACCCAGGAACCACACAGGAAGTGCTGCGACAAACTGCCGTGGTCGTGGAGAACTTGACGAAGCTTGTTCATGACCCAGTGGAAGCCCGAACTTTCCTGCCCAAGCTCAAACCGGGAATTCAAGGTATCAAAGATCGCGCTTCTCTTCCTGAGGTGCGTGAAATTGGCGCAAGAGCTTTGGACGTCATGCTCAAGGCTATGGGTGAGATTCAGACCGGAGACTCAACGAAAGCCGGTGTAATCATCGATCGCACCAAGCCCGAGGAGGTTGAGGCGGTGCTGGAGAAAGAGGTCCAACAAAACGGTGGTCTGCTCAACTATCCTGGCGACGCAGAAGTATGGGTCCTTGCGAAGCGTTACATCGCGACTCTGGTTGCAGAAGACACAAACCAGCGTGTGCTTGGTCGTGTCACTCGGAACATTGTTCCATACCTGCAACCTCTGTTGGACGACGGTAAGGCTGAGATTGTGGCCGAAAACGTGCACAAGCACTATGTCGTGGAAGATGAGCGCAAATACGGGGAGCCTGTCAAGGAGGATGATGGTGAGGTGGAGATTGTCAACGCCAACTTCTCTCTTGGGTATGGTGGTATGCTGCTATTGTCTCACACCAACATGCGCCTGTTGAAGGGTCACCGCTACGGACTGTGCGGTCGCAACGGCGCTGGAAAGTCGACGCTGATGCGATCGATCGCGACTGGCAAACTCGATGGCTTCCCGCCTCAAGATGAGGTGAAGACCTGCTTCGTTGAGCACAATCAAGGCGAGGATGCGGAGATCACGATTCTTGAATACTGCTTGAAGGACCCGGAAATCTCGAAGGAAGGCCGAGAGCGTATTGAGAGTGTCCTGGAAGAGGTCGGTTTCGCCCGCGGTCCAGAAGATGCCGGCCGCTTCAGCCAGGGAAAGAAAGTCGGCAGTCTGTCAGGAGGTTGGAAGATGAAGCTTGCTTTAGCCCGAGCCATGTTGATGCGAGCCGATGTCTTTCTTCTGGACGAACCGACAAATCACTTGGATGTGGGCAATGTCAAGTGGCTCCAGGACTATCTCAAGTCGCACACTGATATCACTTCGCTCATCGTATCTCACGATTCTGGGTTCCTGGATGAAGTCTGCACAGACATCTACAACTACGAGACCAAGAAGCTGGTGCACTACAAGGGCAACTTGGCAGATTTGGTCAAGGTTCGCCCAGAAGCAAAGAGCTACTACACACTTTCGGATTCGCAGGTCTCGTTCAAATTCCCGCCTCCTGGAATTCTTACCGGTGTCAAGTCCAACACGAGATCTATTCTGCGTATGACAGACTGCTCATTCACGTATCCTAATGCTCCGAAGCCCAGCTTGCAAAACGTTACCGCTCAACTCACACTGAGCAGCAGAGTTGCCATCATCGGGCCCAATGGTGCCGGCAAATCTACAATGATCAAGGTTCTCACTGGCGAAGTCATCCCGCAGAGTGGTCGTGTCGAGAAGCATCCAAACTTGCGTATCGGCTACATCAAACAGCACGCCCTGGAGCACGTTGAGCTTCATCTTGAGAAGACACCCAATCAATATCTTCAATGGCGTTACGCTCACGGTGATGACCGCGAGGTGCTGATGAAACAGACGCGTGTCTTGACTCCCGAAGATAAGGCACAGATGGAAAAGTGGGTTGACATTGGCGATGGTAAGGGTCAGCGACAATTGGAAGCTCTGATCGGTCGTCAAAAATACAAGAAGACATTCCAGTACGAGGTCAAGTGGAAGAACTGGTTACCCAAGTACAACACGATGGTTTCACGCGAGACGTTGACCGATCTTGGGTACCAAAAGGTGATCCAAGAGTTCGACGATCATGAAGCCAGCAGAGAAGGTCTGGGTTTCCGTACGCTTGAGCCAAAGGTCATTTCCAAGCACTTTGAGGATGTCGGGCTCGACCCCGAAATTGCGAACCACAACGAGATCTCTGGCTTGTCAGGTGGGCAGAAGGTCAAGGTCGTGCTTGCTGGTGCTATGTGGAACAACCCTCACTTGCTCGTGTTGGACGAGCCAACCAATTTCTTGGACCGTGACTCGTTGGGTGGTCTCGCTGTCGCCATTCGCGACTACAAGGGAGGTGTTGTCATGATTTCTCACAATGAGGAGTTCGTTGGCGCACTTTGCCCAGAGCAATGGCATGTCGAGGATGGTCGCCTCACACAAAAGGGGCATCTTGCTGTTTCGCTCGACCGCTTCGACGAGTCGTCGCGGCCTGGCAGCTCTCTCGCATCTTCTGCCGCTCCTTCGACTGCAGCTTCATCGGCAGCACCTAGCACGAATGGTACACCCATCGGTAGCGGGGCGCAGAGTGAAGACGATAGCCCTATGAAGTTCAAGGCGGCGAAGAAGAAGAAGATGACCAAGAAGGATAAGAAAGAGCGCGAGGTGCGTAGGAGACTGAGACACATCGAGTGGTTGAACAGTCCCAAGGGCACTCCTCATCCGAAAGATACGGACGACGAGGATGAGTAAAAAGGCACGAAAAGTACAAGGAGTGTGTGGGGATTGGTCTGTTCTATGCATGGCGCTCGGCGTGGAGGCTTGTGTGTCCGTCATCTTGACGAGACCCGGTCTGGGAGGCGTTGAGGGCATGCTTGTTTTTGCAAATGCTGCGGGCTGCGTGCTGGGCTGCTTGGGAGTCAACTGTGATGACTGCATGGGGAAGGCGTTGGGTTGTGCCGAATACAGTACGTGATAGATGATAGATAGACCGAAAAATGCCAACCTGGAAGTCGTGATTGAAGCCGGACGGTTCGAACTAGTATGGAAGGATCGTGCCGTAGTAAGGAACGGCCCGGCCAGTTGTCGCGCGTTCCATTCTAAAGGCTGCCGGGCTGCCCACTGACCTTCCGCTTCCGCATCCGCATCAACATCAACCTCAGCATCAACATTGTGATGAACCGATTGAACCACTCACGTGTAGACGAGACGGGGCAACTTCACATGCGATATGCGAATTGTCTCGAATGGCTGACCCCGCGCCGCCACAGCCTGCGCGACAGATGAGCTTGGTACCGTACGCTTCAGACTCTCGGGACGTGGTTTTGTAAGTCGTCAAATCATATTCACTGCCATACGAAGCAGCTTACATCGTGTTATGAAGGCGACGAGGTGATGCTGTCGTGGTTTATGATGCCAATTCCAGACAGCTGTCAGTTCGACAGGCTACCGAACAGCCCATTGAATTGCAAGATTGTCCGTATTGCCGCCAGCCATTGCGGACGAGGGACCCTAGCACCGGCGATGGCGAAACTGCCCACCCATATGGGCCCGAGAGGCCTTTCGTTGACCCAGAGTACTTTGGAATGCTGGCGGCGAGTCAGCGACCATCACCTGCGGCATCTGCTCCTTCCACTTCAAACCGACGTATACCCATCGCTATCAGGTCTGGCCGATCGAGAGATGTCAGCGGGGCGCATGACCCACCAGCTACTGGAGCACAGTTTGTAAGCAGCGAGCCTGCAACTTCACATGGCCAAGGAATCAGCAGCTCGGCCTTTTCTCCGGGCTATTTTCAACAGTTTTTCAGAACGGAACGAGAGCTTGGCAGAGGTGGTAATGGCGTTGTATTGCTCGTGGAGCATGTCATCGACGGAGTCTCGCTTGGTCATTTCGCATGCAAAAGGATTCCAGTGGGCGACAGCAGAACGTACTTTGAAAAGGTCATCGTGGAAGTCAAGCTGTTGCAGAAGATTCCTCACAAGAATCTGGTGGCCTATCATTGGACTTGGCTCGAGGATCACCAGCCATCAATGTTCGGACCCAGTATACCATGCCTGTGGATCTTACAGGACTTCTGTAATGGTGGCGATCTACACAGTTACGTGCTAGGGCCACAGAACTCTCCTTCCACGACAGAAAAGCTGAAAAGTAAGATTCGGAGAAAGTCTAGGAGCGAGCTCAGTCCTCCCGATGAACTTCGTGGGCCTAGTAGATTATCACTGGATGAGATATTTTCGTTCTTCAGAGACATTACCTCTGGCTTGCATCACCTACACCAGAAAGGCTATATTCACCGAGACTTGAAGCCATCCAATTGCTTGCTACAGCGCGATGATGGCAAGACCAGGGTATTAATATCAGATTTTGGTGAGGTCCAGGCAGCTGGCGCCAAGCGCGTATCGTCGGGCGCCACTGGAACAATATCGTACTGTGCTCCAGAAGTGCTTCAGCGGAATGCCGATGGTTCTTTCGGGGACTTTACGACCAAGTCGGACATCTTCTCGCTGGGCATGATAGTCTACTTTATGTGTTTCGGTCGGCTGCCATACACCAATGCAGACGACATCAACGAGGAAAACGAGGACCTGGACGAGCTCAAAGCTGAGATTAAGAAGTGGTCGGGGCTTGCGGAAGAAAGCTGGATGCGGCTCGATCTCCCGGAGCGTCTCTACAAATACCTGAAGAAACTGCTCAGCGTGGATCCGAACGATCGACCCAGCACCGACGAGATCCTGGCGAGCATCAAAGGCGGTGCTGCATTAGGCGAAGCAGTATGGGCGGCCGATGAGCACATGGCCCGAGTGTCCTCTGTCGATTCTCCAGCACCAAAGGCAACATCGCGACCGCGGAAGCCTCCGTACTTGCCCTCACCAGGCAGGCAGTATTCGAACGAAAACAGTCGGAACAGTCGGAACGCTCGGTCTCAGAGTCCCAGCAGAGGACATGACCGCGGGCAGAGTAGGGCTCTGAGTCCATTGACGGGATCACTGGCAGTACAGGCCAAGAAAATTGAGTTTCCCACTGCCAAGGTTGCATCTCCAGAGCAAAGCCCGCGTTTAATACTACCACCGCCAGAGACAACGAGAGCGAGCGTCGTTCTCCGCCCCCAAAATGCTCCATTTAATGCCATGATACGAGCTTCCTTCTTCCTGGTAAAAGTGTTATCAATCTCGATTCCATGCACTCCCTATGCAGCGAACCAATGGCTCGTATATCCTCTGCTTGGGCTTGCGGCACTGGATCTTGGTCTCGTGGCTCTCAGTGCGTGGCAGTCGCTTTTTGTGCTGGGATTCCATATCCTCGTTGTTTTGGCCGCGAAGCATTTTGATGGACTGTGTGCGAATGGGAAACCTGGTGTGATATGGGCGGATCTCTGAGAAGTTGGAAGCATATCGATATTGGATAATACTTATTACTTGTTAGTGTCAATTGGTTTACAGGACATGATATCAGTTTCGAGGATCTGGTCCGCCACGGCCCACTACGGTAGAAGGACGTCTTTATCTCCTCCGATACAGTATCAGCATTTACGTCAGGAATCGGCACTCGCCGTCGGACGGGGCTGACCAAGCTCTTCCCAAGACTGCTTATCGCACGCTAGGAGGTAGGCTAGCCCTTGGCACTATGCCTCTAATGTCTATTGCAAGCGTGCTGGTATATAAGGTATATTTATTTTAATTATTATTATGATTTTTATCCTCCTCCTCCTCTCCTTTCCACCTCAATATCGGTAGAGTCAGTCTTCTTCACGACGGCTCCCTACCATACCACTCACTCACTCACTCACTCACTCTCATGACCATGTTGTCTTCCCTCATTGCAGCTCTCCTCTGCGCCTCTTCCGCACGCGCTGCTCTTCTGCCAGCCCAACAACAACAGGCAGTCAATGTCGTCGTCAAACCCAAAGTCTTTATTGTCTCCATGTTTGCTCCCGAAGCAGAGATTTGGTACGGTATTCCCGAATTCGACATTCTCGCACTGAATGTCACCGTTCCTGGCCTATCCCCGCTGTTCCCGGAAGTGCACTGTACTGCAGATGGAGATGTTTGTCAAGTGGTGACGGGAGAGAGCGAGATCAATGCTGCTACGACAATTGGATCGCTTGTATGGTCACCACAATTTGATCTTACAGAGTCATACTGGATGGTGGCGGGCATTGGGTAAGTCCTTTGCGATATCTGGAGTGGCATTGGTCAGACTATACAATACTCATAAACCAACGCAACTAGTGGAGTGAACCCAGAAGTGGCAACCATATGCTCAGCTACATTCGCTCGCTTTGCAGTCCAAGTAGCTTTGCAATACGAATTTGACCCTCGAGAAATCCCGGCCAATTTCTCGACTGGTTATATCCCTCTGGGCTCGACCACACCAGATCAATATCCCACTTCCATCTATGGTACGGAAGTCTTTGAGCTCAATCAGAATCTCCAAAAGATAGCCGCGGGATTTGCCCGAAAAGCGACACTCAACGATAGCGACGACGCCATTGCCTACCGAGCCCAATACGCAGCCTCGAAAGCATACGCAATCGGTGCTGCACCTCCCACCATTGTAGAGTGTGATGTAGCCACTTCCGACGTCTACTACTCCGGAGAGATCCTCTCGACGGCATTCGGCAACTATACGACATTACTCACCAACGGCTCCGGAGTCTATTGCACAACAGCGCAAGAAGACAACGCCACACTGGAAGTCCTCTTGCGCGCAGCTGTACACAAGCTGGTAGATTTTTCTCGCATCATCGTCATGAGAACTGCTTCGGATTTCGATCGTCCGTTCCCGGGAGAGGCTGCAACGACAAATTTACTCTATGCGGAACAAGGTGCTTTTGAACCTGCCATTCAGAATATTTATCTCGCGGGTATTGAAGTTGTTCAGGGTATTTTGAAGGGGTGGAATCAGACGTTTGCGCAGGGAGTGAATGCGACGAATTATATTGGTGATATCTTTGGTACTTTGGGAGGTATACCGGATTTTGGTCCAGGTTCCATTTTTGATACGTGAGTTTTTTGCAAATGTCTTGTGCTTCTTTTTTGTGAATATATGAATTTGCTGACTTTCTCTCTCTCTCTCAATGCTAGGCCGACGAGGAAGCGAAGTATCAAAGGTCGACGAGCTGCAATGCCTATAGCGCGTCTGACTTGATGAGATCTGATGAGGCATATACATGTACATATGAATATCCCAGACACACCTACACACTCTCTCTACCAGATTCTAGCTTTCCAATTCGTTACCGTCAGTCTATGCTTCATCAGCACCTGATGCATCTCGCTGACTAGCATCAAGCCACAAGCCAAGACCTACCTCCTCATCTCCAACCCTTTTTACTACCTTCTATACAGACTCTTGCGCTGGTACAAACAAGTCACTTTGAACTGGATCATTCTTTTTAGCAGCGCTGGATACTGCCTCTGTGCCATCCCATACCATACCATAAGCTCGGCTTGAACAATTCTTTTTCTCTCACATTAACTCGTCATTACAACCCCTCCATCTCTCTCTCTCTCTCCCTCTTCTTACAAACCCATCCCAACCCCAAAGAAAAAGAAATGGCCCTCTTCTACACTCCCCTCCCCTTCCACCCCGGCGAAATCTCCCTCCACTACAAACTCCACATTTCCCAGAATCCAGATTTCGAAAATCCCACAATCCCCCACCTCTCTCCTCTCCTCTCGCGCCAACTCCAAATTTCTCCTCTCATTGCTTTGGGAACAATTGATTGTCAGGGTTGGCCTGTTACGACGTTACTTGGTAAAAGTAGTGGTGGTGGTGAAAGGAAAGAAGAAGGGGAAGAAGAACCTCTTGCGCAACCGCTGGGGAGGAATGGGGTTATGGGGATTAAGGCGCAGGTGGAGGGATTGTGGGATCCTGTTGTGGAGGTTTTGGTTGGGGGGAAGGGAGATGGAGATGGTGGAAGTGGAAGGGGAAGTGAGAAGGTTGTGGTGAGGAGGGAGGAGGAAGGAAAGGGGAGGATGATTAGTGGGTTGACGATTGATTTGGAGAGGAGGAAACGAGTGAAATTTTTTGGGAGGATGGTTGTTGGGGCGTTGGGTTGGAGGAGAAGGGAGGGGGAGGGGGATGATGATGGGAGAGAGGAATCGATTGCGGAAATGCAGCTGGTTTTGAAGGTGGAGCAGAGGTATGGAGGAGAGAGTATTTTCTCTCTTTTTTTTTCTTGTTTCTCTTTTGTTTCTCCAAAGTAAAACGAAGCTGATTGATTGATTGATAACAGTCTAGGAAACTGCCCCAAATACCTAAACAAACGCCACATCAAGCCCGCGATCTCAAAACCAGAATTACTCTCCACCTCAACACACTTGTCTCTCCACGCACTACAGCTCATCAGCAAAGCCGATCTCTTCTTCATATCCAGCGCCAACAACAACTCGGACATGGACACCAACCACCGCGGAGGCCCCACCGGTTTCCTTCGCGTGGCATCCCACGACGACGAAAATAATTCTGAATCAGCTACGGTATTATGCTGGCCCGAATACTCTGGAAACAGACTCTATCAAACTCTCGGAAATCTCGCCATTTATCCCAAAGCAGGACTCTGTATTCCGGATTTTGACACGGGGGATTGTCTTTATTTGAGCGGTACGACGGAAATACTTGTGGGCTCTGCTGCAGAGGAATTTTTACCACATTCGAATCTCTGTGTGAAATTTTCTGTTGTTTCACTTCGACTCGTGGAGCATGCGTTGCCTTTTCGTGGGGTTTTGGGTGAGAAGTCGATTTATCATCCGAGGGTTCGACGACTTGCTAAGGAAAGATTTGCTGCTGCTGCTTCTGCTACCACTACTGGGGAACTGCAGCAGCAACAACAAGAACAACAAGCGACTCTCCTCCACCAGACAAAACTCACTCCAACAATTTCTCGCTTCAGATTCCGTCTCCATCAACCAAACACTTCTACCTCCCCAACCGCGGCTTCTACCTATCAACCCGGTCAATACATCACCTTGGATTTCTCCTCTCACTTGAACATCGGATACTCACATATGCGCGACGACGACCCTCGTAGTTTGAATGATGATTTTGTTCGGACTTTTACTGTTTCGGGTTTTTATCAGCAGCACCAGCACCAACACCAGCAGCAGGACCAGCAACAGCAGCAAGAGCAGCAGAAGGAAGAAGCTTTAGGGAAGTGTGGTGATGAATTTGAAATTACCATCCGAAAAGTCGGAGGAGGAGTCGTGACGAATTTTTTGTGGGGGTATGGTGATGATGAATCACATCAAAAAGAGAATCAATACAGACGAGAAAAAGAAAAAGAAGGAGAACATTTAGTTATTGATGTCAGAGGTTTTGGAGGAGGAGAATTTCCCATTTTCCAGCAAGAAGAGCAGCAATATCAACAAGAGCAACAAAAGAAAACTCCTACAAAGACGGAAAAGAAAAGAAGAATTTTCATCGCAGCAGGAATTGGAATTACGCCCATAATTCCTTTTTTGTCAACTTCTTCTTCTTCTTCTTCTTCTTCTTCTTCTTTTTTACATCTAAATCTCAAAATCCTCTGGACAGTCAAAATGGAAGATTTGGCTTTTGTTTGGGATGTTGTTGAAGAAGTGGCACAATTGGAAATGGGACAAGAAGAAGAAGGATTGTCGAAGGAGGAGAAGAAAGAGAAGAAGAAAAAAGGAAAAGGGAAAAGGGATTAGATTTGTAGTGTTTGTAACTGGTTGGAAAAATAAGCATACTGATAAGGAAGATGATGATAATGGAAAGAAAAAAGAAGAAGAAAACGCAAAAGAGATAATAAATCGCCTAAGAAAATTTCCAGAAATTGTTGAAGCGGTGTATTTGAGAAGGATGGGTTTGGATGATGTGGATTATCTTCATCTCTATAATCATGACGAAAAAGAGAATGACGAAAAGGAGGAAAAGGAAAAGGAAAAGGGAAAGGAAAAAGAAAAGGAGGTATCAGCAAAATATTATCTTTGTACAGGAGAGAAGATGAAGAGAGAAGTAATGGGGTGGTTGTTGGAAGAAGAAGGAGGAGGAGGAGGAGGGGGAGGGGAAAAAGAGGTTGTTGTAGTTGAGGATTTTACTTTTTGAAAGATATTGATCTGACCTGACCTGACCTGATCCTACGTTGGACTGATGGACTGTACCGAGTTACTTGTTAGGTCAGGTAGTATTGATTTGAGTCTTGGTAAAATTTTGTAAATTTATGGGTTTTTTTGGAAATTTTCTCTCATTTTTCTTTTTTTCTTTCTGATTAATTCCATTCTGCTGAATATTGCTTGTTCAGTCTATTTACATTCAACTCGAGCATACAACCCATGAGGGGGTGTTATCTGCCATGTGAATGCCTCTGCCTCTGTTCAGGCCCTTTGCATCATCGACAAGACACGGGGTATGTATCGTGCATAGCGCGCATACAGGCGACAATCCGAACCATTCTTATTCTCTTTCCATTCCACAGGTCTCATGGGACATCTTTCAAAAAGAAAAGACCAAACCCCCAGACGTTTTGAAACCTCCTTCATCACATCCCATCAATGATCAGTGCTAGACAGAATCTTCAACTTCTCAATCGCCAACTCCAATTTCTGCTTCTCACTCTCCAACGTCGCACGCATTTCCTCACGCTTCGGATCCTCTGCGAGTAGAGTTGCAGCTCGCTGAGAATCGGTCGGGCGAAGACCTTCTAACAAACGTGTCTTGAGACGATTCTCAATCTGGTAGATGAGAAAGTCCAAATTTCTCGCGACGTTGTCGACGAGCTGGCTGGAAGCGAGTTCGTAAAAGGTGAGCGGTACGGCAAGTTCCTTTAATTCGATTTCGAAGGCTGGGGAGCGGACGTTGTTGGCTATCCATACGGGGTCGGTGGCCTTCTTCTTGCGCTCTTCCAGGGTAGAAGGAACTTTGAGCCCCTCGGCTTCCATGTCGTCGAGGCGCTCCAATACACGAGCTTCGGTTCGGCCTTGGCGAAGTTTCTGCAAATGCTCGTCTCTCTTGGTGTCCCACCACTCCTTCGAGTAGGTGATGGGCCTATGGATCAGGCAGCTAATGTTGTGGTGGATGATTTCCACCTCTTTCTCGAATAGCTCATCGAACAAAGCGCGCATAATGGAGGCCATTTCTTCGTAGAGGAGGGTGCCTTGACGAGTGGCCAGGGAGTTGGCCAAGCATTGCTTCAGCATGCTCACTACGTTGCTCCCAAACCGGTCCAGAGCTTGCTGCGTCAACGTACTGAATCCAGAAAGTGACTCTGTAGCCATGTCATCAGTGATGCGAGGGTCGGCGGCGTCAGGGAGCTGTGCGTTGGGTGCGAGGTCGAAACGCCTCTTGACTTCGTCTAATTGAAACGTAGTAGCAGAAACGCCAGTCTCCGGAACTGGAGGTCGTGCCATTTTGCGCTTGCTGCCAGATGCAGTAGGAGTGCGAACAGACGCACTGCAGGCTGGAGCTGGCCGTCTCGGAGTAACACTCTGAGCACGTCCGTTCTCACCTCGGAAGCGCTTCGAAGGTGTGTTGTCCATCTTTTCCTCGTCAGAGTCCGTAATCGAAATACTTGGCTTCACGTATCCGGGGGTCGACAACTCCACTCTAGGAGCTATAGCGGCGAGCTGCTTCCTGAAGTTCATGAGATTACCCCTCTGAGCTCCGCGAAAGGGGCTAGACTTGCTGTCCGCGCTACATTGAGCGACAACTGCAGTAACCACCTTATCGACATCGTAGATGAGCTCTAGTCCTGGGTTCGTAGGCTTGCTTGGGTATTCTCTCAATTGCTGCTGAACATCCGTCAGTCGTTCCTGTACGCGCTGGACAATTTTCGGCAAACTCCTGAGAATGTGCCCAATATGTTTCCGCGATATCGCCTCCTGCAGATTGCTGATGCCAAAGCGGTCTGCGTACATCGAGAATTGCGTGCTCCAGGGTGGCTGCGAGAAGAACGTCGCCTCCTGCGCACGAGCCTCTTGATATGTCAGACAGTTGGCCGCGTTCAGCTGAGCCTGAGACAATTGCCTCGTCATGTACCACCCTCCTTCGACTGAAAAGGCTTTTGCGCTGAACATATTTTCGAAGGACTCCAAGCGCCTGGTCGTCAAAGCATCGACAAGATCCGGCTTCGTGAGCACGCCTATCGCGCGACCAATAGCCTTGTATTTGCGAAGATATTTGAAGGCAATGCCGTTGTGAAAGTCCTGATTTGCCGGACACGCAATGACAATCAGGGCTTCCTCATCGGCGATGTAATTCTTCAAGACCGCCTGTCACCTGTTAGCATACTGGTACTACTAAGACGGAGTGGAGTGACTGTTCATACCTCGACGAACTCTGCAAGGTAGTCGTCAGACGCATCTTCCTTGACATTGATAGCTCCAGGAAGATCGTAGAAGGCCATCTCTAGCAGGTCGGGGGCTGTGATTTCCAAGCAGATAACATTTGGGGCGAAGTCGACCTGGAATTCGGCTTTTTCCACATCCGCCATAGTGAGATGAACACAGTGGCGCCAGGACCTGTTCGGATTCAAGATGGCAATCTGGGCGCGCCGGAGGTTGAGCTCTAGCTCAGATTTGCTTGTAATTCTAGCAAACTCCTCGACCTGAATATCGCCATATTTCTTCCAGCCGGGTAGCCCGGCGCTACTGTCCGCGTAGCCAGGCAGGTATGAGTAGGCGAACTGCAGACTGATTGTGCAACTCCACTTCGAAACGTCTGGCTCACTGGCGTGAGTGGTGATGCGGAATGGGCATCTGGTGCAAGTTCCCTCACTACGCGGCAAGGTGATGTCGCTCATGGCCTCGATCTGAGAGCAGGTTGTTAGCAGCAGCAGCAGCAGCAGCAGCAGAGGCCAGAAGATGGGCACTTACGATGGAAGATTTTCCTGCGGACTGGTCTCCAATACAGACCACCTTGGGCAGAGATGGCAAAGTCGCGTCAATGCCTAAGCACTGCAGCTCTTGCATCTTCTGGATGAGTTGGCGCCCCTTGCGCCCGAAGAGGTAAAGGGGGTCTGGCGCGTTCGCGCCGGTGGCATCGATTGAGGTCGCATCGGTCATCTCGGCGTCAAACGTAACGTCTGTAGACGACGTAGAGGCGGCTACGGTGTCGGCTGAGCGCACCTCGCCAGCAACTTCAGTGCGAAGCGGAGTATTCTCCCGCATCGGCATGTTTCTGCGTCGCGTGGTCACACCTTCTCGCTTCATTGTGCCAGTGTTTGAGCAACGAAGGGCCTGAAGGAAGAGGAAGTTGTTGTCGATGTGATGAGTCTTGTCGATGTGATGAGTCTGGCGAAGTGATGAGTCTTGTGGATGTGGAGTTTGGCTACCTAGGCAACGACCAATTCAGTGAGTCAGCATAGCAACGACGACACCGGCGAAGACCGTATGTGAGGTTTTGCGTGAAGTGAAGCAAAGACTGAGACGAGCAGAAGTCACTTACAGGCACAGCTGCCGCGCAGTGACACGACAGTCCAGTTCCAGCAACGACTTCACTACTGAATGTGAGTAATGCGCGAGATGTAGGAGAAGACTCACATAATGTAGTCGAATGAGATACGTACAGAAACGAGCTCGACAAAGCGGAGAGGGTAGGGTAGGGCAGGGCAGGGCGATGGCGAGAGCAGAGAGATGACTTACTTTTTACTCGCCGTGACATGCAGCAGAAAGTACCTTATACGCTCACAGCAACAGAAACAAGCGTAGGTACTCAACCACGCCCTCGCGTAACTCACCTCCCTCGCCCTCACTCTCTTCCTCTTCCTACGCTCATCAGACGGACCCAAACGCCAAGCGATGCGCACAACCTGTCAAGCCCATACCAAAGACCTTCCACCCCCGTCTCCCACCGCCTTCATGCCAATACGGCAGCTCCAGAGCTTGCATCGACATCTTGAACAAATGTATCGATCCCAGGAAAGACACATCCAATAAACTCACGAACGCGTGAAGACTTGGGACCAGAATTTCGCGCAAGAGCGAGCTCTCCATATCGCGAGACGTGAAGTTGACGTGCAAGCAGTGTGAGAGCTTCGTCAAAAAGCTTCAGACCTGGTCGAGTGAGGGGACCCTACCTGGAAACCAGACAGGGAATATTCATTCTGGCCAATAGATTCGGCGCATGTGAAGGGATATGGCTGGGAAGAGCGTGGTGAAGACGGTCGGGGCGGTCTTGCAAGTATCAATTTCTCTCGCACGCTCTCGGTGAAGGCTTGCAGCGAGTCAATTCGATATGCCAGGGAATGAAGAGTGAATTATGACTATGCTCTGGAGAGTGATGAGAAAAGAGTACCCATACCACCCACTTTGACTTGGCCACAGAGTCTCCAGGACGGCGCGCTCAAGTGACCGTTCACTCGCGCAGGTCCACCTTCATAAGGGATGAAGTAGTAGAGTCGACACCTTCAGCCGGAGTATGGATAAGCTGCGCGGTGAAGTTGTCACGGAGAGTCTTGATGCCTGAGGCTGAAGCTTCGTTCTTCACATGTTTAGCTAACCGAATTAGGCCAACGCGTCAATCTGCCGCCCACGCGACCTGCAACTCTCCAAACACCTTTCGTTCCTCTGTCTCAAATCAACTCTCCCAAAACCGCCTCATGTAGATCAACATCCATAACAAACAACAAATAACAACAATAACAACAAATCATGACAACCACCGACACAGAAAACCCAACACCAATGACAGCCCCATCCCGCTCCCCCTCCCCAGCAGGTCCTCCACCCACACCCTCGACACCCGGTCCACGCGCCAGCGCGCTCCACAAACTCTACAACGACGCCATCCAGCACATTCTCAAAACCTGCTCCTACACCAACTTCGCCGCATGTTTCCCCACACCGGCCACATGCGTACCCGGGTCGGTGAAATTGTTACACGAGCAATTTACGCAGAAATTGGGCGAGAGTATGCGCAAGGAATTCGAGGAGATTTTGCTCGAGAGGAATGTCGTGGCTTCGTTGAATGAACTGGATCGGTTGATTGAGGATGCGAGGAGGAGGAGGGAGAGGGATAGAGAGAGGATGGGTCAAGGGGGGGAGGTGTTGGTGCCTGTTCCGGCGCATACGTTGCCCGCGCGGCAGTTGTATATCAGTCATTTGGCGCCGACGTTGGCCGAGTGGGAGAGGAGTATGAGGGAGAGGCAGGAGGAGTTGGGGAGGGAGAATGAGGAGATTATGGAGAGGGTGACGCAGCAGAGGAGGGATATTCAGAGGTTGATTGGGGGATTGGAAAGTGTGGTGGAGGATTTGAATGGCAGTGTGCGGGCTTTGCAACCGGAGCAGATGGAAGGTTTGAGAGAGGAGGCGAGAGAGGCTGATCAAGCATTGAGATGATCATGGTTTTGTGTCTCCTTCTCCTTCTTCTTCTTCTCCTTCTTCTTCTTGTGATGAGGCCGGCCTTTTACGGCGGCTGGAAGGCGTACGTTCTTCTTCAGAGATACCCACGATTTCCAAAATAACGAATACTTCTTCTGCCCGAGCCTGTTTTACTTGGTTTTTCTTTCGGAGAGCCATGAGCTGCCGTTGGAAGTGACTGTCTTGTCCGCATCTCCCTTGCAACCGCATCAACGATATATCACTCCGTACAGTTCCCGAAAAGCCCTTTGACGCCTACGCTTTCCCCCCCTTTTTTTGTGCCCACCCAGAATTCAGTCTATTGCACCTTCGCCGCAGCAGCTTTCTTGGCCTTGAGCGCCTTCTTCTTATTGCTCTTGATCATGACCACGCTCAGGAAACTGCCCACGACAGCACCGCCGACAAGGAGGAGGATGACGGGAATGCGAATGGCCCAGACGCGAGGGGGAAAGAGTTGTTGGATTGGGTGCGAGTCGTCGACGAATGGCTGGGATGGGTATTAGTGCTTGCTTGTACGCTTGAAATCGAGATTTGCAATATACCATGAGTAGTGTCCAGATGGTGTAGTAGAGGAAGACGGTCGAAGCGAGGACAAGCATGGCGAGTCCGACGAGGCGATCAAGCTGTACATGTACATGATTTAGCTGGCGCACCGAAGTCAGTTGCGTGGATAGATAGTGTCCGTACCAGCGTGTTGGAGGCCATATTCCTCGTCTACACAATATATTCCAAGGAGCGTGTGAAGGTGTTTGTGATTATGAGCGAACAGTAGTGGGTAGACGAGAGAATGCACTAATTAGACGGGAACTCCTCTGCTGTGACATCCGAAGGTCTGGTAACGTGTGAATCTCAGCGTTCCAGGGTCTCGACACGCCCACCGGCCACCTCCCACTTCGATTGTGCATCTCGCTTGCTCTAGTTTACACAAACACTACCACCAACCTCCAACCATCAACCTCCACTTCTCTCTGCCCTTCCTCACAGACTTGGCGCCTGTCCAGCATACTTCTCGACTCTCGCGAATAGTTCCTCACTCTCCGAGCCACCGCCATGTGGGTCATCGATTGGTGTATGTTCGGAAGGGATATTTCTGATACGACTATGGCGCTGGCGCTGACAGCATTGCAGTCTGGGACTTGCTCGCCAACTTGGGCCTGGCCAACAAGCATGCCAAATTGCTGTTCCTCGGTCTCGACAATGCCGGAAAAACCACTGTACGTGCTATCCTCTACTGCCGAAGAGACCCGCTGTCACAGTGCCACGAGGATACGTCCGCTAACCATCTCTCATTAGCTCCTCCACATGCTCAAGAACGACCGTGTCGCCATCCTCCAGCCCACCCTGCACCCTACCTCCGAAGAGCTGAGCGTCGGCAGCTGTCGTTTCACAACCTTTGATCTTGGTGGACATCAGCAGGCTCGCCGCCTGTGGAAAGACTACTTCCCCGAAGTGAGCGGTATTGTCTTTCTCGTAGACGCCAAGGACCCCGAGCGCTTCGCCGAATCGAAGGCGGAGCTTGATGCTCTGCTCAGCATGGAGGATCTGGCAAAGACGCCCTTCTTGATCCTTGGCAACAAGATTGACCACCCGAACGCTGTGAGCGAGGATCAACTACGCCACGAGCTAGGACTCTATCAGACAACAGGAAAGGGCAAGGTACCTCTTGATGGCATCAGACCTATTGAGATCTTCATGTGCTCGGTCGTAATGAGGCAGGGATACGGTGATGGTATTCGCTGGCTGTCTCAGTACGTGTAGTTTTGTCACTTTGCGGCGTTGCTCCTATATTCAATGGGTGTCTATGGCACACCTGCGACTCCGATTGTTAAATAGCGTTACGAAGACATTGGAGCACAGGCACACACTCGTATACCCATCTGCGCTTCCGCTCGACGTGAGGCAGCTGCGCCAATACCAGTTCACCGAGTCTGCTCTGGTTCTTTGCTCACACGTTCCCAGGGCCACAAATGCAATTTGTGCCCGATTTGTTCTTTGCAAATGTGCTAAAACCAACATGCGAACATACCATCTCCCGCCATTGTTACGCTGCTCAGGTGAACAAGGAGGTAAGCACGAGTCCATGGCCTCTCCTTCTCCAACAACCATACCTGCTGTGTATGAGCAGCAGCAATGTACTCAACAATCCCTCTTGCTACACGCATCTCATCTGCCAATCGTCGACAAATGCATCACTCTCATCGCGCTACATCTACACGATTTGCGCCCCCTCCAGCCACGGCGGCATATTCCACGTCCAAGGTCCATTCATTAGCACACTCTACGAAATTTCCGATTACGACTAGGAGCGCATTGCGCCGTCCGATGCCTCTCGAGCCGATTGTACTAGCGACCACATTGTGCACTACGGTTGGAGCGATAATAGTTGCGACCTCGTGGGAACGGATTACGAGAATTAAACTAAGACCCCACCGGCATAGAGGACCAGGACCGTAAGTCGTCTCAACTGCATCTCAATTCCAGATGTCCATTCTGTCGACCCAAGAAATGGACCAGCCATCACGCTCCACCTGGCTGTCGGCGATGAGCCCAAAGTCTCGAGACATACTGACACGCCAGCAGATGTAGAAGACCAAAGTGGCTGCCTCGGCCATGGCGCGACAACCCCTATTCCTCATCAAGCGGAGAGTCGATTGGACATGGAGGCTCGCACAGTGGCAGTCGGCATTCCAGCGAGCACATATACGGAGCAGGCGATCCTCGCCCGTGGCGAGACAGTGGAGTGTGTGTAGCCTCGTCAATCTATCTACAAGATCCCACTACTCGCGAGTTTCAGTCAATGGCCCACGAACACCATCACGGTCTTCGTCGGACGACCAGCACGCCGCTTCTGACGCCTATACCTGAGGAATCTTCGTCTGCGGATTATTGGAACCGGCCACTGGCTTACCCCTCCAGCAGTATGGCTCAAAGAGATGGACCAAACGACCCACGTTACCAAGGCAGCATCAATGACGCAGAGCGCCCATCTTCAGCGAGCATTCTGCGAGAAGGCGAGGCTTTTGCAGAGCAGCTTGCGGGCCTCGAGAGGCAGGTGATACAAGATCGCATCGATGCGCTCCGAAGGAGCATTACCTACCAACGAGTGCAAAGTCGACTTGCAGATATCGAGAAGCTCGCGGGATTGAGCAGCAGCAACGCAGAAGGGATTGGCGATCGGACATTGAGAAGGACCGCTTCTATTGGGCCGGGGGTGACATCAGGCCGGGAAACGCAATGGATTGGAGAACAGTTGCGGGAAGTGGCAGCGTCAATCCTGCCGCCGGACGAAAGTGTGCCAGTGGAAGACTCTTCATGACAGCGGGTGCTGGCGGCAGAAATATCCATATTGTAGGATTACGTGCCCAATACCTAAGGACATTTCTTCGCACCACGGTGTGCTCGAGTGTCATGTGTGTTCATTCTGTGTGGTCTTTGTGATGTTGGGAGCGAGAGTTTCAGGACTCGAAATTCATTTTCACCTCACCGAGCAACAAGACATATAGGTAAGTGAACTCATACCGTCCTCCAGCACACACACCCACCCTTTAGAGCTTCGCCAAAATCTCTTTAATCCCATCACCACCATCCCCCATGACAATCTCCTCACTCCGATAATCCGGATTAAACGTCATTTCATTCAACGGATTCCTTTTATGTGCCCGATCAAACAAGTCCTCGTACACTTTCCCATCAAATCTCCCCAACGCCGAATCCAACAGATAATCCGGGATTTTCCACGCATCCACCAATCGCACCGCATGCGGTCGAATTTGTTTCATCATCAACTCTTGAATTTTGTCAGAAAGTAGGTTGAGATGCGCATCGGAAATGGAATGCGATGAGAGAAATTCTCGCGCAGAAGATTCGATTGTGGTATATGCGAAGAGGTGGAATTGGTTTGTGAGGTGGGTTTGCAAAAGGGGGGAGAGGGGTGGTGATTTTTTGATCAGTGCTTTGTGGAAATTTGAGATGAGAATCGATTCGGATTCTGCGATGCTGATTTTGCGGAGTTGGAGTAGCAGGGAATTCCAGGGGCGTTTGTGCTGCTTGTGCGAGATGTAGGCGTTGTAGGTTAGGTGGCGGGATCGTCGGCGGAAGGCTTGGACGATTTGGGAGTCGTTGAGGAAGATTTCGCAGGGGGGTGGAGGTTGTTTTTGTTGTTGGTCTTGTTGGTCATGTGCGTTGTTGTTGTGAAATATATCCAACCAATCTCGACAATCCTGTTCAATAGAATCCTTCGCGGGACCTTTTCTCGCCACAGCAGCTTCCATACGTTTAATCAAAAAGCGTGCAGTTTGTTGCGTAATCATCCAATTATCCCCTTCGACGGTAGGTTTCGACAAGTAATCATTATTCAACTGTACAAAGCCACTCGAATACATGAATCCATGTCCACCCATGGCTCTGCGACACGTTTCAATACTGTTGGCTGCGAGTTCCGTACAGAGACTTTTGAGTCCCGAAGACTGAGCGTGTAGAATCGCCAATTTGCTGAAATCCCCTTGGGCGATTTCTGCTCGTGTACGAGAATAGAGAGTATGCATTGCTTCTCCTGTGAAATGGAGGGCGAATGCCGTGGCGAGAAGGGGCAGGATGCGGATTTGTACGGTTGGGTAGTCGAGGACGGAAAGTTCGGGAGCAGACTGTTGTTGTTGGTCCTCCTTGTTGCTATCGCGGTCGGGAAATTGTTTTCGTACGGTGCTATATCGAACGGCGATTGTTACTGCTCTTGCGATGATTAAGCGAGCGTGCATGATGATGACGGCTCGCACGTAGGTTAAACTGCCGTATACTACGGCGGGATTGGCGGGTTTCGAGTAGGTGCCGGTGTTGGGATCCACGCGAGAGTAATTTGAGAGCATGGCAGAATGGGGGATACGGAAGTTGTTGAAGAGCATGTACCTGTTGTAATAGTCAACAAATGCACATGTGCTTTCACGACACAAGGTGAGGTAGGTATGTAGAGGGAGGAGAGAGAAAGAGACAAACCCATTATCCATAGGAGCATAACCATATTTCGGTCCAATATCACCCACAATAATCCCCTCGAGAGGCAAATGAGTTTTCAAATCTCGAATCTGCACAATAAAAGGATGGGGGCCCCGATTCACCAATCTAGACTCCTCCCCTCCCATAGTGGACTCAGGAACATACAATTGCGCCACAACAATCGCATGATTCGCCGTCCTGCCCATCGTCCCATTCCACCACTTGGACGCCGTAAGAGTCGGACTATGAAGGACGAATTCCCGAGTCTTGGGATCCCAGGTCGCGCGACACTCCAGTCCTTTGACATTAGAGCCGTGGCCGAGTTCCGTTTGAGCATAACATCCAATAGCCTCCCAGGCGCGGATTTTGGGAAGCCAGTATTCTCTTTGTTGGGCGTCGCCTTGCTCTCGGACAGTGGTTTCGAACATTTGCGTATGCACCATACTGAGAAAAGGATGAGTACCTGTATTATTCACCTATCTCGAGAGAGAGAGAAGAGGAAAAAGTCCACTTACTAAGGACTCACATCATCACACAAATAACCCGCAACATTCCAATCCTCCTCATCCCAACCCAAGCGATCCGCCCAGCGACGCAATGTCTTCGCCCGCGCCAATCCCAACTGATAACGTTCCGGACGAGACAAATTCGGCTGTTTGACCTTGCGGAACAAGACATGGTTTTCCAAGAGGGGTAAAATTTTCTCTTGTCGGCGGAGGAAATCGTTGCGGGAGAGGAGGAGATGGGCGAGTTCGTTGATGGGCACGTCGGATTGTGCTCGTTCTTGGAAGAGAATTTCGGGTCCGCGGGGGGAGGCGGGGAGGAGGTGGTCGGTGAAGTCGGGCATGGTATGAGTGAGTGAGTGAAGTTCTGAGGTAGGAAAGGTGTTTGTTTATAGATTGGGATCTGTCTTATCCGATGATTATCAGTAACAAGAAAAAAGGTTGAAATCCATGTCCATCAACTGCTTTGCGATATGATGATCCATTGAAGTCTCCAAATACTACCTCCTATAGTTACCTCCTAGGAAGTAAGATGTTCGTCTCTCTACCCGAGGGAATGGGCCCGATTTAGCCGATTTGTCTTTCAAAGTCTATCCACGAAGGCGGGGCTTCGACACAACCAACCACGCAGTCGCAGGCATCTAGGAGGTACTACCACCTTCATGGAGAGCAATGCGATCTCGGCGCTGACAAGACTCTTTTTTGATCGTTCAACGACATCTATCACAAACAATGTGATCCCACTCGACTCGACAGTGCGTCAGTCAGCTTCTTCATGGCCCCAACTCAGCCATCGATTCAAGCCATATTGCGACAGCTGGAGCTGCGTATGGAAGCAGGACACTCTCGCAGTACCTATACGAACGAAAGCGAGTCTGGTGGTGGGGTCAACAAAGAAGATGAAGTCGTGCCTCTATCGACGACGACGACGACAACAACATTGCTAGAAGCACACGGGAAAATGGCCGACTATGATGATCGCACGCTGCACGTGCCTCCACACATGTCCTTCGCAGCACTGGCGGAGAAGCATGTTCTTCCTTGCCATCCATTCTTCAATCGATTGGTCCGATTAGCACATGCAGTTCCCCCTCGAATGTGCGTTCGAGATGACAATACGGGCGTGGAGGCGACACATCTCCAACTTCTCACTGACGCACTTGCCTTTCGGAGACGAATATGGCAGATCCTCGGCGGCCATGTGCAGAAGGCTCTTGTCCAGAGACAAGAGGTGTATGTGGCAATTTTGGCACCAGGGGGATATGAGTTCACAGTGGCGATGGTGGCTGCGTTGGCGCTTGGTGCAGCTGTTGTGCCCATGACCACTGCACTCCCTCCAGAAGAGGCGTTGTACTTTGTGACGAAGTCGCGAGCTGCGGCTCTGCTGGTGTCGGATGGTGCCCTCCGCCTGGGGCTATCAGTGGAGAAGCTGGTCAAGAATCGCGACCCGCACAGTCCATTCGTCTGTATCCCAGTGGCACCCTCGTTGCGCAATATGCCACTGAAGCCGGCGGAGATCATCGTATCATCTGACACGTATTTGGATGATAATGCCGCCGGCGTTGTGATTTTCACATCGGGCACGACCGGTCCGCCCAAGGTAAGAGTCCATGCATGATAGGCCTCGTGCGCGACCATCTTATTGACTTTCCGATAACTGATGTAGGGAGCCGTGATGCGGCGGGCCTTCATATACGATGAGGCAATGGGAGTTGTGGACCATTACGGCATCACAACATCGGACGTGCTCCTGCACGTTCTGCCGGTACACCACGCAACAGGTATCGGTATCATGTTCTTCCCGTTTCTCATTGGAGGCGCTGTGATTGAATTCAAGAGTGGTTCTTTCAGTCCCGAATGGCTTTGGGAACGCTGGAAACGAGGTGGCACCACCTTCTTTTCTGGCGTGCCAACACTTTACATGCGATTGATGCGGTACTTTGAGCAGAACCTAGCGTTGCGATCAGATGCACAGCAGTACATTGACGGTGCCCGTGCACTCCGTGCTTGTATCTGCGGAACATCGGCTCTTCCCAAGACCATAGCAGATTGGTGGACGGTTCTATTAGGACGACAGATCCTACTGAGATACGGCATGACGGAGACTGGAGCGGTCTTCAAGGTCCGCGTAGGAGATGGCAAGGTGCCAGATGGTTCCGTTGGCACGATTCAACCAGGCTCCGATGTCAGACTATCTGAAGGCGATCAGGGAGAGATCCTCGCCAAGAGTTCCGGCATGTTCAGCAGATTTCTGTTTGACGCCGAAGCCACTGCAGCTTCGCATACCTCGGACGGATACTATAAGACCGGCGATATCGCGAGGAGAGAAGGTGAATACTACTGGATTCTCGGACGCGCATCAGTAGATATCATCAAGAGCGGTAAGAGTAGATTGCGACTTGTTGTATGCTTCAGCTGACCTGGAGTGTTTCGTTCACAGGAGGCTACAAGATTAGTGCCCTCGACATCGAACGCGAGCTTCTATCTCTGCCGTATATCGCAGAGGCCATGGTCGTCGGTGTTCCTGACGATGAATATGGGGAGCGTGTAGCTGCAGCAGTAGTGCTCAAGAGCGCCGCCGAAATGCCTTCGAATACACATGTCAATATCGCAGACGTCGTCCCCATAGCACAACTGCGCAATGATCTCCGACATCGACTTGCAGGCTACAAGCTGCCAACCGTATTACGCATTATCAAAGATGAGCTCCCAAAGTCTCCAACCGGGAAAGTAGTGAAAAAGACACTGTCGCCACAGTACTTTCCAGGCAACTACCGCGACATTCCTGAGGTCCAGCTGTGGAGTCCTGGAATCAAGTTGAAATTGTGAGGGGACTACATGATCGCCTCTCAGCAAAGTTAGAAAGCGTTCCCGTCAGACGCGAATGCAATGACAAAGCACGCATCAATGTAGCCGCTCAGCAGGATGAACGCGCTGCAATCGAGCATGCGATGGTCCGGGACTCGCCCGGCCTGTCAGTGGTACAAGAACGGCTTGGTTCAAGAGAGCATTCCGAGGCATGAGCAGCCCGGGAATGCCAGTACTCAAGCCCGAGACAGAAGAATGATCCTCATGGGCAAAGAAGCAACATGAGGTTTGAATTGCGATAATGTGGTGGCCGGACTTTGTTGTGTGACAGGTAGGTAGGTAGGTAGTGAACGCAGGAACGGCCATTAAAACGTGTGAGAACATCGCCATTCGGAGAGCAACCGCTGCCTAAAGGTATGTCTGCGCGACCATGTGATAATCTTGCATTTTCGAGCCTCGCCGCGGCAATGGCCTTATGCCGCCCGGTAATAGAAGCATGTGAGTAGGTAGGTAGTATCGTTTTCAAGCTGCTGCAAATTTCGCTTTGCGGGCTTCAGCAGCAGCCTTGTCACTTTCCGTCATCCAGCTAGGATATCCTCCATTCGCTGACTTGTCACCCTTCGCTTTGCCGCCCTGCTTTTTCGTCGTCGTGGCCGCAGGTGCAGGTCCTTTGCTCTTCTTCCTAACCCCACTGTCATTTGCACCGGCCTCTCGGCCTCGCTTCTTCTGCTTCCTGTCCTCTGACATTGGCAAAGCCTTGTTCAGATCGACGAGTCCAACTAAATCGGTTGTTCCGAACCTCTTTGCGCGCTCCAGCTTCTTGAGCTCTTCATCGTCATCTGTAATACCGAATCTCGCTCTTCGTGCCTTGCGCTTCTCAATCTCCTCGTCAAGTGTGCGCTCAGCTAGGCCGGCCCTGAATTTGGCGCTCTCTTCCTCCTCACGAGCCTGCTTCTTCTCTGCTTCGGCATCTGCTGTCGATGCATCGGTGGGTGCCGCCGCTACCGTCAAGTCGTCTGTCTGTGCTGGGTCGATTGCCGCTTCCTGGTTTGGCACAGCTTGCGGATTCTGAACGGCGCCTTGACCACCTGCAGCTATAGCGGTTGCTGCAGCTTCGGTAGTCGCGGCTTTGGCGGTCTCTGTGGCTGGTTCGTCGTCTTCAAAGTCGATCTCGTCCTCGTTGTTTGCGGGTTTCTGGGACGCCTGCTTCGCGTCGTCCTCTTCGAGACGCTTGACCAGGTCTGCTTTCTTGCCGCTGTGCGGGAGATTGCGCTCCTTGAGCAGCGCAACCAGCTCGGAGTTGACCTTCTTGGCGTATTCCATGGTGATTGAGTGATGATGGAAGTGTTGATAGGTATTGTCGAAGATGAGGTCGTCGCGATACAACATGTCGATGGACGCGCTCGTCAAGCGCGACCGAGTGCACGTGCCACATTTGTATCTCAACCCTTGCGCCAATGATTGCCAGCCATTGACTTCCCAGTCCGAAGCTACCTAGTATGACTCTTTCCAAGGAGAAGACATCAAAACTGGAGCACAGAATTGAAGGCTCGAGAGGGACTCATCAATGATCTTGCGTGGGAGCTTCAGCTGAACACATCATCAGACATCATTGTAGTGTATACAACGTAGATTGCCATGTATCTCGAGCTCAGCGCGGTACCTTAGCTACCTGTACCTACACGCACCCATAGCCCTACATTGACACTTCTTCCTTTCTACTCCGCCTACACCAAAATTGCTTAATATATCATGACACTCCCCACAACCTCTCACCTCTCATTCCCTCTCCCTTACCCGCACAAGTTGTAAATCTTCTGAATATCCTTCAACTGCTTCTCAAAATCCAGCTCCAAATCCTTCAACAACCCATCCTTGAAATCAAAAATCCACGCATGCACAATCGGAAATTTCTTCTGTCCATAACTCTGCTGCACAGCCGCCGTCTTGACCACATTTCTCGCCTGCTCCAGCACATTCAACTCGGCAAGTCGATCATATTTCTTACTCTGATCCTCAATCGCATCCAACTCCTGCTCATGCAAACGGTACACATCTCGAATATTCCTCAACCAGGGGTTCAAAAGCCCCAAATCTGCGGGTGTCATGGCTGCTTTGACGCCTCCGCAACTGTAGTGTCCGACGACGACAATGTGCTTGACTTCGAGATGGCGTACGGCGTAGTTGATGACGCTCATGACGTTCAGGTCCGTGTTGCAGACTAAATTGGCAATGTTGCGGTGTGTGAAGACTTCGCCGGCGTCCAGGCCCATGATTTCGTTGGAGGGGATGCGACTATCGGCGCAGCCAATGTAGAGGTAATCAGGCTTCTGGCCCGAAGACAGTTTCGTGAAGAATTCGGGGTCATTTTTGGCTTTTGCTTCTGCCCATTTTTTGTTGTTGGCGAAGATGTTGTCGTGAGAGGCTTTGAGGTAGTCGGGAGTGGTGGAGGATGAGGAGGACATTTTGGTGGCGGTGGTGGTGGAAGAGCAATAGGACTTGGTGGGATAGATGGAGGTGGTAGTGGATAAGATGGGAGCAGCAGCAGTCGGAGTCCGTAGAGGGCAATTTCCGTAGACCGCAGAGATGGCTCTCTTGAATGCAGCAGGAGGAGAGGTTCGGCTGAGCCTGTTGAGCATACCTTCTAGAGCTATGAGGGTGGAAGCGAGAACATATATGCCAATGCCGTCAGGTTTCTCTCGGGGATCGGCGGCTCGGAGCATTCAATGATTTGACGGTCTTGTTCGGCCAAGACCTCGTCGTGGGGGCATACATAGGTAAGCCGTGCCATGCAGCCATGGTACCTTACGTGTACCAGGAAGATAAGCTACCTCCTTACCATACCTTACCTTGAACAAGAGACGACTAAACGATCGCACAGTCTCTCTTGAAAAGAAGAAAAATGTCACAATCAGATCGCACCCAGTTTCTTCTCCCACACCCCTTATACCTCCTACGTAAGTACATGTAGCGAACGTTCGGGCATTTTTTTTTTACGATCGCAGATCTCTCTTTCCCACCCCGCGTCCCTCGCGAAGCCCCAGGTTCCCCAGCCAGCTTCAGGTTACACAAAGAATGCTCAGCACCCAGATACAGATATACGCCGCATTTTTTGTCTCGGCAATTACTTGGGTCGTCGCAAATTCAGCCGTGGCATTCTTGGTATTTCCAAGCTTTGTACTACCTCACACCAAGTACATGTAAGTAGGTATAACTGTGGGAATGGAGGGGCGGTGGGGGGGAAAAGTTGGGACAATCAGATCTGAAGTTTTTTGTTGACTGGAACTGTGAAGATATCATAAACTCTCTCTCTCTCTCGCTCTGTCTTTGCTGTGCGACATACACAGCTTGATCCTCCCGAATCAGACCAACGCCGACTCATATTCATATACACTGCCGCAAAACCGCTGAAAATTAGATGGTAGGTCCCGCCTGTTGCACCTCTTCAGTAGCTTCATCCGAGTATTTCTTGAAGTTCTCCTGGAACAGCTCTGCAAGCTTCGTAACCTCCTCCTTGAGCGACGCAGTGCCCACCCAGCCCTTTGCAGGGTTGAGCAATTCAGCGGGAACGCCGTCGCAGGACGTGGGCACTTGCAGGTTGAAAGTCTCATATGTCTCGTACTCGGCCTTGGCCAACGATCCGTTGTGGATGGCGTCCAGGATAGCACGAGTGTACTTGAGTGGACACCGCTTACCGCCAGTAGCGGCTCCTGCACCAGTCCAGCCAGTGTTGAGCAACCAGGCGTTGGTGTTATGTTGTGACATCTTCTCGGCAAGCATCTTGGCGTAACGCATCGGGTGCAGCGCCAGGAAAGGCTGTGCGAAGCAAGATGAGAAGGTGGCCTGAGGTTCCGTTACACCCTGTTCAGTACCAGCCATCTTGGATGTGTAACCACTGATGAAGTGGTACATAGTCTGCGCACTGCTCAGCTTGGAGATCGGCGGTAGCACACCACGAGCGTCGCAGGTCAGAAGAATGATGTTGGAAGGGTGGTTCGTTGACACGCAAGGAATCTTCGTGTTCTCGATGTATTCAATGGGGTAGGCGCAGCGGGTGTTCTCCGTCAGCGTTGTGTCATCGTAATCGACGACACGGGTCTCGGGATCGAAGACGACGTTTTCGAGGATAGATCCAAACTTGATGGCATTGAAAATATCAGGCTCCTTCTCAGCAGAGAGGCCAATGCACTTGGCATAGCAACCACCCTCGATGTTGAAGATGCCCTTGTCACTCCAGCAGTGCTCGTCGTCTCCAATCAAGGCACGCTTAGGGTCTGCAGAGAGCGTGGTCTTTCCAGTTCCAGAAAGTCCGAAGAAGACAGTGGTGTCGCCATCCTTACCCTCGTTGGCGGAGGAGTGCAGTGTCAGCACGTTGTGCTTGACAGGCATCTCGTAGAAGAGGACAGTGAAAATGCCCTGTGACTAATTAGTACCGAGCGTGCCATCATTTCACTCGATTTCGTGACGACTCACCTTCTTCATCTCGCCAGCATATTCGGTACCCAAAATGACCATCTCCTTCTCCTGGAAGTTGATGGACACGGAGGTGTTGGAAGTCATGGAAGTGGTATATCTGTTGGCCGGGAAAGCACCGGCGTTGTAGATGACATAGTCAGGGTGGAAGTGCTCCAGCTCTTTCCGCGAGGGACGGATGAGCATGTTGTACATGAACAGAGCATGGTAGGCACGCGCGCAGACGACACGCACGTTGATGCGGTAGCGCTCGTCCCAGCCGGCAAAACCATCAATGACATAGATGCGGTTTCGGGTGTTGAGGTAGTCGACAGCACGTTCGCGGTTGATACGCCAGACCTAAGCACGTGATACAAGTTAGCGGTGGCCGGATGGATTGGGTAGCTCCAAGTGGAAAAGCCAAGCCAAGCCAACATGAAGCCATGCAGAGAAGAGAGAGAGGGAGATGGATGTGATGTGCATGTGCATGTGCGTGCGCGTGTGCGTGAGGGCGAACGGGTCCCGCCGATCTGGCCCGATGCGATGCGGGGCAGCGGATACACGTGCAGAAGAGGAGTTAGGTAAGCGAATGGAAGCTCGGTTCGGCAGTCCGGGATGACGTCCGGGGCCAGGCCAAGACTAGGCTGCCCCGCCGGTTCGCGTCGCCAGTCACTGGTTCACGCGCGGTCGACCGCATCGCCATCATGAAGCGAGCTCGGCACAGGCGGATCAAGGAAAAACAGCAATTCAAGTGGTGCTGGTGGTGGTGCTGATGCTGGAGCTGGTGTCTCTTACCTCTGGCGTCATGGGCTTGTTCACAGGTCCCCACCACACATTGCTCTCCGAGCCCTCCTCTTTCACGATCCGCTTGTCGGAAGGAGAACGGCCAGTCTTTGCGCCCGAATACGCAGACAAGGCGCCGGTGGACGTGATGGCAGACCCGGTTTCGTAGACGAGCGCATCTTCGTAGAGGGCGGCGACGGAAGGATTGGCAATCTGCAATGCGGGCTGTGTTAGCGAACAAAGCTGTGCTTACTGCATGCGTGCGTGGGAATGCGGGATGTGTCTTACAATGGCCACACGGTCGTAGTCAATGTGCGCGCGGTCGTGCAATTCCTCCTCAATTTCGGTATGCTCATGTCGAGGCCTAGACGCGGCGGCATGGTCAGTCCAAGCCCTATTCCCATTGGCGGGAGGGGGGGATATTCAGGTAATGCCACATACTCAACACCGGTAGGGTGCAATGCCGTCTGGTTCACGCGAGCAGCCATGATGATACTGTGCAGTGAGGAGAAAGTTCAATAAATGAGAGATAATGCTGGGTGTGCTAGTCTGCGTTCGTTTTGGAGTGGAGAGGTTTAGAAATGGATGGGTGGATGATGGAAGTGAGGAGGAGGAATTGAGCGGCAACAACACCACGAGAATGCGGAGGGGCCCAGAGCTTTGTAGTTTGGCCTTCATGATCGAGGCTCGCCCACCTCGACATGCCCTCGGGACATGATCTCTTGGGATATGATTTAGGCCCCACGACCGCAAACCAACCCGAAGAGCTATTTGACACACCGCACGTGGTGATTGGTCGCTCGTTCGCGACTCCGTTTGTACCCGACAGCTCGACTGCGCTGCTCACGTGCGTCCACGGTTACGCGCCCATTGTGCGTCGGGTGAGAACGGAGCCGGCTGTAGGTGCGTTATATCTGACTCCTCGCAACGACTTGGGCTACGAAATCTGACAGGGACAGCTTCCAATCAATAAGGCGTCGACCTGCCGCTCCACCATCTCCTCTTCCGCACACACTGAATACCCATGCAGAGGCTCAGCCGGCAGACAGAGGAGGATATCAATTACCTGTACCTACTACCTTACCGACCTTACCGACCTTACCGACCTTACCGTATTGTACATGGTGGGCATGGCTATCAAACCACCCCGGACGGCATTGCATGCCTCGCTACGCTGCTCCCAAGGCCTGCATCATCGTCAGTCACGATGCCTTAGAGGGATGCAGCAATCTGCCAGGCAGGGAGGGCACTTTCATTCGATGCAGAGCTCAGCTGAAAGGAGATAACGATGAGACAAGTTTGTAGGGGTGGTAGAATTAGGTCTGGCGCTGCGCTGACGTTTTTGTCGATAGGACTTCAAAACTGAACGCTAGCAATGGAAACTGATGGAAACTGTGCCTACATCCTGCAGTCTCTCTCAATGCAACTCTCGCAGGATACCGCCAGGGGCGTCCATAGACAATCTCCCCCTGGGAACGTTGTGGAACAGCCCTCCTCTCGTGGAAATCAACGCCGCGTATGGAGGTTCGTTCGGTGTCATGCAACAACATGCCACACAAAGGCTGTGGGCTTCGTGTGCGCATGTGCTGCGTGGCGAGTCTGCTCATCGCCTTCATCTATTTCATTGCGCCCTTGACAACCAGCCTGAGTCCTGTGAACCGCATGCCGTTCAGGTCTTGGTCGTCGCTCTTTATCCTTGGCCCGGTCTACCAATCAAATCGTGTCGTGCTGTCTGTTAGTTCAATCCGTCGAAGCGTTCGTTGTACATGAGCTCAGTCCTTTGCAGAGTCGGTAGTCGCTTCATCGCCAGTGGGAACTTCTGTTGCCTCTGACTCTCCTTCATTCGCATCTTGCTTCTCGGCAAGTCTGATCTGTTCGCGTGTCTGCTCGCTGTCATTCTCTTCCTTCACCTGAGGATCGTCGGATACGGCAGCAATCTTCACCCCTTCCGATGGTTCTGTCAGAGGTGGGAGCGCGCTTGGAGTCGTGTCGGCCACGAAGAGATTCTTCTGCACTTCGCTAAACCAACCGCCTCGTTCCCAAGAACCCGGCTGGTAAAGATTTTCCCGCCGAACTTGACGATCCACGATGCCCTCCATAATCTCTGACAGTCGCCCAAAAGCGATCGGCTTGAGGATCCAGCCATCAAATCCGCTGTCCATATAATGACGTCTCTGCTTCTCGATCAAGGAAGCAGACACGGCAATGATAGGCACGCGGCCGTTCATGGCTGCGCGGGTGGAGAGCACCTGCGCAGGGTGAGACTTTTCAAAAGAACGAATCATTTTAGTGGAAGTTAGCCCATCGACTATGGGCATCTGTGGAGCACGTTAGTTTTGGGAAGCTCGAAAGAAGTGCTGTGTACTGACCTGCATGTCCATGAGAACAATGTCAAAGAAGCCCGGGCGGTCGCAGTAGCTGCTAGCACAATCCTCTCCGTTTACGGTCAATGTCACCTCGTGGCCGAGCCTTTCCAATCTCTTTTTGATGATGCGGCTGTTCACTGGGTCGTCCTCAGCCACGAGTACTTTCATATGTAGGGTGTCCACCGTGGACTGTTGGTTACTGGTGGTATTCGGGGCTTTCTCGTTTATCACTGGCGGACGTATGGGTTGCTCTGGTGTCGGCGATGAACTAAACTCGTCCGGCATCCTCACGGCGCGAATGGGCATTCCAGAATCCTTGACATCGCTCCGACTAGGTTTTACAGGCTTCATATCTGGAAGGGTTTCTGGCGCAGGTGCGATTTCTCCACTTCCAGATCGCTTCCTCGGCGATGAGATATTCTGGTCAGGTCGTGTCCCCGTATGCCGTCGGTTCAGACGTGAGTCCACGGAAACGCCACTTCCACGGCTGTTTGTTCGTTTTACGCTGTTCTCATGCCAACCTTCGACTCGATGAGGCTCCGAAATAGCTTCTATCAAACGATCTGCTTCGCTCTTTCCACTTCGGTTCGAACTCTTGCTCATATTGCTTCGACCAGACCTGTAGCTGCCCAGACTGTTTCTACTTCCAACACTCTCGGCGCTGTGCTTACGCGGCATGCCAGGTGGGCTGAGAGCTGCGGGAGTTGCACTCGGTGTGGTGCTGCTCCGTTCAATGAGAGTGAGCATATCTTCCGTAGGAGGAGTTACTGGCTCCAGAGACTTTTCAGCATGTGGTGTGACTGATCCTTGCGAGCCTTCAGCCGGTAAAGCTTGCTGTTTGTTTTCGTCTTCGGAGATCTCGAAAGGAAATTGTATGACAAACCGAGAGCCTTTGCCTTCTTCGCTTTTCAGACGGAGCTGGCCATTCATATTGCGTATGATACGCGCCACGACAGCCAGACCCAAGCCCAGCGTCCTGCCCTCGACAGGTTTCACAGGGTCCGGCAGAGACTTCTTCGGTACAACTGGTTCGGAAAGCAAATCAGTCGTCTCGCTCTGCACTTGTTCCAGTTCTCGGAATAGCGAGTCGAGCTTCTTGGCACTCATGCCGAGACCAGTATCGACAAAGCTGATCTCTACCTCGACATGGTTATCAGTCCGAGAGGCAACATACATGTCCACCTTGACGCTGCCCTCTTTTGTGTTCTGTATCGCATTCGCGGTGACATTGCTAATAGCCTGGCGTATCTTGCGCTGGTCCCCAATGACCTGTCGAGGAAGACCGGGATGGTCTGTGACTTGGTAAGAAATGTTTTTGCGTCGCGCGTCGCCTTTGAACATGTCTGTGGCTTCGTAGAGGGTACCGCTGAGGTCGAACACTTCATCTTTCACAAGCTCACCGCCCTCCTCTGTTTTTGTCAGATCCAGAAGATCGTTAATGACATAGATCAAAGATTTCGAAGCCGAGTGAGATTTCGCCAGATTCTCTCTCGTTTCCTGATCAAGAGTGCCTTCGAGCGCAATCTCGAGGTAATTGATTATAGCATTGAGAGGCGTTCGAACCTCGTGAGCGGAATTCGCCAGCAACAGTCTCGTCAATTGGCTGTTCTGCAATGCCGCTTCCTTCTGCCTCCAGACTTCGATGAATTTTCCATACACGAGACACAGTACAGCAGCGGTCTCAATCTCCTCTTCCGTCCATTCGCGACATTTACCAACGACCATCTCGCTCCAGGTTCGAAAGCTCTTCCGAGGCTCCAAGTAGCCTTCTGTGCCTTCCTTGACGAACTTTTCGTAAGGGTTGCCTGCCCATTTGACTTCTTTAAGTTGCCCCTTTCGGAAGAATACGATGAAGTCCTGACCACCTACGGATAATGGCACAAGCAAAAGACCAGCGATCTCCTTGAAGCCGGGTGGGTAGCGAAGATCTGGAAAATCCTCTTTGATGTCCTGGGATGTCATGACGTTGGTGACACACCGCATTCGCAGGTACTCGAGCATGGCCAGAGGCTCTTGTGACCCATTTTCAAGGTGCCCCAGAATTTTTGTCTCGTCACGGATTGATAGCAATCCAAAGTCGGCATCGAAGAGTTTGAGCAAGTCCTCGGAAGACGCAATAATGTAGCCTGACGGGTTACTCTGCGTGGGCACGGTGTTGATCAATTTCCGCGCTTGCAGTCGTGATGCATACGACAGACGCTCAATGTTGCGTGACGCAGAATCTCCTACGAGTCGACACATTTTGCGGATCGGAAACGAGACTCGCATGCCCTTTGATCCATACGAGTGACAAGCAATCAAGCCCCAGAGCTCCTCGAACGCGTTGATGGAGATAGACATTGATGACCGCACGGCCATGTTTCCCAAATATTTGATGTGAATCGGAGACATGGCCCGCAAGTAGGAGTACGTCAAGTCCAGTGGTGATTCAAGATCTTCCATAGTCCGACAAACGAGACGAGCAGTCTCCTGATCACGGTCATACAGCATACGCACCTTATTGACCTTGTAAAGATCGCGGGCTTGCTTGGGTATGTCAGAGGCGGGGAAATTCAGTCCTTTGTACAGATCTTTTGTTGCGCGCGGATCTACGAGCTCAGTCACCACTCTGCCGTTCCAGTGTTGGTCAAATTGATAGACCATTACCCGGTGAAATCCGGTCAACTCCTTTACCACGCCCACCAGTATTCGTAAGAACGTATCAAGATTGGGTGCAGCTGCAAGTTGCTCTTGCACTTGGCTCATGATGTTGAAAACCTCCATAGCAGCAGCCTCCCCTTTTCGTTTTCGAGCGCTTCGAAGGACACGCAGAGGTTTACTAGTATTCTGCGTGCTCTCGAGATACTCTTCCTCAGTCGGTCGACTGTCCAGTGTGTCTTCGGGAGGCTCGGGTGTCATATCATTGGGAGGCACTAAAGGATTAACAGGATCGTCTTCAAGTTCAAATTCGCAGATAATCAGGTTAGGGTTGCGCTCATTGATGTGCATGGCGCACCAGAACTTCTGACTCTTGCGTGATGGGTTGCGGATAGATATGGTGAAGACTTCAGGACCATTCGTGACGACATCGGCATCCTCTTCACGGATGAAGTCCACATGATCGAGTAAGTTATCCGCCTGTTCGTCGGACAAAATGTCCGTGAAACTGTCCAGAGAGAACAGCTGCTGTGGCGTGAATCCAATGAGGCGTCTGCAATTCTCGCTGACGGTTCGGACAACCAACTTTCCTTCCTGCTCCTCCTCGAGTGCTATCAGGAGGCCGAAGCCTTGTACCGCGCCAGGGATGTGTATGGGCTCGTCCTCGCACCGCTGCAGCGTCTCGCCGTCCCGCCCGGTGATGATAGCGTGCCCACCGTCTGTCACCACATGTTTGAAGCGTGCTGTGACTAGCGGCCCAGTGTCGTCGATGCTACTCTTGATACTCATCAGAGAAGGGGCCCGTGCGGACGACAAGCGTCCATTCGAGTCCGCCCTAGTGTGTTTGAGGCTGTCTTCTTGAACACTACCCGTACTGTCTGTGTCTGTCATCATTTCATTGAAGGTCTGCGAATAGTGTATCTTTTGCGCAGGACTACTATGTTGTGCGGTGCTAGTAGTGGATGTCGAGCCCTGTCGACTTGATGTGCCTGCGCCTTCGCTGCCACTACGCTCGCCCGTGTACCTCCCGCGAGCAGCATGAAAAGCCTCGGCACTGGACATTCGTGACGCCGACGTCTGGAAATAGCCATCTGGCTTCTCGCTCTTGGTGAAAGGAGTCGGCGTAGGATCGACAGATACAACGGAGCGTATTGGGAACACACGATCGGTAGCTGCAGGGCTGGGCGGCGCCTCGGCATTTTGACCAGGTGATGGTGGTTGGTCTTTGGCTGCGCTGGCTGAACGATGTCGCAAGTCCTCGATAGGAATGTTCGAAGGTCTATTCGTCGTCGGAGGATCGTGGTCAGATGTGGTCGCATCGGGGGCGCTGGTAGTCGGAGTCGGCATGTCCTCGCTCTCCGTGCGACTTGCTTGCCGGAGTCCCTCCTCCTCTTGCTGCTGCTGCTCCGACGACGCCATACTGTGAACGTCCAATCCCGAGTCCCTCCCGGCGTATATTATATGCTACACAGCGACCTAAAAGTCGTGGCCGCAGCCGATTCGCCACAACCTGCCAGAGTGGTGCCTTGACATGAGACTCGAGGCACGCGATGCGCTACTGAAACGACTTCCCGTCGTGGTGCTGTAGGGGATGGGGCCGGGTCGGTGGTGCTGTGAGAAGCTCAGGTCGAGATCAATGCGGCGGATAGCAGGTACAAAGTCAGGCGACGGGGGGTCGTCGGCGCGCGGGCAGGCTCGAAGATCCGATCTGGGGTAGAGTGGTATACCGTAGGAGTCTAGGATGGATGGTAAGGCGGTATGGTGGGTCGTGGGCCGCACGTGGACGCGAGGGCAGAGAGTGCAAGGGCAATGTCGCCACTGGATGCAGGTTCAATGATGTTGCTAAGGCTGCCGCAAAAGAAGCGTGCCGTCTCGCCGTACCGCGCGCTCGGTGCAGAAGTCCCAGTGCAGGTAAGGATGATGATGTAACACGGTGTTCCACGATCGCTTTCGGCGCCAAGACCTCAGAAGCGGGTAGAACTAACCTGGAACGCCTGGCAGGCTGGCGGTATCTTACCTAGGTAGGTAGGTAGCAGAAGCCTCGTATGTGTGCACGTTATGCTGCGTGGATGTACCGTACATAAGGGAGGTACATGAGGTAGCAGCCTACACCTATGTCCCCTCCCCAGCGCACGCACGCTCGACCGAAGCAGGATTGTCAGCAGCACCTGGGATCGCCGAGAGACGCGGAAACCGCCACCACCACCAACACCACCACCACTTTCACCTTCACCACCACCACCACCACCACCACCGCGGCCAATCCTCACCCTGCATGCGTGGCTTGTTCTCCCCGAGCGTCGGCGTGGGCCAACAACCCCGAGCAGATGATGATGATGCAGTGCATCGACGTGACAGTGCTGGATCGACATGTGTCAGCCGCTTGTGCTCTCCCTCTCTCTCTCTCTCTCCCGCTCCCTCTCTCCCTCTCCTTCTCTTTCTCTCGGTTTCTCTGTCTCTCTATCTCTCTGTCTGTCTCTCTCTTGATAGATGCCACCAGCAGGAGAAAACTCATCGGCGAGTCGCGCCACTGAGGCACGTGGCGTAGAACAACTACTGTGTCAAGTGTCAAGTAATGTACCTGTAGGCTGTAATCAGCACGTTCATCGTCATCTTGTTTCTTCTTGTGCCGCGCCGCGGCACGAGCCCTAACTATGTGGTGATGAGGCTATATGTCTGTGGCTGTAAATATGTAGGTCCATGGAGAACTAGTGGACAAGTTGTGGACTTACTAGGTATATGTAGCTCGTATCGTCGTTATCATCAAGACTTTATGGAGGCGTCAGAATCACGCGCGTAACTTCTACGGAACCAATTGGGTACAGCATATTCATCATGGATCAAGTTCATGTTGAGTGTGGGACTTGGGACTGGATACCTCAGGTAGACTCGGGTTCCCACGTGCAGACGCTCGCCAGTTGCCACGCTCGCCACCTGCCTGCTCCTGCTTCCCTCAGTCCCTGCCCTAGCTTGCCTACTTTACCTTAAATCGTATCATCAGCGCGATTACCTACACCCGACACTTCCACCTCAGCAGTCCATCACAGCCTGATCAAGGTACACATCCTGCAACTGCGGTATGGCAGACGACCATGACGCCGATAACGACGATGCCCTGCGACTCTCCGCTCCCGCTCTCCACCACAGCCGCACGCTGAACGTGGTATTTGCTTCATTAGGATGTGACGACCGCAGGATCGTCGAAGACCTGCTACCGACCCTCGCCAGCCTGCCCGACGTGTCCCTCAGGGCCATCCTCGATCCTGCCTTCTGCGGCCAGGCCTTCGTGAACGCCTCGACATCATGTCTGACCATGCCGAACATCATGCGCCGCGCTCCAACACCCAATGCTCTTGCTGTGGAACTGGAGGCAGCGGAACTGTGCGAGTGGGCCGACTTGCTAGTTCTGGCTCCTATGGACGCCCACAATCTCGCAAAGATGCTGCACGGACACACAGATAACCTGGTCTTGGAGCTCATTCGCAGTTGGGACGTGTCCAAGAAGATTCTGCTGCTACCCGGCATGTCGTCGCGCATGTGGGAAAACCCCATGACCAAAAAGCAGCTCACCAAGATTCGCAGGAAGTGGAATTGGGTGCAGGTGTTGCAGCCTATGCTATGGGCCTTCGTAAGCGAGCAAAAGAAGCTGGTATCCTGGGAAGCTGCGGAGGAGCTCGTGGATGCGGTTCGCAATCAGGTGGATTTGATTAATATTGGCGCAGGGCTGGATGTTTCGCCCGATCATCCAACATCCTTTCCCACACCATCGAAAAAGACGGGAATCTTGCCGCCCGAATTATGGACCATGATCATGGACTTTACGGGTGACTGGGAGCTAGCTCAAAAATTGCATATTTTTACCAATTTGAGACCAACTGCGGATTGGACTTCCCATACCAGCCCGCAAGGCCCACGTAACTACATGGAGACTCTCGAGCTCACCCTCTTGCGTGGAAACCTCTCCGACGTGAAGCATTTCATAGCGACACACAGCGTGCCGCGCTGGCTATCGAAATTGTGCATCAAGCTGATCATGCGCTTCGCCATGACTGACCTATTGGCTCATCTGGAGGCCAGTCACAAAGACCTGTTCTGGGCGACATTTGGCCAAACTTTCTTACCTGACAAGGCTTCCTCTGTCTTTGGCAGAACCGAGATTCTCGAGTACTGGAGAACCTCCCCGTCGTTCCTTAACAAGGAGTACAACAGCGAAGCGCTGGACGGGGCTTCACGAGCAGGGTTCGTGAATGTATTAGAATGGTGGCAGCACTCTGGTCTGCCATTAAAGTTCACCGAAGCGGCCCTAGAACAAGCGAGTGGTCAAGGCCACATATCAGTACTCGAGTGGTGGAAGGCTCAATCAACAGCCGTGGGAGATTCCAGCGTCAGTGTGGACTCTTCCAAAGTGCGCTTGAAACCAGGCAAGAGCATCTGTTATGCCACGCAGAATGGTCATACGGATGCAGTGCATTGGTGGCTGCGTTCTGGGATTGCATTTCCTCATGAGGACACTGTTGCCAAGCTCGCCAGCACGCATGGCCACGTCGATATATTGCAAATCTGGTATGAACTCAAGGGTTCCAAAATGATATTCGACAACCAAGTACTCGTTGGTGCGACCAAAAGCGGCAACGTCGCTGTGCTGGAGTGGTGGAAGCAGTCCGGACTCAAGGTCGAATATAAGACGTGTGATGTGGAAGAGGCTTTGGAAGATGGGTACGAAGGCGAACGGGAGGTCCAGGTTCGGAGGTGGTGGGCTCAGAATGGGCTCAACTTGGGCGTGGGAACTAGTGAATGGATGAAGACCAAGGTTTTGAATTCTTGATTGAGAAGCGTTCGAGCGAGCATGGTGTTGGGGCCAGATTGTATACGTGCACAAGAACACGAAGGGCGAGACGAGGTGATAGACAGACCTCATTGTCCCATGGAACGAACAATTTAAGTACCTAGGTAGAATGCCTATTTCTGCTCTTCCAATACCTCCTTATCAGTACCGCCATCTGCTCGTAATGCGACACCAGCAGTTATATACGGGTCTGAGAGTCGTCATACAGCCTCTCTGTAGTACGTCCCAATTACAACGACAGTTTGGAGATCCTACCTCCTAGGCCGCGGACACACATTTTCATCGGGAGCGTAATTCATTGGAATGTTCCAGGGTCCAGGTACATGAAGGGAAGAAAGTCCGACTCCGTGGCGAGGCGCGAGAAAGCACGTCCAGCGATTCTGAGCTGACATCCCACTGACTACATCACACACCTCTCTCTCTTCAATTCTCTCTCTCTTTCTCTCTCTCTCTTTCACCGCCAATCATAGAACCATCGCGCGCCCCCGATGGCCACCCAGGTGGTACTCGAAACGTCCTTGGGGCCCATCACCATCGAGCTCTACACGGAACACGCGCCTCAGACGTGCAAAAACTTTCGCGAACTCTGCTCGCGCAAGTACTACGACGGCACCATTTTCCATCGCATCATTCCGGATTTTATGGTATGACTTACCTACCTGTACTCTGCCTTACTGGAGTACCCCTCCACAACGCCGTACACAACGCATATGCATAGGTAGGTATACGGGTTGAATAACACCACCTCCCAGATCCAAGGCGGAGACCCCACAGGCACAGGACGAGGAGGCTCCTCGATATGGGGAGAAAAATTCGACGACGAAATCCGTTCGGACCTGAAACATACAGGCGCGGGAATTCTCAGTATGGCCAATTCGGGACCTAATACCAATGGATCGCAATTCTTCGTCACACTCGCGCCGACGCCGTGGTTGGATGGGAAACATACCATTTTTGGTCGCGTGAAGAGTGGGCTCAATACGGTGAAGAAGCTGGGCTTGGTCAAGACGAGCGCGGAGGACAGGCCGGAAGAGGAGGTGAGGATTGTGAGCGCTCGCGTGCTGCAAGGCGAGGATGGTCTGTGATTGATCAAGAGAGGCGGCATTTCATGGCATTATTGATCCTGCACATGACCGACATGGGAAAGTGCATCAGACAGCACAGGCGACGAGATCATCCATCAAATTTTCGACTACTGGACTACCACGGTTCATCATTACGGCGGCTCTGAGTCGTCATGACACAGTTCCATCCACTCCACTCTACTGCAGTGGCCCGTTGGGATGCAACAACACCTTGGAATATCCTTCAATGCGCTTGTCGAATTTTTCTGCCGCGCGAGTTAGCAATGTGTCCGAGAAGATTTCTGCCAGCTAATCAGGCTTACCATAAGCCATCGGAGCATCATCAAGCGATAGCTCGTGCGAAACCACAAACGAGGGCTTTGCACGACCCGCGATGATGAGGTCGCGCAAGTACCTATTGTAAGCCTTTACGTTACACTGAAGCGAGAAACAGTCAGTGAATGTCCTTTTTAGCTTTCTGAACGGAGACTTACCTGTCCTGTGCCCAGGCTCAATCCCTTTTCAAAAAGCTTGCCAAAGCTGATTCTGTAAAGATAATACCGTCAGTGGTCGAAAGCGTAAAAGTCAAGTCCAAAGATCTTTCACTCACAAGATCTGGCCCTTGCCTGATTGTTCGTCTGGAGCGCCTGGGTCGCTTGGCACATAAAGACCAGGAATTCCAAGTCCACCAGTTGGTCTTGTCACCATGATCAGCTGATCGAGCACGATGTTGGGCCTCTCTTTGCTGCCATCTTTGTCAACAGCTTGATAGCCCACAGCATCGACAGCTCGATCGACCATGCCACCATTCTTCTTGATGACTGCGATCTATTAGCACGTGCAAGCATCATCGCCGTTATCTGAACAGCTTACTTTGCTCGACTGGATCGCCGTCCCTGAAGTTGATTGGAATAGCTCCAATCTTGGCGGCTTGGGCTAGTCGCTCTGGAACTTGGTCCACGACGTAAACCTGAGAGGATGGCATCAGCATTGTTGACTTGTTTCCTCGCACCGCCGGTCCTTACCTGCGATGCGCCGCGAATAATGCCAGAGTATGCGGCCATAAGCCCTACTGGCCCTGCTCCAAAGACAGCAACAGATTCACCGCTCTGGAAGCCAGAAAGTACAAGTCCGTGCCAGCCAGTTGGGAAGATATCCGCAAGCAGAGCAAAGTCTGCCTCATGCTCAACTCCAGGTGGCAGCTTCAATCCGTTAAAGTCCTACCAAAGAGATTTCATATGTCAGCCGCTTGCTCATGCACGGTGATACTTCTAATGAATTACTTACCGCATAAGGCACTCTCAAATATTGCGCTTGTCCGCCAGCGTATGGTCCCATGGCAACGTAGCCATACGCACCGCCTGCAAATCCAGGGTTGACACCGGTACAGAAGGCTGTCTTGCCTTCCTCGCAGTTGCGGCAGCGACCGTCAGCGACGTTGAATGGAAGGACGATGCGATCACCCTTCTTCAGCAACGTAACACCAGATCCGACCTGAACAGTTACAACCCAGTCAGTCCCGCCTCGAAGATGGTATAACTCACGTCCGGGCTTCCCTCACCTCAGTGACGATCCCCATGTTCTCGTGTCTATGGGAGTGAAGGTCAGTCAAGGCGAGTAATGGTTGACTTTACTGACTTACCCGAAAACCAGTCCTTTCTCGGCAGAGGTTCTGCCCTCGTACCTGTCGGAAGTCACACATGTCAGATAGCTCGCCTCTTACATCGGAGCCCAGCGTATGCCGATAGTACGACCAAACAGTATCCTCCGGATACCTGTTGCGGTAGATGTTTTCCTTGTAAAAGTGGATTTTGGAACGCCCTTGCCCATTTTATCGGGACGAAAGATGTCCCAAAGGTACCTACTGTCCACTCCTACTATCCGCATACGCTGGGCATCAGAATAGCAGCTTACATATGTAAGTCACTTCCACAAATGCAGCTCGTGGTGATCTTGATGATTACATCATCCTAAAAATTTCCGTCAGACAGACGAGAACTTTTCTCGTTATAATAAACAGCGTGCTTACGGGATGCTCGATCTTTGGCCTTTCGATCTCTCGAACGGAAACCTGGTAGGGACCTGCCGCGTCGTGAGTGAATCAGCAGTGTGCACAACACGGTGTCCCAAGACAGTCCGCAGCAGCAGCAGCAGTAAGAAACACCTACCATCGTAATGGAGCGCTTTCATCTTCGTGTCAGACATGGCGGCAAGAAGTTCTCGTCTCGTGAAGCAGAAGAAATATGTGCAAATCACAAGTATAAAGTAGTAATGGATAGAGGATGAAGCAAGGCAAGACCCCGATCGCAGGTATGTATTTGCAGAAGAACCGGACGACTGGAGGTGCACCTAGGTAGCTATATGAAGTAGGGTAGGTACCTCAGGTAGGTAACTGTACAAGTATCTCCTCCTCCTCCTCTTTCTCCTCGTAGGTAGTCCAATGCCAATAAATACCTACATGTACCTACCTAATGCCTTATTACCAATACAACCGTACGTCGGTACATACTGACCTCATATGAGCGGGGCGGGGTTGCTCCTCTCCACTGCTGGCCTGGACCAAAAGCTTGGAAGTAAGGTAGGTTAGTGGAGCCCCTCGTACGTAACTTTCACTTTTTTGAGTCTCTATTGTTTAGGTGAGCGTTGATTGCGCAATGGGTTATTAAACAGATTGAAGAGTTGTTTGTTACTTCGATGAACTCTTTTAGAAGCGTATCTTCAGCAGTACCTTGTATATATACATAGTTCTTGTTGTAATACTTGTTGTCGTTTCGAGGTACGACAAGCTTGTCGGTAAGCTCTATCCAAGTTGAGGTGGATTGGCGTAGTAGGTTACCTACAGAGGTAGTTGGGTAGTTGATAAAGTCGTCAAGGTAGTAAAGGATAGCGACGTACACTACAAGGAAACACTGTAATATCTAGGTAGTGCCTCTGCGAAAGAGGTAAAAGATGACTGGTGCGATGCGTAAGAAGCCGAATGGCAGTGCGTTTTCCAAAGTACCTAAGTAGTGCCTTTCCAAGTGAAGCCAAGTAGCCAGCGATATCGATATCAGTGCAAGTGGCACCATTCGGAAGGCGTCTTTATTAACATCCTTCTTGATAATAGGTGCAGCCAACGCCGCACGTCCATATGTCAGAACAATACCTACTGTCGAGGTAACTTGAACTGCTTACACCTACCTCCTAGCTATGTATTCGTGCTCCTGCGGCGCCGCCGCTCAGATGTATAAGTCAGACATGACTCGTCACTGTCCTTGTCCTACAAGCGACCGCGTCGTCCTTGCTTCTGTTATTAACGCCTTGCGACGATCGGCCTTCTTTCTTGTGCCCCGAAACACTTCCAGCGCCTTCTTTCTTGTGCCCCGAAGCACTTCCAGCGCTTTTATAGCTGTTACCTGAAACTACAGGAAGCTTGGAATGCTCTGGAAGCTTGAAATGCTCTGGAAGCTCGGAATGCGCCCCGAACGTGTGGTGATGAAAGGCGACATCACAATAGGCTGAGGTGGGCGATCGGTCGCGTAGATGCGCTGAGTAGCGCGGAGTTGGGATTTCAGCGCATGGGTTGCGTGGCAGGAAGGTCGAGCTGGTAGATTAGGTAGAAGTTACCTCCTAGAACCGCTGTTCGCGCGGAAAAGTCGAGATTTTCCAAGCAGCACCTCGAGGCTCGAATGGCACATGTGGCCCTGGTCTGTGCAGACGCTAGGAGCGGTCCGAGCGAGCTAAACAGGAATTGACGCGTATAAATCGAGAAAGGGCCGAAAGGCGTCGATATCTCGATTCTCGCTGCAGATTTGGGTTTCGACTTCAAGGTTCTAATTTCTAAAATCATTCTATAAAAGTATTCCCGGTTAGCCGGTACCGGACCGCCCCTAGCGCAGGCTCAGACCAGGGCCAATTCCGTAAGCATCACTGTCCACCTACCTACCTACCTACCTGAGGTATGTATGCTGCACACTGCACAGCTCTAAACATCCAGCAACCCTAGGAGGTAGTAAACATCAGCCTTACCAGGTACTGTGCCGTATTGTGTTGGTGGCGTCTAGCTGTTCAAACTTGGAATAATCGCCTGTTCCAAATGATTACATTATAGAAGCCGTTTACCGCATCTATAGCGCAGATGGACGCCGTATACTCTCCTTTTACCAATCGACCTGAACCTGTCAGAGGACTGACCTTGAGCTTGATATGTCGAGAGTAAGGACAAGGACCGGAACAGTATGGTACCTAGGGAGGCTTGCATTCCAAAACGAGCTACGAAGAGAGAAAGAAGAGGGATGCCATAGAAGGGCAAGCCAAGTACAGGTATGTCAAATTGTCAATCAATGATCAATCCACATCCATTACCATGACAGAAATCTCAATTTCTCTAGGGTTCGCCGTCCTTGTAGTATGTATGCTAAGGTAGGTATCTGTATTTTACCGCTCTTCCCTGTATGGCAGCTACGGAGCTCGTACTTATACTTCAGAAATGTCAACGTCTACTAGGGTCCTTGTAGCATTCACCAAATGAATGATCAGTTTACTGCTACCTCCTACGCGGCCCTAATACTCATAATGGTTTACCAACTACATACTGCTTGTTATATATTACCAACTACTTACTGCTTCTTAGTTACTACACTCTGGCTTACTACAGTTGCCGGACGTACGGGATGTCTAGAGCCCAGTCTGGCAATCTTTACATCTGCTAGTGTCCTTGTGACATTCTCTAGCTAGGTATGTATATATATCAACTCGCGCTCTTGGTTAGATCTCGGCCTGTCTGATACATCGTCGCAGCCTCAAGTGGCGTCGGACTTGCTATGAACATGTTCAACATGCGTGTTGTCCTCCTCACAGCGATTCTCGCCTCTGCCTTCGCCTCCGATACCATCTACCCTCGCAACAAAGCAGAATCAGATGTCAATACCGCTCCGGTTCTGGATCCAAGATTCGCCTCCGATCCTATCTACCCTCGCAACAAAGCAGAACCAGATATCAATACCGCTCCGGTTCTGGAACGGCGCCAAGCCATATGGTATACGGATCCAGAATTCGCCTCTAAGCATGGAGTTGAGACCCAGAGATTCACAGAGGTTGTGGAGATGAGCCGGCATTCACACCTGGTCGCACGACAAAGGAAGCCACCCAAGAGAAAAAAAACCGATAAGAATATCTTCAATAGGATGTGTCTACGAGAGCTCGGGGAATCCGGACCATCGATCACACACTATGACGTTGAGGTTCCTATCGATGGACCTACTCAAAATATAGCAACACCGGGTGGAGGTGCGGTGCAGATAATTGCAGAGAGATATATTGATGAGAACGACGAACAAGAGAAAATGGACATGTCTATCATGAACAACAGCCAGTGCGAGTTGAATATCAACTTCACGACTCCACTGCGATTCATAAATAATCGTCGCAACGATCCTGCGAATGCGGTTCCTCCCGTGGACATACGTCCTACTCCATCACGTCAGTGGTACGATACTCCAAGCTTCTGCCATATTGACGATATGGAACCAGCGTTGGAGCAGACAGTTATAGCGATGAAGCTTATGTTAAAGACCTTTTATTGTTGAAGGGCGAACACTTACTGTCTCTGCGGTGGGAATTTTAGCTGGAGGTAGTGGTTATACTTTTGTTGTGTTTCATTTTGTATTATTGGTTTTGGTTCGTTCAATCACAATGTTTTTAGTGTTGTGTTATTGTACCAACCTGACTGTATCTACGAAGGACTTGAGAGCGACCTAGGAAGATGGGCGCGGCATACAGCGCGTTTGTTCTGACGCGTCAAGCAACGGACGTTTGCCAAGCAAAAGTGTTGTAAGGGCCTTATATGGCTTAAATGTCTGCGTGTTACAGTACCTAGTAAGGTGGCAGTGGCAGTGAGGTACATTACCTTACCTACATTATATAATGTCTGCACGTCATCACCTTCCACATGCATGCTCGGGCAGGCGAACTGCATACTAGGGAGCTCTGAACCTAGCAAGAGGCCAAATCTTCGTTTCGGAAACTTCCTCCTACGAACTCCGATTTGAAATCTTCGGCTTCCTATACTTACGGTATATTCGCATACATATTCGCGGGACTTTCGCGATTCTCTACAGTATACATCGGGTATACGTATTCGGGCATTCGTATACGTATTTATACATATACTTATATACGCGGCACTATATATACATATATATATACGTTAGTACGCGTACTATACGTACGTGTATACGTATGTTAGTACGCGCACTATACGTACGTATATATACGTACGTTAGTGCGTATACATACTATCGCGCGCAAAAATTACGCGTACTACGAATCTACTTATATAGGCATTCGTAGTATTGCTCGTAATGTATATACTATAGTCGGAGGACAACGATAGCTTAGGGTTAGGGTTGCTTATAGCGGTAGTAGGACAATAATAGCTTTCGCTTCTACTATTTGCTAACTAAAGGGGGTTACATCCTATCTACTTAGTATCGTTAGCTAGGTTAATTAGCTTGTTATAATATTTACTCGTAGACTCGTAGTATTATTCGTAGTATAGTACTTTTCTTTGTATAAGATCAACTGTATATAGTATCAACCCTCGACTAGGACGCCTAATAAATACACTACTACAATCTATTAACTATTAACTATTAACTATCAACTATCAACTATTAACTATTAACTATTAACTATTAACTAGAACGCCCGATAAATACACTACGAACTATACTACGAACGATACCTTAGGTTTATATAAAGCGGCGATATATACTTCCTCTGCCTCTTCCGAGCTAGTAATCCTATAGCTTTAGGGGTATTGTTAGTAATACTGTTAGTAGTAGCGCTAGTACAATCGGTATCGGTAATACTAGTATTCGTACTCTTATTCGCTGCGCTAGGCATATTGTCAAATATATTAGTAAACAAGTAGTTAATCGTAGCGTTAATCGTACTAACAATCGTATTACTATTAATTATACTATCAATCGTACTATCAATTCTACTATTAATCGTACCGTTAATCGTACCGTTAATCGTACTATCGTTCGCGCCGTCGTTCGCGTTATTAGTCGCGCCGTCGTTAGTCGCGCTGTCGTTAGTCGCGCCGTCGTTAGTCGCGCGCCGCCGTCGTTAGTCGCGCCGTCGTTAGTCGTACCGCCGTTCGCCTCGCTGTTACCTTCCCTACGGACCTTTAGCTTAGGTAAAATAATAAGTGTCCGATAGGTCCTGTTACTTTAAGTAAGATCGATAGTAGGTTAATATACTAGTAGTAGCGTTCGCGGTACGTTCGACAGGCGACTTAATATAGTACTTACCTACCTACCTACCTATAGTCGTTACGGTTGCCTTCGTTGCTATAGTTGCCTTCGTTACTACGGTTGCCTTCGTTGCTACGGTTGTTATCGTTACTATAGTTGTTGTCGTTACTACGGTTGTTATCGTTACTACGGTTATTGTCGATTATGCCTATAATAGTAGTAATAGTTGTCTCGGTCTCTTGAACACTGCTTTTAGAAGCGATTCTAGCCTACTATTATTATTACTCGTAGTAGCGATCGTAGTAGATTTAGGCGTCTTAGGAGGGTTAAGTATTAGTAGGTTATATTAGATCCTTCTATAGTTCGTTTGTTACGACTAGTCTATTTGTAATATATTAACGTTAAAGGCATAGGCGTCGTTCTGATCCTTCGGTCGTAGAACCGGAATTGGCAATAGTATCTCTACGAGTAATAATAACTTTAAGGCTAACAATAATACCTCCTACGGCTAATGTGTTTTACTATCGAATCTAGTAATTAGACGATAGTATAGGTAATTCGGTACAGAAAATATAGGGCTACGCCCTATCCTATAATCTACGGTACGCGAGAGGATAAAATCGACTAGCGGCTTATTCGTAGCTACGAAGGAGTCTTTAGACTAACTATCCTTAAGAGATAGCAGCTTCTTAGGCTTCTCCTAGGTAACAACTATACTATCTAAACGGACGACCTAAGTATATATATCGATAGTATACTTAACAAGCAGAGGAGCCTGCTCTTTGCCTTTTAATAACTTAGTTAAAGACGGAGAATCCTCGTTCGCAGCCGTAGCCGCTCGATTCGTAGCGTTGTTCGTAGGTATCTTGTAAGATAATGCCTTGCCGCCTGTACTATATATAATTATCGAATTCTTCTTCTAGGTAAATCCCTTCTATCGTTGTCCTTCGGCCTTATCTAGTAAGGAGGCGAATAATATAAAGCCCGGAGCTTCTAGGCAGCGTCTATTAGTACTTATAGTAGCATTCGTAGTAGGCTTAGTAGTATTCGCAATTCTGAGTTCTTATACTATAGGGTTGTTAGTACTGTATTGAGGATACAATACCTAGTCGCTAACGAGGGTATACCGTATTCTAGTTACGGAGTAGTACTTTCCCTACGAGGCTATTATTGTAATCGATAGCGGAGGTACAGAATAAACGAACTTCGAGAACTAGGCGCTCCTTTTGTATATAATAAACGTACTACGATTAGTACTACGAACGCTGCCTAATAGTCGCTATAGACAGGCATTTTAACCGTAGTACGGCTAACGGCAGTTCTATATCGCTATAGAATAGGTATTTTGACCGTAGTACGGCTAACGGAAGTCCTATATCGCCGCTATAGAATAGGCATTTTGACCGTAGTAAGGCTAACGGTAGTTCCCTAGATACGAGCGGTCCTATAGGCTCGTATAATACCTCGATAGAAGGCGGTGAATAGTTACTCTATACTCTAATATACTCCGTATTACGAATATACTACGAGTAGGTAAGGTAGTCGACCCCTATACTATACCCTATATTGCGAATACTCTACGAATTAGTACGAATATAGACCCTACTAAGGTTTCCGGTAGCCGGACTAGCGAAGCCCCGATATTACGTCCTAGTATAACTCAACATTACGTCTTGTAACAATATTACTCTCCTCCTCTATACGACTATATATACCTACCGATACTTTCTCTACTCGGCTGAACTCGTAGCTAGATTCGTACTACGATACGCGATATAGAGAGATCTACTAGGAATAGCCGCCCTCGAATTAAGCTCGATAACTATAAGGATTAGATTGCGTAGTATATTAGTGCTAGGTATATATAGACTATAATTCGCGCTGAACTATTGTAGGTATACTAACTTAATATCTATGCTCGAACGCTACGCCGACGTCTATAGCTATAGGCTATTACGGCCCGAAGGCCTATATATTACAATACGGTACTACTACGATAACGTATTATATACTGCTTCTTCGTACTACGTCTTATAGATTCGTAGGCCTGTCGGCTACTCGACTATAATAGATTCGTAGTTGGACTAATACGAATAGCGCGTTTACGTAAGGAGATAGGATTATACAAGCGTATACTAGTAGCGTACCGCGAGGAAGCGGAATTAGGTATAGTAGAGGTACTACGAAAAGAGCTAGAAGACGGAGGTATTAAGGATCTTAGCCGCCGAATGCTCTACGAATATATACGATCAAAGTACAATATCGTTAGTAGAGATAGATTGTACCGCGTTCTAGATACTTTGAATCCCGAGGCCGTACGTAGGCGCCGAGTAAAGGCTAAGTAATACCGAGGTACGATAGTTATACCTAGACCTAACTACGTATAGTTAATAGACGTATACTATAAGTTAGAGTACTTTAGGTTCGAAATCTACGTGTATATAGACGCGTTCTCGCGGTATATTACGTAGATATACGTTAGAATTACTACGAGAACTTAGGTATCTGTTTAGGCTTAATATATAGAAACCGCTCGGGCTAGCGGCATTATATACGTACCCGAGTATACCGCGAATATAGCGAGAACGTATACTAATATATATATATACCTATAGTCTATTTATCCTATAGACTAATCGCGGCGCTAAGACGCGCTATACTGCTAACACTTATTTAACTTTGCGGCGTTAGTTATATAAGGGCGAAGGTAATAAGGTAAGTAAGACCGAACGAAGTACGAGTGCTATACGAACGATCTACGAATAACTATAGTATAGCCTCTTCGGTTCGACGACTGTTTCTAGTACGGTATAAGCAAGATAAACCAACGGATTAAGATATAGTAGCGCTAGCAGACAGCTAGTACTGCTCGGTAGCGATAGTACTTTATAGAGCTATATAGCTAGGGTCTATTTCTTAGAAAGAACAAGTATAACCGACTCGCTATATTGTTCGTATATATACCGATTATTCGTAGTATAGTATTAGACTTTGTTTATCTCTAGAATACGTATCGAATACGTTCGTAGAGGAATAGATAGTATATAATTGCCGGTATCCCGTTCGTACTATACTACTACCTATAGGAGTACGGTAATTACGAATAGTATAGGGTATAGGTACTACTAGAATTGCTCGAGCTAATACAAAACGACCTCTAAGGTAAATACCTATAGTACGTTCGTAGGTACGTTCGCTAACTGATTATACTACCTTAGGCTTCGATATTAAAGAGTACCTTCCGCCGGCGATATAGCAGTAGTACAACGAGGTACTACGGCGACGTAGATTTACTACCCCTATATACGGTACTAGTATCGACGGCGATAGCGACCGTATATATCCCTAGGTATATATAGCATTACGTAATAAGCTACGTACCTATCTAGATACTTATAGCGACGAATTACTATACGAAGCAGCAAGGCTACTCGCGGCTTAATAGCGTACTAATCCTACGAACTAGTATATTTACGAGCATACGAATAAGGACCTGTTCGATAGTCTATTACTATATAATTATTAGCGGCCGGACAATACTATAGACGTTAATAATACAGAGGTAGAAGAAGACGACCCTATACAGTTCGAATTACTACCGAACGACGACGACGACGACGACGACGACGACGACGACGACGCTAACGACTAAGCGAACGACCGTACGAATAATTATACGAATAACCGTAAAAACGACCGTAAAAACGACTGTAAAAACGACTGTAAGAACGACCGTAAGAACGAACGACAGTAAGAAACGTAATATGTAAAGGATATAGAGAGCCGCGAATATAACTACGAACGCTATACTATTCTACCTCTAATCGTTATTGCTTATCTTAACGTCTTTATTAACCTCTTCGTCGTTAACATCTATCTTAACGTCGTCGTTATCGACGTTGTCGTTAACGACTATCTTATCGTCTTCTTCGATAGTAACGTCGTCGCCGTCGCTATCGGTATCGGCGTTACCGTTACCGTTACTGTCTCTATTGCTATCGCCGTCGGCGCCGGCGTTACTATCGCTGTCGCCGTTACTATCGCTGTCGCCGCCGTCGTCGCCGCCGTCGTTGTCGTCGTCGTCGTTATCGTCGTCGTCGCCGGCGCCTTCGAGCTTTTTAAGGCAGTCGCGGAACTTATCTTTTAATATTTCTAAGGCTTCTCGAAGCCTTTGCGAATTTTTCGTCTTACGTAAGAGGCGACGTTCGAGCGTAACTACCCTCTCTTCGAGGGCAGTAGCCTTAGTAGTAGCGGCGGCGGCGGCGGCGGAGGCAGCGGAGGCGAGTACGGCGGAGGCGGTAACGGCGGCGGCGGTAGCGGCGCCGGAGGAGGGAGCGGAGGCGGAGGCGGTACTAAGAATATTACTACGAATTACGCTACCGCCCGCTCGTAGCGATTGTACGCTAAGCATTAGTAATAGCAGCGGTAGTATTGCCTCTTTATTAGCCTCGTATCTCTAGAAATATATTAGATTACTTACTTACTACGATTACTACGCGAATAGACTAAACATACCGACTTGCCCTTATACTTGTAGTAGGCGTAGGCCTTATTCCTTCCTACGAATACCTTATATACCTCTATACTGCCCGGACGCGAATATCTATACGAGTATTAGTCGAATAAATAGTACGAGTATAGCGCGAATATACGAACTAGTAATATATAGTAGGGGAATAGACGCCCTCTATAGTCTCTATAATACGGCTAGCGGTATTATACTTACGTAGGTTCTAGCTATTATATATTAGTACTACGAATCAACTACGAACGAACTAGAAATGTTAGGATCTAGACTAGACAGCGATACAGACATCTTAAGACAGACCCGGAATAGCCCGGGAGTACCTAAGATAGGCCAGAACGGGCTACTACGACTTAAGAGGGTTTAGGCCAGACCTTTACCGCCGATACCGAGTTAAGATAGTTTATAGAGAGTTAGAATAGGAGATCTTAGATCGAGATATTCTAAATCAGACCCGAGAGGCTAGAACCTCTGGGTACTCCGAAGATACACTTATAAACAAAGGGAGAAGACGTATTTCTACTCTTCTCCTAAGCGATTCGAGTAGTACATTTCTATTAGATACTTTAGCCTATATATCTTATCCTTTTATATACGAATCGCTTCCTTATCGTATAACGAAGTATCTCTAACTATAGGTCTAAAGAATACGATACGCTTAGGATCGAGTATCTAGGACTCGGTAGCGACTAGTACCCTAACGGAAGTAGACGTCGTACTTTAGCTAGAAGCCGAAGAGACGGAGGCTACTAAGGCCTAGCAACTCCTTCGAGTAAGCTAGGCTAGAGAGGAACGTACTAAGTTGCTTTAGTAACTTAAACAATCCGACGCGATAATCTAATCTCTAACCGGAGTCCTCCTAACTAATAGACACGACCCTATCCTAGGCTATCCTAGCCTATCTCTAGCCTAATTCATTCCTAAACTACGGAACCCCTATATATTTAAAGGAAAGAACAGACGCAACTAGATCGAATAGCGAGACGACTACGAACGAATCTTCCGAAGGGCCCTAGATTACTATATAGACGCCTAAACTAAGATTAAACTTAGGGAAGAATAGATAGCAACCGAACAAAGATCCTAGTAGAACCGGTTTATAGACTTACTCCGATCCTAACCGGCCTATAACGTCCTATCTTAGTCCGACTTTAAGGAATATATACTTAATATAATAGGTATACCCTAGGAAAGGCGACAAATTGCCTACGACGCGATCAAATCTATCGAACAGAACCTCCGAACCCTAATAGAGCTCTTAACCGACCTAAAGGAACACTAGGACGAGCTTAGAACGGAGGACGAATAAATAAAGATTATAGAGTTCAAAAGCGCCCTAAACGGAAGGATTAAGCATTAGATCAATATTAATCTTACTACCTTTGCTACCGTTACGGCCCTCGAAGAAGTAGCAAATATCTACTAGAGAGCTATCTAGGCCGAAAGGGATTATTGCTAGAAGGATAAACGCGATAACAAACGCGGACGGTCCGATACTACTAGTAAAACCGCTATCTACGCGAAGAGGTCCTAAAGTTACTCCAAAACGAGCTAACCTCCGTCGACAGGACGACTAAGCCGACCTAGAGACACTAGACCTCTATCTAGGTACTACGGATACGGCGAGACGGGCTATAAGCGCCCGGAATGCCCTAATAAGGTAGCTTAGGAGAACAAGGGGTCCCTAAAAGCTAGCCCCGCCCCCTAGTACTCCGGGTAGCGGGACAAGTAATATATATAGAGGAGCAACGACGATCGGCAGAGCCGTACGGCCGTTAGGCTACGAAGCTAGGGCTATATAATTTGATTAGGGTTAAAGTAACCCTAGAAGGACCGATAGGGCGGCGAAACATCTACGCTCTAGTAGACTATAGTACCTAGATAAACTTCCTAGACGGGGTAGTAGCTAAAGAAATAGATTATACCCTAGAACGAGGGGCTTCGGCAAGGTACGAGACCTTGAATAGCTAAGCCCTCGCGGTTTTAGGATATATAAAGGTCCCTTTTAAAGTTTCGGCTAGTAATAGGTCGAAACGGGGCGGAACTACCTATATCGCCGTTAGAAGGATCTATAGGTTTAAGATAATCCTCGGTATACTATAGCTAGAACAGTAGAACCCCTTAGTAAACTTCCTAACTAAGATACTAGCTTAGAAGAAGAAGACTAGACGCAAATAGTCTAAAGTAGCGATAATCGGCCTAGAAAGGATATACGCTAAGCTTGTAGACCCTAGTACGGTCCTCTATACAATGTCCTTATTACTTATCGATAGGACTAACAAAGACCTAGAAGGGCTCCCCGAGGTATATAGATAGTACGTATCTATATTCTCTAGTTAGGATACCTCTATTCTAGCCGATTATAGGCTATTTAAGCTCGGAATTGAGCTAGAGGAAGGTAAGATACCTCTATAGGGGCCTCTTTACAACCTTTCCGAGATAGAATTAGAGGTTCTCCGAAACTACCTTAAAGAATACTTAGACCGAGGCTAGATTAGGCCCTCTCGCTCCCCTACTAGCGTAGGCATCCTCTTTGCGAAGAAGAAGGACGGAGGTCTTAGGCTCTGCGTCGATTACCGTAGACTAAATGCCGTAACGGTTAAAAACAGACATCCTCTACTATTAATCTAAGAATCCCTAGACCAGTTATCTAGAGCAAAGATCTTTACTAAACTCGATATAAGAGACGCGTACTACCGACTTAGAATCAAGGAGGGTAATAAGTAGAAGACTGTATTCCGGACTAGATATAGCTACTTTAAGTATACCGTTATACCCTTTAGGCTTACTAATGCCCCGGGTACGTTCTAAGAGTATATAAATAATATACTTAAGGACCTAATCGATATTATCTATATAGTATACCTCGACGACATCCTTATCTACTTCTAGAATAAAGAGGATTATATCCGAGACGTAGCAACGGTTCTCGAACGGCTATAAAAGGCTAAGCTCTACGCTAAAATAACTAAGTGTAACTTCTATAGGGACTAAGTTAGTTTCTTAGGGTACCTAGTTAGCCTAAGAGGGGTCGAGATAGAGCTAGAACGGGTTACTACAGTCCGGGATTAGCTAGAACTAGAGTCTATAAGAGATATTCGGATCTTTATTAGGTTTGCTAATTACTACCGACGATTTATATAGTACTTCTCCCGAATCGTAGCCTCCCTAAACCGGTTAACGGAAAGAAAGGGCAATACGGCAAAGGGAGGACAGAAGCAACGGAATAAAGAGTCTATAAAGATTAACCTACCCCCGGAGGCTAAGTAATCGTTCCTTAAGCTAAAGTAGGCTTTCTATTTAGTGCCGATTCTAAAGTATTTCGACCTATTATAGGCTATCCGGGTAGAAACGGACGTATTAGGCTACGCAATCTCGGGCGTTATAATATAGCAATACGAGTTCTAGAGCAAGATGCAATAGTTCCCGGTAGCCTTCTTCTCTCGTAAGATAATCGCGGCAGAAAAGAACTATAATACCTATAATAGGGAACTCCTTGCTATCGTAGAATGTTTTAAAGTATAGAGACATTACTTAGAGGGCGCGTAGCACTAAGTTAAGTTAATAACCGACTACTATAACCTATAATAGTTTATAACGACTAAAACCCTCTCCCGGAGATAGGTAAGATAGGCGGAATAGCTCGCTACTATAGATTTTAGGGTAGTCTATAGGGTAGAGAGCCTTAACGGGGCAGCGGACGGCGTAAGCAGACGTCTAGATTATATAGACCCCGACTATTCCGGCCGCTAGCTAAACTAGGAAGACTCCTCCGTTATATTAAAAATACTATAGCGGCAGATTAACCTAGAAGAGCCTATTACTAGCTAAGATAGCCCGGTACGGGCTATAATAGTAGTTAGAGAGATAGCTAGCAATACTTCGGGTTACCGCTACGACCTATAGGCAGAGATAAACTAGAGCCTAGTTAAGAGAATTCGGGAAGATACTACTATAGACGAAACGGCAGGGAAGGTCTCGAAAGCTAAAGCTCTAGATTCTCTACTAATATAGACTTAAAGATAGACGTACGAGGACAGCCTATAGCGCTAGAACGACCGTATCTTTGTCCTAGAAGGACTATTAAGGCTCGAAATACTCCGAGAATACTACGATAACCCGATAGCGGGCTACTTCGGGTTCTAAAGGACAATCGAACTCGTACTAAGGAGATTCTAGTAGCCTAAGGTACGAAGCTACGTAAAAGACTATACTTCGAGCTATACGACGTATACTAGGGTAAAACTAAGGAGACACAAACTATACAGCCTATTAGCAGCCGAAGACGCCTTAAGTGCCCTATAGGAAGACTTAACTATAGACTTCGTTACGGACCTTCCTCTATCTACCTTTATAGGCTATACCTACGACTGTATCTACGTAGTAATAGATAGATACTCTAAGATAGCCTATTATACCCTATATCGGAAGGATATAACTGCCGAAGACCTAGCCGACCTCTTCCTACGAGACGTATTTCGCTTATATAGCATCCCGGTATCGATAGTAACAGATCGAGGGACGCTGTTTACCTCAAAATTCTAGAGTATATTCTACTACTACCTAGGCGTTCGGAGGGGCTTAAGCACCGCGTTCTATCCGTAGACGGATAGACAGACCGAACGATAGAATTAGACTATAGAATAGTACCTCCGCGCCTACTATAACTACGAGTAGGACAATTAGGTAAGGCTGCTTAACATTACGGAGTTTGCCTATAACGATAGCTAATACGCTTCTACCGGCGTAACCCCGTTCTAGATCTATAACGTTAGAGACCCCGTATAGGCAAGATAGCCCGATATAGTCTAGAACGGGGGGAATACCCTAAGGGCGGAGGACTTAGCCGACAAAATGATTAGTCTCTAGAAGACCCTACGGGAGAGGCTCGTTAAAGCTAAGCAGAGTTAAGCTAAGTACTACAACGAGGGGCGTAAGGCAAAGAAGTACGTAATCGGGGACAAGGTATACCTGTCTACGAAGAACTTGTCTACGGCAAGGGACTCTAAGAAGCTCGACTACAAGTATATCGGACTATTCGAGGTTATACGCGTAGTCAACGACGTAGTATATACCTTAGAACTGCCCGACGATATAAAAATCTACCCGACCTTCTACGTAAGCATACTAGAAGACTACATCGAAGTAGAATACACTAAGAGGGACCAGAATAGCCTAGAATAACCTAGTGACCCCAATTCGCCTAAGAGGACTTATTATTATCTCTACTATTATCCTCTCCTATAGGGGAATTATCGCCTTCGGAATTATCGGCCTTTAGACCGGTCCGCTTTATCGCCTAAGAGACTTTTAGTAGCCGCAACTTACGGAGGTCGTAGCGAAGGGGGGTTTTAGCAGAGTGTTTGCCCTAAAACGGGTTAGAATAGCCCGGAATAAGCTAGATAGGGGGAATATATACTAAAACTCGATTTACCCGGTCGATGTACTTATACAAACTACGGATAGTAGTGTTTGCCCGCTTAAGTCGGGACCGAGGGGCTACCTAGTTAGGTTATACGTATACGGAGGCGACTTTCTTCTTCTTTAGGGTACCCTCTATACTAAGCGCCTCCCTCTCCTACTTAGCCCGGTAACGGGCAATAATAGGATTAACCTAGGGTCTAGACTTATCTATCTAGGGACCGCTAAGATAGATATAAAGATTATTAACCCCCTAGAACGAGGGAAATTTGCTAAACTTAGTTAGCAACGCTCTAAAACGGCCCGGAATAGGGCGACGGAGAGATATATACCCCTTAAGGGTCTTGTAGAACGCGTCGGCAAACGTCCTAGCCTTTACCGCGTTAGCCTAGCGCTTAGTAGGCGTAGTATCGTCGAGATCGTTTATACGACGAAGGCTATCGATAAATTCGATACTGCCTCGGAACACCGCAGGTACCTATAGAAAGGTTAGGACTAGTCTAGGCTAAGACGCCCTAGAATAGGCCGGAACGATACCTAGAAGCAGTAGCTAGACCGGGTAGTATACTTCTAGTAAGATATAGGACTAGTATCTTAAAGACTATAGAGGGTATTGTTAAGGTCCGTCTAACCGGTCCCTATAAAGAGGCGGGGAAATAGGCAGAGGTGCCGAAGGGTATCGACGACCTCGGCGTCCGATACCGAGCTAAGGACGCTAATACAATTAACGTATAGATTGCCGTTAAGCAGTAAGGCGGTAGCTATAGTAGGACGAATTAGATAGATATACTACTGTCTAAATTAGCTAAGAATGCCCTAGAATAGGCTAGAAAGCTCCGGTTACCCTAGGAGGAGTTATTAAGATAGGGGGTAGGAAAAATAGTTTACTTATAAAATTTTGGGAAAGCGGCAATATTAGTATAAGGAGGGAGAAAATTGTTAGGAAAAGACGCCCTTTTCTATACTAAAAGAAGGTATTCGCCGGAAAAGGCTCTATTAGATTCTAGGGCGGACGAATACGATCTATTACTTTCTATAGGTTTATTTACTTAATGCCTTATTGTCCTAGGAACAAAGAGAAAAAACAGGGGCCTATATAGTCGAGGACAACTGCAAAAACGGGGAGGGTAATATTAGGATCTAGACTAGATAGCGATATAGATATCTTAAGATAGACCCGGAATAGCCCGGGAGTACCTAAGATAGGCTAGAACGGGCTACTACGACTTAAGAGAGTTTAGGCTAGACCTTTACCGCCGATACCGAGTTAAGATAGTTTATAGAGAGTTAGAATAGGAGATCTTAGATCGAGATATTCTAAATCAGACCCGAGAGGCTAGAACCTCCGGGTACTCCGAAGATACACTTATAAACAGAGGGAGAAGACGTATTCCTACTCTTCTCCTAAGCGATTCGAGTAGTACATTTCTATTAGATACTTCAGCCTATACATCTTATCCTTTTACAAGAAATATATATAGCGCATTTACCTGCTTTCGTTTATCGCTATTATCGGCAGCCTCGTTTAGCTAGGTCTACTAGGTCGAGGCATTTATATACTAGAATAACTAGGTATTCGTCGTAGTAGGCCTTCGGAAACTGTATCCTATTAGTATACTACGAATACACTACGAGTAGAGGATAACTTACGCGACTACGGGAGGTATAGTATTAGTATTAGTATTAGTATTAATAAGGAAAAGAGACGAAGTTTATAGTTGCTAAGTTTATAATATATATATCGTAGATACTTATCTTTATATTGTTGATTCGTCTACCGAAACGGATGTCAATAAATAATACTAACAAAACAATAGAATCTTTACAAAGAACCTTATCGCCTAATACGTCTATAAATACGTACGCCCTATAAATAGGGGTACACATTCGCGCGTAAAGAATAGTATAATAATTACTACAATCTTTATACGGGCCCCGCCGCCCAGATATACGTAAATGTATACATACATAAGGTGCATACCTATATATATAAATAAGTATATAAATGCCTGCCTAAATACCTGCCTAAGTACCTATATAACAGAATCTTATACGTACGTAAAAGAATCCCGACGTATACTGTAGAAAATCGCGAGAGTCCCGCGAATATATATGCGAATACACCGTAAGTGTAGGAAGCCGAAGATTTCAAATCGGAGTTCGTAGGAGGAAGTTTCCGAAACGAAGATTTGGCCTCTTGCCAGGTTCGGAGCTCTGTCCATACCTGGTAGGAAGCAGATGCGCTCGCGCAGCCCCTGCATCCATACTTCCGGGCCAGGTTCTTTTTTTGTTTGAGCGGAGAAGTAGGTACCTCATAGTTGTTGGTAGGTAGGTAGGTACATACCTGACCTACATGTATTATTGTATCATTCTTTTCAAGTCATCACGATGGCTGTGTCGACCTGTAAATAGTTCTACCATGTCACATGTACCTACCTGCCTGCCTTGTATGCAGCAGGACGTAGCGATTATAAAGTACGCAATCGGGGTGTCTCCTTTCCGTTAGCACAGCAGTAGGTAGGCTTGTGTGAAATATCAGATCGTCCAGGGAAAGACTCGGGAGTCACTGTTGTGAGGGCCAAGAGCCCATCCGGCTTATTGGGTCTACGATGAGCAGTAAGCATAGAAGATACCTATTATCGCTTCGACTCGTAGAGCGTTTGCAATGCCATTGAAAGTTGGCGTAAGAGGTCAGTTCAGGATTGAGAGTGTGAAAGAACCATCTTGATCTATCATATCTGAGAAGATCGAGACCGTCCGCAGTGTGATATGATACTGGTTCTTACGGCATATCAAGCGATACGAGACCTTCCGGCACCTACCATTGCCCGGGTTCACGTTTCATCATCACTCGGATCTGGTCTCAAGATCGTGGCCGCAGGCGGTTTGCGAGAGGCCATGATGGCGATTCTGTCTGCAGTGCCTGGGCTGGAGCTAAAAGAGCTCTGGTGTCACAAAGCAGCCCTTTCGGCAAATCGAACTAGTTCCCAGCATAGAAGGGCAACGACGTATTTGCGCTGGACGCAAAGCATAGACAACCTGTCGAGAAAGTCGTCGAAAGTTGTCAAGGACCCGATTCGGATTGTGAGTGTTTGTGGGCTCCAGGTGATCACAAGCAATTCAAAGAGAGAAAGCCGATCCAGGACTGGGACGATCGCAGGCATGTAACAAAGCATGCAGTTGATGGAGTGTACGTAGAGCTCAAGGCCTCCAGACGATCATGCCAGCAGGTGCTTCATCGATAACCTGAAGTCTTCACATTTTGCAGAGTCAACTTCTGGAATACGAATGCGACAGCAGCATGGCGTTCAACCGCAGTCCTCTCGAGGTGAGTCAAAGCTTCTTCACATTACGCATAATGGAGTCGCTTAAGAATGATTGATGGTCCAACATACTGTCCGAATGGTACAGCACTGACCTTGTCGAAGCACTCCCGCCCGACTCAGCCAAATGGATTGGTCTTCGCCCTAGTATTTGCTAGCAGCCGAGCCCTTAGTGTATCCTTGGATGTCGATTTGGTCTGCTTCGCTGGTTTCTTATCCGGGAGACGGAACACAGGCTTTGTACTTGCGACGTCGGTCTGCGACTTGCCAATGTCTTCGCCATATGAGACCAGCTTCGCACGAATACCATCTTCCTCTGTCTCTGGAAGCAATTCGATGTCTGTACCAATACGGTCCTTGATCTGCTGATCTGCTAGCTCTCTGCGTTTGAGCGCTTTTCTATCACGACGAAAGCTCTCGCGCATCCTCTTGTTCGCATTCCAAGTGTCTTCCCAGTCACGCTCGCCAATTTTATAAAGCTCTTGAATACGTTTCGCAGTATCTTGCGTCTGTTGCTTTTCCTCAACCTTGCCTTCCAGTTGTGCAAAAGCGTCCTCGCGTCTTTGCTCGCGTTCCTCTGCTGTCAATATAGGGACATCACCTTCGCCTTCGCGCACACGATCGGTGGGGTCTCCATAGTCTCTGGCCTTCCCTCCTTCCGTCACCACATAGGCGGTATTCTTTGGGTCTGTCCTGATTTCGATCGTGCCGTTACATGCTGGGTGACGCATGACGAAACTCCAGATCGGCGTGCTGTAGTACATTCCCACCTTCCGTTTCTCAGCATTGAATCGAACACCTTGACCAATGATCCCGTGAGGTTTGCAGGTATGGCACCAAACAGCAAAGGGCATTTCGAATCGGACAGTCTGGGCACCATTCTTGAGCATGCCTGGCGCGCGCTTCTTATGAAGTTGATTGCCGCTCGCGGTACCTTCTAAGTGCGGCGGCACATACCTGCCCATATTGAAGCCCTGCATCCTGACGTGCGGCGCGTCCTGGCAATCGCTGGGGAGGTAATGCTGAAGTGTGGTGTCCAGGACTGAGGGGAGCAAGGCGCCGCTCTAGGCGGAAGGCCTTGGGCGGGACTCGGGAGACGCGCTGCTTATTCATCAACATCGTCACCGATAAAGAACTGAAACTTAATTGCGTCCTGCCCACTTCTCTTGTCTGCTATTTGCAACCGACTATATTCTTCCGCCTCCAACACCGAACGAGCAATCTGCTACAATCATGGCGTCCGTGACATCCACGCAGACCGCTCACCCCTTCACTTGCAACACCTGTCAGGTTGCCTTCCGCTCCAGCGATCTGCAACGCACGCACATGCAGTCAGACTGGTAGGCAATAGTCAAATAGGCGACTCCAGCGCTCGGCTTTACACCAGGCTCAGTGAGCGAGGGCTTCATTCTAGATTTACTTGCTTACCTTCTCTGTCCAGGCATCGCTACAACTTGAAACGTCGTGTTGCGTCTCTGCCTCCTCTGACATCCGAAATTTTTGCCGAAAAAGTACTTGCCAACAAAGCAACTGCTGCAGCGACGGCTGCCCGCGCCAGCTTCGAGAAGCGATGTGAACCCTGCGATAAAACATACTTCAGCGAAGGCGCATTCGTGAACCACCTGGGCAGCCAAAAGCACCGTATTCATGTTGCAAGATATACTGCACGAGGCGGTGGTGTGGATGGAGCAGACACCGATAGCATGGCAGACTCCACATTCACACTCGGCGATAGCATTGAAACCGTAAGCACTACTGCTAGTACAGCACATGGCGAGGAAGAGACGGAAGATGCTCTAGACCAGGTTGTGGGTGGCATGAGCAGGACAAATTTAGCTGAAGGCCCACAACAACATACATCTTCTCAGCCCGCCGGAGCAGATGGCGAAGACGACGATTACGAGCACCAAGCAGACCTCAAGCAATGTCTCTTCTGCAATTACATCTCGCCAACCATGGACCTCAACATCAACCACATGTCTCGACAGCATGGCTTCTTCGTGCCTGAAAAGGATTACCTGGTAGATCTACCTGGTTTGATAAATTACCTCAGTGAGACGGTCTCTGTGCTGCACCAGTGCTTGCTGTGCCACAAACAGTTGCACACAACTTCCGGAATTCAGACGCACATGCGGGACAGAGGTCACTGTATGATCGCATATGGCACTGAAGATGAGCAGATGGACGTGGGCGAGTTCTACGACTTCCGTGCAACCTACTCTGACGAAGACAGCGGGACGGAGGACGAGGGAACGGGTGGAGGCGTTAAGCTTGGTGTAAAGAGAACTGCAAAAACTACCATCGAGAACGCCAACGGTGAGGACGTTGAGATGGACGACGAGGAAGGCTGGGAGAGCGATGGCTCTCTTTCGTCTGTGCCAACGGACGAGATTACTTCGGTCCCTGTCGATCAGCCTGACAAAAAATATGAGCGACTAGGAGCGCATCGACATCACTCCCACACCGATCCAAGACGTCATAAGAACAGCGACGGTTTCCACTCTCACTCTCATGGAGGTTCACATGCGGTGTACCACGACGACTACGAGCTTCATTTGCCTTCAGGACGTACCGCTGGTCACCGTAGCCTCAGGGCTTACTATAGACAAAATTTGCGTAACTACCCGTCTGCCGAAGAGCGTGAACAGCAGCGTATGATTGCTGACGGCCGTCATGACTCGGATGCTGATGACGAGGATGCTGACACGGAGACGAATGGTCGCGATGATCGGCGTGGCAGGCAGGTGGCGACTCGTGCGAATGGTGGCACTGGCATGATTGGAGTGAGCGAGGCCAAGAAGCGCGAGGTACGGGCAGTGGAAAAGCGAGACGCCAAACGGGCTCAGCGAGCACAAGCACGATACCAGTGGGGTAACGACAGGAGAGGAAACATGCAGAAACATTTCCGCGATCCTTTGCTGCAGTAGTCTATTGTCAAGGAACGGTAGCCAGGCTCGTTTCTGTGCAGTGCTAGAGATAGAACCTACAGTTCCAAGGATCAATACAGCTTCTGAAAATGACTGTGATGAGATTATGGTTCTGAAATTGTCACCTTCCATCGCAAGAAAGTCTGCCCTGTTGCAGGCGGCGAAATTTTGGTTTCCGCCGCGATCATCGCAATTGCCTCGATCGTTACCTACAGATGAGCCGACGCCATTGGGTGTACCGGTGGTGGGAGGACTGCTTGGTTTTGGAAAATCTTGGCATCACGTGTCAATCCCACATACATTATTTCGTTTCTGGGAATCCACTAATACTTTTCTTCACATCACCGCAGGATATCCATTTCTTTGCGCCAACGTCAACACAGAGCCAAGTCCACCGCCAAAATGGTTGCCGCAACAGTATGTATTTCGCTTTGCTGCCCGCCATGACGCCTTCACTGGCAGTCTCAGGCATAGAGCAGTAGGCTGAGTGTGATTTTTGCAGAAGAAGACCGCCGCTGGCGCACAGAAGAAGGGCCAAAAGGTGACCAAGAAGGTATACTATCCCTCTCCGCACTTTTCTGTCCCCATAAAGCCTTCGTGGTAGCTGACTTGCTCCTCTATCCAGTTCATCATCAACGCCACCCAGCCCACCCAAGACCGCATCTTCGACCCTTCCGCTTTCGCGACTTTCCTCCAGCAACGCATCAAGGTTGAGGGCCGCACCGGTAACCTTGGCGACAACATCACTGTCTCCAACCTCGGTGATGGACGAATTGAAGTTGTGGCTCACCAGGAGCTTTCGGGTCGTTACTTGAAGTACTTGACGAAGAAGTTCCTCAAGAAGCAGCAGCTGCGCGATTGGCTTCGTGTTGTCAGCACGGCCAAGGGAGAGTACAGCCTCAAGTTCTTCAACGTTGTTGGAGATGAGGCTGAGGATGATGACGAGTAGACGCGCCGTCCTTGTCTTGTCTATGAGGATATGAAGGAGAATGTGAGCAAGAACAAGTTTGGAACTCACGGGAATGGAGATCACTCCGAAATCGTGCAGCAGAGGAGCCCAAAAGCGCTCATGTGCCGACAGAAGTCTTAGGCTCGCAGATATGAGTTCTACTAGACTTTCTCAAAACAATCAATCTCCAAAACTACATCATCTCCACTCTTGAGCGTACTGCACCGGTACAAGTGCTCAATGTTCAGACATTTTGTCCAGCTATGTTGTGCCAAATTTGGCCACTCGATCTGGCGCGCTTCTTTTTTCTTACCAAGTGTCTCGTGGCATAAATAAGGCATACCAAATTATCCACCCACGACAGTCGCATACCAGGCAGGTAGGTTTATGTATGGTCTTAGAAAACATCATCAAGTCCGAGGCATATTTTAGCATGAAAGGAACAACATAGGCACAGATGGGTGAACTTGAAAAGTTTGATGGTCACTGCTAGGTGCAACTGCTCTGCTCGGTCATTGGCTTTGGCTGTGGCTATGGCTACATCAATATAGCGATCGGTCTCGGAAACCTCATTATTCCTTGCATCATGATAATGCAGGATCGGCCACACCAGACTCTCAGGACTTTTAACTTCACAATGAGACCATGTGCTCAAAGCAGGCACATCTCTGCTTCTCTGGCAAGGCTCAAGCCAGTCTAAATACCGCACCTCCCATCGCGCCAGCAGCGCGTCCTTTTCCAGACGACTCCATCAGTCCCATCCGGCAAGAAGCAAACCGCACGATCATGATCAATCATTATCTCGACAAGGCAATGTCGTCGATCCTGAGAATCATCTTCACGGTCTCGCTGGCCAACTCGAAAGCGCTAGTACTGACGAGCAGCGGTTGCATCACGCCTTCGCCAGTAGCGCTCTTGTCGTCTCCTCCCATTACGCCCACGCCGCCTCGCTTGATGCTGACACCCACGTTTGCCTCGCCCTTTGCGTGACGTGCTCTTAGTTCTGTGACAACCTTGATACTGTTGAGACCTGCATTCTCAGCCAGGGTTACCGGAATGATCTCAAGGGCATCCGCAAATGCCTTGAAGCATACGCTGTCTGGGTACTGTGAGGTGAGAGCATCTTGGCTCAGTTTAGTCGCGACGGCCATTTCTGGGGCGCCACCACCAGGCAAAAGAGCCCGCTTCTTGACAAGACAGCGAATGACGCACATGGCATCGTGCAAGCTGCGCTCGGCCTCATCCAGAATCAATGGGTTCGCTCCTCGCGCCACAATGGACACAGTCTTGGGGGCATTGGCATTTGTGTGTTTGACGCCCGACACACGCACGTAGCGGGATCCTAGATTCGACACTTCCTCGACCAGATCGGCAGATCCAAGCTTGTCCTCAGTGAAAGAATCGATATCAGCAATAGGCTTGCAGCCCGTTGACTTGCAGATGAACTCCACTTCGTCCCTCTCGATGTCCTTGATGGCGAGAATGCCGAGCTTATATAGGAAATGTAAGCTCAGGTCGTTGACCGCGTCCCGCAGAATGCTCTTCTGGATAAGGAGGACGTTGCACTTCGCCTTCTTGATCTTCTTGACCATGTTCAGCAGATATGTCCGCTCCTCCTTGAGGATCTTGTCCATCTGCCTGTAGTCGTTGACAACAATCTGATTCTCCATATCTGGTTTCGGCGGGCTCAGCTGGAACTGAATGAGGGCGATCTTGGCCTTCTCTATCCGCGTTGGACCTCCAGCACTCTTGATCGCCTGCTGACTCAATACCAGCCCATCTACCATCTCTGAGTCGTCAATGACCCCTCCCGCCTTTTTGAGAATGCGGACGTTGCGAAGGTCCACGTTTTGTGCGTTGTTTGGGTTGATGGTCCGTAGCACGGCATCGACAGCCATCGGTGCAAGTTTGGGCTCCTGCGCCACGATCTTGGAGGAGAGCGATGTAGATGCAGCCTTGAGGAGTGTTTGTCGATCTGCAAGGTCAATAGGCACAGAGATGTCGCTCAGGATCTGGACCGCACGAGCTGCTGCTCTCTGAAAACTCTCGCTGATGATGGTGGGGTGGATGCCTTTTGCCAGCAGACGTTCGGCAGCGCCGAGCAGACTGCCAGCGATCACGACCACTGAGGTTGTACCATCGCCTGCTTCGATGTCTTGAGCGTTGGCCAGGTCGACGAGCATCTTTGCCGCAGGATGCATCACGCCCAAATCGCGGAGCATGGTGTTGCCGTCGTTGGTGATGATGGTCTCACCCTTGCCCGTCTGGATCATCTTGTCCATACCACGCGGGCCCAGAGAAGTTCGAATTGCATCGGCGACGGCTCTGGCAGCTGTGATGTTGGCTTCGCGAACGGCCTGCGGCTTGGCCTTGTCCTTGAAGGCATTGTTGCCGGCGTTGGGCGCTCCTTGCGCCATGTCGACAGCGGAGGCAGCAGTCGTGGTGAGATCGTAGTATCGACAGCGTCCGCGGAGAGATGGTTGTGCAGTTTGTGCGGAGTATGAAAGCGTGTTCTTGTGTTGTGCTCGTCGGCCAGAATTTCTTTGCGAGACGCGCGAGGTCGGTCTCGTCAGCTTTGGAACTAGAACTAGCGTGCCTCGCCATCCGTCACTCATTGCCTGCCTGAGCTCAAACACCACAACACAACCTGACCAACTCACAGCCAACGATCCGAGCTACCACGACCATCGAATTGCTCTTTGAATCTCGAATACCCTAATCTCTACCGAATACCACAACTTCCGCCGTCGCTACCACACACGAGCACCGCGCGACGAAGCGATACGCCGCCCTTCGAGCCCCGATAGATACTACCCGCCGCCGTCATGCCATCGGCCACGGGCTCCAACTGGTACTGCACAATCATGTCACCAACAGCTGACACCTGCTAACTGGTGACAGGGAGAAATACCAGAAGAAGTTCGCTGATGATGAGCCCGAGGAAAAGAAGATCACACCATTGTCCGATGAGGATATCCAAGTGCTGAAGACATACAACTCAGCGCCATATGCCACAGACCTCAAAAAGCTCGAGAACGCCATCAAGGAGAAGCAGACATCTGTAAATGAGAAAATCGGCGTCAAGGAGTCTGATACTGGTCTCGCGCCGCCTCATCTATGGGATATAGCTGCCGACAGACAGCGCATGAGCGAGGAACAACCGTTGCAGGTCGCACGTTGCACCAAAATCATCCCGGATGAGAAAGACAGCGAGAAGAGCAAGTACGTTATCAATGTCAAGCAGATCGCCAAGTTCGTCGTCAATCTGGGTGAGCGCGTGAGCCCTACGGATATCGAGGAAGGCATGCGTGTGGGCGTTGACCGCAACAAGTACCAAATCATGCTGCCGCTGCCCCCGAAGATCGATCCCAGCGTGACAATGATGACGGTGGAAGACAAACCAGACGTCACATACGGTGATGTGGGAGGTTGCAAAGAGCAGATCGAAAAGCTACGAGAAGTGGTGGAGATGCCACTGCTTTCTCCTGAGCGGTTCGTGAACCTCGGAATCGACCCACCCAAGGGAGCGTTGTTGTATGGACCCCCGGGTACTGGAAAGACTCTCTGCGCAAGAGCTGTGGCAAACAGGACAGACGCTACATTCATCCGCGTGATCGGATCCGAGCTGGTGCAAAAGTACGTGGGCGAAGGTGCCCGTATGGTGCGTGAGCTGTTCGAGATGGCCCGGACGAAGAAGGCATGCATCATCTTCTTTGATGAAATTGATGCTGTGGGTGGAGCGCGTTTCGATGATGGAGCTGGAGGCGATAATGAGGTGCAGAGAACCATGTTGGAGCTCATTACACAACTGGACGGATTCGACAGCAGAGGCAATATCAAGGTCATGTTCGCGACCAACAGACCTAGCACACTCGACCCCGCCCTGATGAGGCCCGGACGAATAGACCGAAAGATCGAGTTCTCACTTCCCGACATGGAGGGCCGTGCCAACATCCTCCGCATTCATGCAAAGTCCATGTCCGTGGAGCGCGATATCCGATGGGAGCTCATCTCCCGATTGTGTCCCAACTCGACAGGTGCCGAACTGCGCTCAGTGGCGACTGAAGCTGGTATGTTTGCCATTCGTGCACGGAGAAAGGTTGCTAGCGAGAAGGACTTCTTGAGTGCTGTAGAGAAGGTTATCAGAGGCGGAATGAAATTCAACTCGACGGCTGCGTATGCGCAGTACAACTAAGGGCCTGGGATGGAGGCTCGAGCTACAAGCATTCATTTACAGCGCGGCGTTCTGTCTACACTAGAAGAAGCTCGGGTTTAGGAGCTTTGTATCATAGTCTTATCTACCTTGCAGAGCCAGGTGGCACGATTGAGCTGATAATGACATCCAAACACCCATTTCATGTTTCATCTCCAACAGCCATGCTCGTATAAACAAACGTTGGAACGTCCTACTAGTAATACACATGGAATGAACCACTAGGTAACTTACTTATGGCTTCTGTGCACATTCAATCTTCAATGTCGTCGTCCTCTAATACCAAACTTTGCACTCGTTTCTCCACCGGTATACTCTTCTTCTGCAACACGACAACCGGTCTCGACGCAGACCCCGCCGTTTTCGACGACATACTCTTATCCTCTGCATGTGGCCGATCTGTCGCCCATGCTTCCACAGCCGCGCCACCGTCGTGTGCCGCCTCCTCGTCCTCATCCTCAGAATCATCGGCGTCATCATCACCTGGCAGAACGTTTCCTTTGATTTGAGTAATCGACAAAATTTGGTTTCGCAACTGTTGCTGCTTTGTAAACTTTCCTGTGGCGCGGAGGATCTGTGCCATGTATGGTAGACGATCGAGGAGCATTTCATTTTTGGCTTGTGAGCTGAGTTTCGGTGGTGGAGTTTCTAGGAGCAGCGAATCTGGAGAGTTAGAATGCGGAGATGGTTTGGGTGGCTGTTTGCCGAATTTGTTCTGTTTCCAGGTTTCGATTCCTGTGGATGGAGTGCTGCTGGTTGTTGTTGTTGCGTCTTTCATGTGGTCAAGGCCTGCTGCTGAGGCGATTTGATCAATGACTGCGTGGAATTCACTCTCGATTTCTTCTCTCCTACGCCAGATTCGGAGTGATGCCGGGTAGAACATTCGATGTGCATCCCCACGCTTGCCGTTCCCGGCTTCGCTGCGATGCACCGGATGGGGTAAACTGAAGAGCAGACCTCGCACGGCCACTTGAAAGCACATCTCGTCCTGCCGCAAGGTATCGGTGGCTGAACCGGAAAATGCACGAGTGCCAAAAGAGAAGCGATCTAACGAGAGAATATCGGAGTCGGACAGATTTTCCATGCATCCGAGAAGACTGTCCAGCCTCTGTTCAGCGGTTGGTGAGGCGCACGAAAGGGCATAGTTCTCGTGAAGCGCGGCCATAAATGTGGTTGTATCCGTCCCAAGTTCATCCAGTAGCAGGTTCGGATCAGTCTCACTGGCCTTAGTTCGATTGTAATGCGATAGCCAGGGCGGCGGCTGAGCCACAGGCTGTCCAGCTATGGGATCCATGCGCTTATTGTATACCACTTTCCCTACGGAGTGAAAGATGCCAAGACTGCTCTCCCTATTACTGATCAGTCTCATGGCGTCTTGCTCGGCTTTCGTAGTTGGCGCTGGAGCTCTAGCGTGCTTTGGTTTCGTGAATGCCACCTTGGATGACCAGGTGTCTCCCTCATCGCCTCGTACGCAAAGGAATTCCAGAGAGGATACAGCACTCCGGATGTCACCGCATTCGGCAAGTCGTTTGAGAATATCAGGACCGGGAGTCTTTCTTTTACCAGACTTGCGGGCTTCCTTGACAACAATCATCTCAAGGGCCTTAGTCAGTATCGTGGGTGCGATGGGGTTGAATTCGATCGTGTTGATGTTCGGGTTACTAGTGAGCTCTGGGCCCAGTAAACGATGCGCTGTGAAGCTGTCTGCACTCGCAGTGTTCGTTGACAACAGTGTCTCAGAGATGACCAGAACAACTGGTGTCGGCCATGCGTCTGCTTCAACAGTTGACATTACGTACCGGGCAAGAGTGGTTCGAAACGACTGTAGCGCGCTGGAGGCTTTCGAGAATGTGTTGGGAAACTCTTCCACCAGTAAAGCTTGCCGGTGCTCGCGTGCAGCACTGCTTTGCCCAATATCTGGCTGCGACTCCACTGCTGGCGCAACAGCATTCTTGTCAGTGGACAAAGTCAGGCCCTGAACATTCCCAGCTCGAGCTACAAAATCCGCAAAGCGCTGCACGGAGGCGATCACCCCCTCAGAAGTGTTGTCAGACGCTGAAGACTCTCTCCATTCGATCAGTTCTATGCCAATATCTCTCGCCAGTAGACGCAAGGTGGTCGTCTTTGCAGTCCCGGCTGCACCCTTCAGGATCAATACTTTTTGGTGCCGCTCACGATACGCTAGATCGAGCCATTTCCGTACATCTGCTACTTTGCGTTTGTGCACAGCCAGCTCTGACAGATCATTGGGCGCAAATCGTTCCGTCCATGGAGTGGAGATGTCATGAGATTTGGCCGCGGCCGTAACTCTTTCCCCATTGCTCGTCTTCTGGAATTTTTGAGAAGCGTGGCGCACTGGCTCATTCGTTCGTTCGAAGTTATTTGCAGCTCCAAACTTGCGTTTCCGTGCGGCCAAAGCTGTACTGGAGCCCTTGGATAATGTCGTTTGAGATGAGTCTTCGGCTGCCTCATCTTCATCTGTGCAATCCTGGATAGTTTCCACCTCGTTGTGGAGCGGTGCTAGCTTCTCCGAATTCGGTACGTATTGTGAGGACTGCTGCTTCTGCGCAGCAGAATTGAAAAAGGATTGAATGGGTCTACCTCCCGGGTTGGACTGATCATTTGCCTTGACTCTGCCGTTTCTCTTCTTGGGAGGACTGGGCGATTCAGTCTCAGTGGTTCCCGCCTTTGCCTTGCTGAGTGCTTTACTTAATGGTTTCAAGCGTTTTGGGCCTTCCTCGTTTGAAGTAATTGGCCTGTTGCCCTTCGGATCGGGATCAGTCCATCGGCTCGACTTCTGGCTGCCACGAGGCGCCATATCGCATCGGCGACTCCAATGGGGCCCGTTCTAGTGGCACACATTAGAGTCACAGAATTGTGCAACCCACGTCGATGAACGTCGTCGTGGTGGTGGTGGTGGTGGTGGTGAAGATACTCAGTACCTAGAACCCAAACACCTTAGTCAGCAATTCCCTATCTTCACGATCAAAATACTAATAATTGAGAATGTTATTATTTGTCTATCTAGCTCTATATACTTCTGATATCTTGTATCTATCTTCTCTAAGATATAATTGATTAATTGGCACGGAACGACCTCCAAACCTTCCGAAGCGCAGCGTAGGTCAGGTGCAGGGGGGAGTGGAGGCCAACCAATTTGCGTTTAGAGTACTATATCCTGTAGCCAGAGAAATCGACTCGAGATCTTTTACGGTAGAGCGCCCTAAATCTACTAGGCCCGATACGTTACTACCTTAAAAAAAGCCCGCTATAGGCATACCTGCTTCCTACCTACCTTAGGTACCTACCTACCTCTCTACCTGCCTGCCTGCCTGCCTGCCTGCCTGCCTGCCTGCCTGCCTGCCTGCCTGCCTGCCTGCCTGCCTATCTGTCCCTACGGGCTACCTTGCCTAAAATTCAGAAGAAAAGAACGAAGAGAAGAGAAGGACAAGGACAAGGACAAGAACAAGGAGGAGGAGGAGGAGGAGGAGGAGGAGGAGGAGGAGATGGACATGGACATAGAGAAGGAAGAAGAAGAAGAAGCCTCGAAGGAAGAAGAGAAGCCTCGTAGCGTAGGAAGAAGAGAAGCCTCGCAGCGTAGGAAGAAGAGAAGTACGAAAATTGGCCGACACCGTGCTACCAACGGGCAGGCCCGTAGCAGTGATGTCCAAACTCTAAAATAAGTAATTAGTAATTACTTTTACTTTTACTTTTACTAATATAGGTCATAAGTAAAATACGTTACTAATACTAATTACTAACGGAAGGTCGTAAGTAAAAGTAAAAGTAAAAGTAAAAAGTAATACTAATTAGTAAATACATTTACTAATTAGTAACGTAAGTAGTATAGTATAGTATAGTATAGTATAGTATAGTATAGTATAGTATAGTATAGTATAGTATAGTATAGTATAGTATAGTATAGTATAGTATAGTATAGTATAGTATAGTATAGTATAGTATAGTATAGTATAGTATAGTATAGTATAGTTTCTATTACTTCTTTATATTATTTATATTTATACTTATACTATTAAGGTATTTAAAGAGGTTAAAGGCTTTAGAGGG